CCGCGCTGCCCGCTGGTCCAGAGACAATGTCGTGTTCCAGCGCATGGCCGCGCTGCCCGTCATTGACGGCAGCACGGACGAGTGCGAGAGCATCGCCAAGCTCTTTGCGCGCTTCGACATCAACGGCGACGGCTCGATCGCAACCGACGAGCTCGCGCTGCTCCTGAGCTGCGTCGGACTCGAAGCGACTGCGCTCGACGTGCGGTTGCTCTCCCACCGCCTCCAACGCGAGCACGGCCAGATCTTCTTGTCGGATTTTGCAACCTTTGTGAGTGCCGAGACCAGTACGCCACTTGATACTTGCAAGCTTGATACTTATCCTGTGATATATATCAGGTGGGACGACGCGTGACCGCGAGCGCGCGCTGGTCGAGACGCTTTTGGATTTGGAGCAGCGCATGAAAGAGCACCGGGTTGTCGAGGGCGACGTCAAGATGGCGCTGCAGACGCTGCACGTGGGCATGCCCGTCCACGAGCTCCTCTGGCTCAGCAAGACGCTCCTCGACCGCATCGGTCTGCAAGTCGACGTGCTCTCGCTGCAGCGCATCGCGCTCGCGTGCACGCCGTGCATCTACAATCCGACACTGGCCTGTGCGGGCGACGTGCTTCTCGCGCTGCTCCAGGCGCCGTCGGGGCTGGGCGGCACGCTTCTCGGCTTCTCGGTCGAGGTCGTCAGCAGTGCGATCCAACGCCTCTTCAAGATCGCGTCCAACGACGAAGAGCTCGAGTGGGAGAAGCTCGGGCCGGCCCACGTCGAGCGGCGCGAGCAAGGCCCGCTCATCGAGGGCTTGCTCCGACGCGGGCTCCGGGTGCTCGAGACGCCCGACCTCGACAGCCTCGCGATCGAAAACCAAGTCTGCGTCGCGTTGGCGCTGGACGCGCTGCGATACCGCGACGCGCAGTTGCCGCCGCTTGCAACCCACGATGTCTCGCGCGGCCTCTTCCTCTCCTTGTCGCGGTACCTTAATGGCTCGAGAAAGCGTGCGATCGTGTGCTCTCTGTGTAGCTACACGACGCTCCAGCGCCTCGAAGACAAGCTCCGCCGGACGCTTCAGCGCATGGCGCGCGTCGGCAGCGGCCAGCAAATGTACCAAGTGACGCTCGCGTTCAGCGCCAACAAGACGCTCCACGTGCGCGTGCTCGACTCGATGCTCAAGCAAGCCATGACCTTGTCGTTCGCGGACGCCGACATGGACACGCGGGGCGTCCCGCTCTTTGACCGTCGACCGTACGCGACTTGAGGATCTCGACGACGATCTGAGTGCTGAAGTAGAGCTCCTGGCAGCAGCCAGTACTGGTCCATGGGCGTCGTGAACGCCGAGTGGTACCCGGAACTCAACGCGTACTTTTTGGCGCTCCTGCGCCGCCTGCGCATTTGCTTTCGCGACGACAACGGCAAGAAGCAGCCGTTCGTCGAGTTTCTCGAGAGCCAGAGTGCGTCGCCTGTGCCAGGAAGAGGAATAGGGGTGATGATGCAATAGTCGATGCGTAGGCTTTGTCGGGACGCTCCGCAGACTCCTGCAGTCGACCCGCGTCCCCTTCTTCTGGGCCGTCTCGCCCGCGATGCTCGAGTTCAGCGTCGACCGCGCGACGTTGGACCGCGCCAAGATGCGTCTTCAGCCCTATACGATGCTCGCGCTGCAGCAGTTTCCGGCGCTCGCGGCCTTCTTCCGCCAAGCGCACTCGACGTTGCGCGTGCACCTCGAAGTGCTCGACCACCCCACGAGCATGTGGCTTTCGTGGAATGAGTTCAAGTCGTGTCTCGCGGGCCTGCGGAACGCGTATGCGTCCATCCAGCTGCTGCCGCAAGGCGACACGTTTGTGACACCGCCCGACGACGGCGGTACCTCCTTGGACCGTGTGTTCTGCGCCTGTACGTAAAAGGAGTGTTGTAGGCGGCTGCACGCCGCAGTGGAGCTACGCGACGTCGGTCCTCGTGCACGAGCCCGACGAGTGCGTCCATCGGTCCGACCGACCGGTGGTGTACGTCGATACGCAGCCGATCCTTGGCCGCCCCGACAGCTCGGGCACGAATTTGATTCCGTTCACATCGCTGAGCCGCACCGAGGCTGCCACGCTGCACTTTGTGGTCGTGAGCGTCCGGCGCACGGTGCCTTCGACCGCCGAGGTGCCGCATTTGTACTGCACCGCGTACGACCCCGCGACTGCGAGTGACTACGAGGTCGTGGGGACGCCCACGAATTGGAACGTGAATTTCTTCGACCCGGACGTCAACCCGGACGTCGAGAAGCAGTGGGTGGCGCTTTTGAGCAAGATGAAGCTCGGCCGCACGATCACCCCCAAGCTGCTCATCCGCCTCTACAACAAGCAGCCGCGGTCGGACCAGCTCATTGGCGAAACCGAAGTCTCGATCGCGTCGACGATGGCGCGCGAGGGCTACGGCGTGCACTCGTGGTTTGCCATTTACGACCCTGTCTCCGAGGTGGGCGTCGACGGCTGCATCCGTTGTTTCATGCAGACTACGTAGCTCTGCACGGGGCAAATCGAGCTGCAAGTGCAGTTTGAGATGAAAACCAAGGGCGGCGACGGGCGCACTATGGACGCTACCACAAATGCCGCTGTTACGTCGACGCCCAAGCTCAAAGCCATCGCAAGCGCTCCGACGACTGCATCCGACGATTTGCAGGTCACGCGTTTCAAGCAGCGCATCATCGAGCTCGAGGCGCAGCTGCAGGCCAAGCCAGAGCCAGCGTCCACCGAGACCGCGTCGAGCAACAACCTGCTCAAGTGGAAGCGCAAGTACGAGCAGCTCAAACATGAGGCCGCCGACCAACAGGCAGCCACCGAAGCCAAGTCGGTCTTTGCCGTATCGAGTCCAGAGCTGATGCACACTGTGTAGGCTCGCGGCACTGCAGCAGCAAATGACCAAATTGGAAGCACGCACGCCGCGTAGCGAAGAGGTGGCGCCTGGTGACGCGTCGGCGTCAGCGGCGTTTGCAGCGCTCAAGGCGACGCTGAGCCGTCGGTGCCCCGACCGACCGTTCAACGGACTCAAGAAAGCCATGCTTGCCGTCGCAGAGACGCCCGGGAAGGTCGGCGTGCCTGCGTTGGACGAAGTGCTCGATGACTTTGGCCTGCGCCTGGACACCGCCCAGCGCCAAAACGTCCTGGCGCTGCTGGACCCGGACCGCTCCGGCATCGTCTCGATTCCTGGTACAGCTCTCGAAGCAAATTCGACTCCCACGCCCGTCGCGAATAGAGTTCTTCGCTCGGCTCGGCGGTGACGCCGCACTCAGTCGCGCCGCGTCACGCGCTAGTTTGGAGCCGTCGCCGCGGGCCAGCATCTCCAAAAAGCCGAGCGTAAGGTGGCAAAGTGCTGTGTTGGTCCTGAGGTTCGGGGAGTAGACGCCGCGCATCGAGCAGCCACCAAGTCCCGAGGTACCTCTCCTGTTGTATATATGCATGTCATCCAGCGATCTTGATCAGGTGCCCGACGACGTGGTCGAGTCGCCGGCCGTATTTATCTTGTGCTTTGTATGGCGCTCAGCAGGTCGCGTAGAAGCAGAGAAGGCCCACGACGCCCGTCGAGACGCCACACGTGCGGCGCTCGTCTGTTTTAAAGTTGCTGCTTCACGTGTGTGTTGTGTAGGAGCCCGAGGAGAAGGTAACCAAGCACCGCGCGGAGAAGTCCGAGCAACCCGCGCCTGTGAAGCCGGAACGGCCGCATGCTGTCAAGGTACGCGATGGAAGCCTTCGTACCGACGAGTACGCCACGCAATGTAGCCCCTGGCCACGCCAAGTGCGGAGCCTCCCAAACGACCAGCAAAGCTAAAGGTACCTGTTCTCGCAAAGTAGCTACCACTGCACAGAGTATCTCCAGAGCGTCAAGCCCGAGGCGACACCGGTCGCAGTGCGGGACGCGCGCGATGAGCAGCCGAGCAACAACGTACGCGCATGGTCGAGGATGAGCGCGTCATGTGTCTCTAGCCGGCGTTCGAGCCAACCAGCGACGAAGAGATGTTTGCCTACCTGCAAGCCCACCTTCCAGACAAGTGGGACATGCAATTTACGAATGGCGGCAAGCCTTACTTTCGCAACTTTACCGCCCGGTGCGGCGACAGGCTATGCTGGAGCATGGCTGAATGGAAGCATGTAGATCGACGCAGTGGAACCATCCAGACGCTGACGCGGACGCCATCTTCCGCGCATATCAGCACGCCAAGAAGAAGAAATCAAAGAGCTGTAACCTGTAATCCAATCCATCTCTCGTATTTGCTAGAGACCGTTGCAGCGTCCCAGCGAGCATCTGGCGTCGAAGCGTCTAATTGGTTTAGCTTAATGGACAGGGCGCTACGATATGCTCGAGCGAAAGGCGGCAGAATTCGAAATTGCAGGCACTCTTATTGGTCAACAGATTTATAGATGGACCAATCCGAAGGCGATTGATAACAACTTCAACGTGGTACTGTGGCCCAAAATGCGGATTGACCAAGCCAGTTCCAGCCAGTTGCAAATAAGATGCTTCGTGTGCAGCGCCAAATCGTTCGCCGCGTCGGGCTCCGCGCCTTCTCGGACAAGTGGGCCGAGCGCGAGACCGCGTACGAGAAGAGCTACGTGAACCAGCAAGACGCCAAGGCGTTGCGCCTCTTGCTGGCGAAAATGAAGGCCGACGCCGACGTCTCGGCCTTTGACAAGCTTCAAGTGTCGGCGGCGTTGCATATTGGCCGTATCCTCGGGCATCCCGTGTCGCCGACGACGCTGAAGAAGCTGCTCGAATGGAAGTACGGCTCGTTGTAACGCTGCGTTTATCCGCAATTTAACGTACTTTGACGGTGTTTTCATCTCGTATCTTTGACGCGCTCACGAGCCGCGCCTCCTCTGAAGCGGTGGGGAGTTTCGCGCCTTTTGATAGGCTAAAAATAGGTCGCATTCCGCGTGTTCGATTGGCTCGCATTTTTATCTCGGGCAATCAGATCCGGCGAGATCCGAAACAGCAGCAGCAAACAGAGAAAAGCGGCCCAGCATGCTCGACGACCTCCTCAAGCTCATCAAGAACAGCCCGCGCTGGGCGCAGTCGAGGCTCGCCCGGCGGCTCGGCTTCGCCATTGACGAGCCGGCCGAGGAGGACCCGGAGCCCGAGACCATGGACCATGGTACGCACGCCGCCTGTCTAGCAAGCTCACGCATGTGTTTCCAGCGAGTCTCTGGACCAAACTGCGGGTCTCCGGTGCGCAGCCGCCCGTGCGCAGCGGCCACGCGTCCGTCGTCGGTGCGACTTCAATGCGCATGCGCATCCGCATCATCCTCTCCTCCGTGTAGTGAATGGCATGATGTACGTCTTTGGCGGCTACAACGACGGCAACTGTCACTTTGACTTGTACGCGTTCGACTTGACGCACCACCACTGGACAAAGCTCGAGAACAAGGGCGTCGTGTCACCCGACGGCCGCGCGTCCCACGCCTGGTGCGCCTCGGCGGACGAGACGAAGCTCTACCTCTTTGGCGGGTCCGGCCCGCATTGGGGCCAAACCAACATGGGCAAGCTCCTCCAGTTTACGCTGGCGACGCAAAAATGGAGCGTCGTCACGACGGCCGGCACGCACCCGCCGCCGGGCTATGGCCAGAGCATGGTTGCAATCGGCTCCAAGCTCTACCTCTTTGGTGGCACATCAGGCCACGTCTATGTCAACGACCTCTTTGTCTTCGACCAAGTAACCGCGACGTGGAGCTGCGCTGCCGCGACAGGCACCAAGCCGTCGCCGCGCTACAAGCACCAAGCGGTCGTGTCGGGCGACGCCATGTACATCATCGGCGGTGGTCTCTACGACCCGCCAAAAGGCCCGATCGACCTGTTTAAATTCGACGCGCTTGCGTCGCACTGGAGTAAGATCGAGTGCGTCGGCGACCTGCCGCGGTCGCGCATCGCCCACAGCGTTGTCCTGCATACGACGTCAGCTGGGAAAGCAACCTTCCTCATGTTTGGCGGGCGTGACGAAACCGGGGTACATCCTTCCACCCCGCGATGAAATCCCTCACGTGATCTAGACGCGCATGAACGAACTGAGCTCGCTGGACCTCGACACGTCGACGTGGGTCCGACTGGTGCGTCCACTCGGAGCGTGCTCGGATGTCTCATGCAGTCGATAGTCGGAGGATTCGAAGGCGCCGGATGCGCGGGACTTTCACACGGGCGTCATGTGGGAAAACGCCATGTACATCTTCGGTGGCTCTAACGGCGTCGAGCGCAACAGCGACGTCCACCGACTCGCGCTCGCGTTTCAACCGTCGCCGCTGCTCGTGCTCGCGGTGCAGGCGGTGCAGACCCATCTGCGCTCCAACATGGCACTGCAGGCTCAGTATCGGGACGCCTACTTGCCGCTGGAGCTGCGGACGGCGGTCCAATCGCTCAACCCGGACGTCTCGATCGCGTCGAACGACCAGTGGTTTCCGCTGCCGGACGCGAACCGCGCCAAGCAAAAGGTGCACCCGCACGCCTTTTGCAGCTAAAATGGCTGTTGCTTCATGTCCGACATAGTAATCGTAATATACTCCTATAGACGCTTCTTACGGGTCCAGTAGCTTCCACTGCAGCACGGCGCGGTCGTTCCCGCCGGCCGACACGATGTACTTGTCGTCGCATGTGAAGCGCACGCACGTGATGTGCGAGCAGTGGCCGTCCCCTTGGACCCACTTGGCCTAGGTACAAGTGGTGAGCGTACGTAGATATATTGATGGCTTCGTACGCCTTTGGTCAAACACGGGTACCGAAACACTTTGAGCTTGGAAAAGTCGTCGCCGGTCGCGATGAACGCGCGCGACTTGGACGCACAGACGCTGTTGATGTCCGTGCCGTCGGCGCACTCGGGCCAGATGCCCTGGACGGGCCACCCGAGCGTGCACGTCCACGTGTCCCAGACGACGTCCTTGAGCGCTTTCGCCGACCGCATCTGCTTGCCCGTCTCGACCTCGCAAAAGAGAAGCTCGTACGCGCCGCAGTTGGACTAGCACCATTGAGGTCACGTAGGAATCGATGGAGTACTACCTGCAGGTACTTGGCGTCGCGGGAAAAATCAAAGTGCGTGATGTAGCTCATGTGCTTGGCAAACACGTGCTTCTTGACGATGCTCGCACTCGCGCCCGAGCCGTGGATGCTGTAGATGTAAATCTTGTCGTCGTGCGACCCAAAGGCCGCGATCGCGCCAGACGCGGCGAACTTGACCTCGCTACGGTCACTTCTGCAGTGCGACCACATCGAGCAGCGTGGCCGTCCATACCTGATCGCCGCTTTGGACGGTCGATCTTCCAGCACGATCGTGGTTGTTGACACTTCGTAGAAGCCAATCATGCCGTGCTTGTTGCCTTTTGTCTTGCCGCGGCCGACGTCGCCGCCGTACCCGATCGCAAGCAGCTGGCCGTCGGGCGAGTAGGCGACAGCGCGCGCCATGTCGTCGAGCTCCATGAGCACCCACGACGTCTTGAGCTTCAAGTTGTAGACGCGCGCGACGGCGTCATCGCCCACGGTGCACACGGTGTGGGGCTCTATCGGATGCACCGCGAGGCCCCAGAGCTCGTCTTTAAAGTGGCCTCCCGTCACGGGCTTTCCGAGCACGAGCGTCGCGTTGCTCACGTCGACTTCAAAGATGTCGCTGCCCCATGTGCCGAGAAGAATCTTGGTTTGCGCCGAGTCCATGCACACGCTGCGCACGGTCTTGCCTCGGAGACCGCACACGGGGTACATGCTCTCGATCCCAAACGAGCTCGTCTGCTGGAGCGACGAGTTCCATACACAAACCTTGCCATCCTTCCCACCCGAGACCACCGTGTCCTACAAGCCTGCATGAGCTTCACGTCCGTGACGTGGGCCATACGAGCTTGGACGTCGAGTAAAGCGCTGTGAGCGCGCCGTCGTGGGCCTTGACACTCTTGGTGACAGTGTTGCCGCACCATTGATACATGTCGCCATTGTCGGCGCCTGTGAGCGTCGCGTCGTCCTTGAAGCTGCACGCGCACCAGAGCGTTTGAATGGTCGCGAGCTTCCCAAACTGGCCCTTGGTGCAGCTTGCAGTCTTGCCCTCGACGGTCCAAAACAAAATGTGCTTGACGCCACCCGTGACCTACGCTGTGGTCAAGACCACTGTAGTGTCTCTATCGTCGTACAAATCGGCCATGGCGTGCATCCGCCAAGGTGAAGACGTTGAGTGCCTTGTCGCCGCGCGTCGACGTCTGGAGAACCCCTTTGCTCCACGCGCCGCCCTTGTCTTCCCAGATCGCGAGGCTATGGTCGTCGTCGTCACCGACGCTCGCAATCGTCTTTTCGTCGAGCGCGAAGGCGAGGCTGAGAACGCCACGGGCGTGGAAGCCTTTGAGCTCACTCAAGAGCGCCCCGGAGCGCGCGTCCCAGACGCGAATCTACAACATGCGATGAATGGGATCTCCACCTGGATACAGCAACGGACGCTGGGCTTCTTGCCGCGCTCGCCGGACGCGACGAACCGTCCTGAGGACGAGATGGCGAGGCTCAAAATGTCATCGTTGTGGCCCACGTGGTGCTACGAGAGTCCATTGGCTGAGCGCAGGGATCGAAACTAAACCTTCTGCGTGTTGGTCGGTCGATCGTAGATGATGCCAACGGCCGCGGCGTGGTACACGATCTGTCCGTCGGCATTGTAGCGTAAATTGTTGCGCGCCAAGTCAGCTTGGTAGCCATACACCCTACAATTGATCGCACCACGGTCGGACAGTTAGAACGGACCACTCGAGCCGCAGTTGGATGTCGGGTGCGCGCGGGTTCTCTTTCGGTGGGTTGCTTGGCGCACAGATGGCGCCAATCCACGGCTTGACAGCCATGAACTCGTCGCCGCCGCCTTCCGCGGGAAACGCGACTGGCGCCAATGTCCTGGGCAGCCCCTACGAAACCATATCTGCGCCATGTTTTCTGAGGCGAGAATACGTACAAGGTCGTCTTCGTCGTCGTCCTCGGTGGCACCGGCGTTGGACAAGGCGGTCGCGAGCGAGGCTTTGGACGGCGACGCTTTGCCGATGTTGACGTCTTCTTCGGCGCCCGTCTCGTGATGCCACTGCAGAATCGACCGATCGAGGCCGCCAGTGCTCACAACGTGGGTATCGTTGTGCAGCCATCGGACGTTCGTCACATGGGACGAGTGGCCAGCGTAAGCGTATGCGACGCTGTGCTTGGCGACGCACGGGTACCGAAAGAGCTTGACCTTGCCAAAGTCGTCGCCCGTCGCAACGAGCTGCATGTTGGACGACCGGTGGACGGCGTTGATGTCGGTGCCGTCTGCGCACGGCGGCCAAATGCCTTGGACAGGCCATCCCAAGGTGCACGTCCACGTCTCCCAGGCGACGTCCCGCAAACTTTTGGCCGACGTGATGTGTTTGGCGTTCGACGGATCCGAAAACAAAAGCTCGTACGCACCGCAGTTGCTCTGCAGAGAACCATTCCAGTGAAGTCATGGTCACCAGATAGTACCTGGAGGTATTTCGAGTCGCTCGAAAAGTCAAAGTGCGTGATGTAGCTCGTGTGCTTGCGGAAGACGCCCGTCTTGACGATCGCGTTGCCCGTGATCGCATAGAGGTAAATGCTCGTGTCGTGCGACCCGACGGCCAAGATGGCGTTGTTGGGCGAAAATTTGATCTCCGAGAGCCACTCCTTGGACGGTTTGTCCTCAAAGACGGTGGCAAACGTCTCGTCGTCCTTGACGATAATCAATGTGCCGTACTTGGGGTGCTTGCGGCCGGCTTCGATGCGCCCACCGAGACCGACAGCGATCCAGTATGGCGCAGCGTTCGAGTACGCGCACGAGCGCGCGATGCAGTCGAAGGCCTTGACGCGGAGCTGCATCTTGTGCACGGCGTCCCACACCCGCAGCGTCTTGTCGTCGCCGACGGTGCAAAATTCGTGCTTAGTGACATCGGGATGGACTGCGAGACCCCACAACTAGCAACATAGCTGCGTTCATCGCCTCGAAATCAAGGTGCCGTACTTCATCTTGAAAGTGGCCTTGCGTGACAACGGTGGCTTTGGCGCCCGTGCGGTCAAATTGCACAATGTCGCTGCCGGACGTGCCGACGAGGAGACGCGTGTTGGTGCTGTTGAAGCACACACTGCGCACACCAAAGCTTGCCTGCAAGCGCTTGGCCGTCTCGGCCGAGAGGTTGAAGAGTTTGGTGAGCGGCGGCGCCACTTCAAACGACGAGATGGGCGCCAAGTGGACGTCCCAGAGGATGATTTTGCCGTCTTTGGCGCCGCTGACCCACTCGGGCTTGGAGGCTACGGACGAATGAAAATAAGACGTCGCGAGAGACAGGTCGACCGACGTACGGGAGACAGCGACGGCAAACACAGGGCCCTTGTGCCCTGAGAGCACCTTGACCAGATGTTTGTTCTCAAAGCAGTAGATTTCGCCGCCGTGGGTGCCCACAACAGTGCGCGTCGGGGCCGAGGTGGTCCCCGTCGCATTCGGTATCATGCTGGCACAATGAAAGAGCTGCGGCGTACCGTGCTTGCCTAAGATCGCCTTCTTGCCCGTGATGTTCCGGCCTTGCTCGGTCCAGTGCGTGAGGTGCTTGTCCCCAAACGAGATCCACTCGTTCGTGCCGGGATGATGGAGGACCCCAATCACCTACGGCCATATGCAAGCGCGCGTCTCGTCATAAATGGCGTACCTTGTTGCGCTCGCCCTTGCCAGACGCGACGAGGACACCTTCTTTCCACTTGTAGATGGCAAGGCTGTGGTCGTCGTCGTTCCCGATGGAGCAAAGCCTGGATCCGTCCTAGCATCTCGCCTCTGCATACGCCCTGCAAGCGCGACACACAAACCGTCGAGAAGGCGACGGCGGGCACTGCGCGCTTATGAAAGCCTTTAAGACACGCAAGGCTGATGCACTTCTCCGCTGCCTTTTCTGCTTTCGTGCTTGAGAGTTCCCACACATGAATCGTTGGTGGTTTGCCCATCTGGCCCGTCGCGACGCAACTGCCGTTGGGGTGCAGTGCAAGACACACAATATCGTCATCATGGCCCTACGCATAGCCCTCATCGACTGCTTGACACTTAGAAAATACCTCGAAGAAGGTCTGCGAGTTGGTAGAGCTGTCGTAGACAACGCCAAGGGCGGCGACATGGTACACGATGCGTCCATTCGATAGAAAGCGCACGTTGTTGGATGCCGTCTGCCCTTGGTAGCTACATTTTGTACATGACGCACGTTCCATGGATGAACCAAAAGTACCCGTAGGCGTGGGCGAGTTTGAGGGTCGTCGAGGGCGGCTGCGTGTTGTCGACCACTGGCAGCTTGGAGGGCGGAACGATGGCTCCGATCCAGGGCTTGACCGCCATAAACTCATCGCCTTCCGAGCCGCGGACAAGGTCCATATCAACATCGTCTTCGTGGCCCTTGACCGGCGACCGCACGGGCGAGATCGAAGCTTTCGCACCCTTGATTTTCTGCACGTCGTGCTTCCAAAGAAAGAGACACCGGTCGCCACCGCCCGTCGAGAGCAAGTACTCGTCGTTGGCCGACCACGCCACGTTGGTCACGTGCGACGAGTGTCCATGGAGCGTCGCAAAGCCGGCGTGTTTCTTGGCGCACGGGTACCGAAAGAGCTTGACCTGCATGGCGACCTGAGCGTGAGGAGGTCCATGCTGCCGCACCGTACCTTGCCAAAGTCATCGCCTGTCGCGAGGAGCGTGCCGGCATGCGACCGCGCAACACCGTTGACGTCCGACCCGTCGCTGTCAGGCGGCCAAATGCCCTGCACGGGCCAGCCCAGCGGACACGTCCACGAGCTCCACTGCTCGTCCTTGAGCGCCGATGCGCGCGTGACTTGCTTGCCCGTCTTGGCGTCCGCAAAGAGGAGCTCGTACGCGCCCGATGTGCTCTACGTAGATACCGATACGTGTCGTTGAAATGACGGCGACCGTACTTGGTAGTAGGAGCTATCGGCGGAAAAGTCGATATGCGTGATAAAGCTGCTGTGCTTCTTGAACGCGTGCTTCTTGGTGTACTGGTTGAGCGCATCGTAGAGCACGATGCTGTTGTCGTGGCTGCCAAGCGCGAGGTACTTGCCACACGGCGAATATCGGATGTCCGAGACCCACTTCTTCGCATCGTTGCGCTCCACCACCTACGTTCTATGTCGAGTCGCGTCAAGAGAGCTGAAAGCCCGACCTTGGTCAGATCGCTCTCGTACACGACGAGGAGAGCACCATTTTTCGGGTGCTTGTTGACCTTCTCTCGCCCCGGCAGCTGGCCGCCAAGACCAACGGCGATGTACTTCCCGTCTGGCGAGTACGCGACGGCGCGCGCGAGGCAGTCGAGCTTGACGCGTCGAAGCTGCTTTTTCTTGACCAAGTCCCACACGCATAAATACTGGTCGTCGCCAACGGTGGCGCACTCTTGCCGCGTCGGGTGTGCGGACAAGCCCCAGAGCTCATCGGCGTGGTGCCCCGACAGGAGCGCTGGAGAAATGACTTTGGTCTTCAAGCTACAAATGACCTCTCATAGAGTGCCAGATGCAAATTTTCGTACTTGATTTCGAAAATGTCCGAGGCTTGGGTGCCAAGAAGGACGGTCGTGAGGTCGTTCGAGAGACAGACGCTCTGAATGCTACCAGTGCGACCAGCGAGGGCCTTAATATCGAACGACTGTGTGCTGGTCAGCGACCCTGCTTTGTCCGGTGCCCAGACGCGAACGACGCCGTCCTTGCCACCACTCACAAGAGTCTTGTCCAGCAGGTACAAACTCTGAACCGCACCAGCATGCGCCTTGGGAATCACCGTCTGGAGCTCGGGCGGCTGAAAGATGTACAGCGAGCCGTCTTGCGTGCCAGTCACGAGAAGAAACCCACTGTCCGTGTTGAGCCACACGGCGGCCAGGATACCTTGGACTACGCCGGTCTTTCCAAAGATGCCTTTGGCCTTGGCGACGGTCTTGGGCGATGCGTTGCAGGTCCAGACTTCGAGGTACTTGACGCCGACGCTGGCAAGGACGAGGTCATTTGTCGGGTGCCACGAGAGGTCGAGCGGTGCAGCCTTGTTGCCCTTGGAAAACCACGTCAAGGCACCCGTCTTCCACTGGTCGGTGGTTGAGTAGACGCCCAAACTGTGGTCGTCGTCTGCTCCCAGCGATGCAAGGTGATTGCCCGACGACGAGAACGCGAGCTGGATGATACCTCGCTTGTGATACCCGCGGTGAGTCGAGAGTACGCTGGCCGAGGCGGCATCCCACACAATGAGTTTCGGCGTCTTGCCAGTCTCGCCCGTCGCACCGATCGTGCGATTCGGGTGCAGGGCGAAGGACAAGATGTCGTCCGTGTGCGCGATCACGTGCTGCTGGCGAGGCCCTGCCTTCTCGAGTAGCACGGCTACGCTGGCAGCGGGGTACGCAATATCACCGCTCTTGAGGTACCGGACGTTGTTGCGCGCGTACGCGTCTTGGGCCGAGTAGCCAAAGATCCACTCGAGCGAGAGGTCGACCGTCGGGGCGCTCGAGTCGATTGGTGGCGGGTTCGTTGGCGGGATGATCGCGCCTTCCCACGGCTTGACGGCCATAAACTCGTCTCCGTGGTCTGCTTCGCTGGCCTTTTCGATCGCAGCTTCGGGGTCCATGTGCCGCGTCTCTTTGGCCGACCGTTCCGGCACGTGCGTTGGGTCGAGACCACCGAGTGCGTCTGCGCTGCCGTCGTCGTGGTTGGAGGCACTCACGGCGCCGTCAAAGACATCAAAGAGACTTCGCGCGTCGTGGTTGGTCAAGCAGTAGCTCCGAAAGACGTCGCACGTGATGGCCATCGTTGGCTGAATCATCGTCGACGGCGGAATATGCAGCATATCGCGGAACGCCATTTCCGCGATGCGCCGAACCTCGTCGTCTTCGAGTAGGTCGACGGTCTTGTCATTGGCCTTGGACACGACAATCTTGCCGAGACCCATGAGCGTCGACTTGAGCTACGCTGGATCAGGAGCCATTTACGACGCAGCGCTTTCGTACCGAAATGGTAAACTCGTCGATGTCGAGCGCGCCTACGCACCACCAGCATACATACTACGATAGGTGACAGCCATGGTCGTGTACCATCTTCAGACATATCCCAGCTATCAAAGACGAGCTCGACCTTGTCTTGGACCGGTGCTGTCGAGATAAAGATGATGCTCGCGAGGAACTCGAGTGCATCGAGGAGCTTGAACGGCGAGTCGAGCGTAAGCACGTCAAAGAGCACATCAGCTTTCTGCGCAATCTGGACGGGCGAGTGGCCGAGGTGGACCGCGACGTCGATGCAGATCGCGCCAAAGTCGTGCTTGGAGAGCGCAAAGCCATGCGCGTGCTCGTAGAAGCTGCGCCAGTACGCCTCGATCTCTTCAATCGAGAGGTTGTCAAAGGGCGTGATCGCCTCAATGAGCGTGGCCGAGTAGCTCGGTTGGCTCGAGTCCGCGGCCGGGACCGCCGTCAGGCCCACGACGTTGCCCATGCAATGATCTGCGGAAGAAAAGCACCAATCGAGTCTCACGGGCTGCAATATTGATCCAGTGTCTAGAAAGGTCGATGATAGGATATGGAATATCAGAGGCGATAAAATATGCGTGTATTGCTTCTTGGAGGATGTCCCTTCAAGATCGCGCGCCACGTGCGGTGGCATGTCAAGCGCGCACTCTGCGCTACATGTACCCGAGAGACGACGAGATTGCGGCCACACCACACAAAATCCACGGCGCAGCAACCGCAACAAGGTGCAGCGAGCACATGGCGGCTGTCGTCCGGTCTTGAGCGATCGCGTCGAGATCCTCGTGGAGATACTCTTGAGTTGTTTTGGCGACGTTTTCGAGCTCGACCGTGAGCAGAGTTGCTTCCTTCAAACAAGCGTCTTGATAGTCTGGAAGCGTGATCATGCGTGCGGCCTGAACGTCTTGGGCCACGGCTGCGACGTCGTACTCGAGACGCGCCATAGCGTTCCCGCGGTGTACCTGCGTCGCACCGATGTGAGTGACGAGCTCTGTGATGCTGCCAACCCGTGCCTCGACCTCTTTCTTCAAGTTGTCAAACGTAGCATCCCAACGCGTTGTAGCAAGCGAGACCCGATGCACTTCTGCCTCAAAGAGAGAGAGGCAGTCGTCGTCGGACCCCGTCGGACTCGTGTCTGAGCTTGGTGCATTGTCCTGGCTTGATGGCGGCGTCACGATGGCGATAGGCACCGGAACGTCATTTTGCTTTGCATTTTCCTCGTCGGCCAGCTGTGGCAGGCTCTAGTTGGCAGAATCCGAGATAGGACTCGGCAAGAAGGAAATACCTCGCGTGCTTTGGCGCAGCTAGACGCTCTTGAGCAAAGCTCTTGCTCAAATACCGCAAACGTCTAAGGATTATAAGACCACAGCTCGTGCAGGTCTAGTGTCGCACCTTATGATCGAGGAGTACCCGCATCCATTGCCCGCTTTCGTCGTACGCCTCGACGTGCACCTTGGCCATGGCCGACTCGGCGTCAAATTTGAGGCTGCGAACGTTAGCGTAGGGGATGGTCGTGACGCTGAGCGCTTCGTCGTCTCTGCAGAAGGAGAGCACGGTCGTGCCCAAGTCGATCCAGCCTTCGTGCTGCAGCTGCTCCTACGACCCGTTGCCACCCCCTTACACCGTCGGACGTCCCTACCGTATCCCGGCTGTGCAACCGCGTCCAGCACTGTAGGACTCGAAATGACGCAATGCGTTTAGTGACGCCGTTGACTTGGTTCAGCTGCTGGCGCATGCGAATCGGGTTGATCTGTGCCGAAGCCATGAGCACGGTCGCCTCGACGATACGCACGCACGAGGTCGACCTCGTTACCGCCCGGAATGGCCAAGCGCAGAACGGGCGGGACCCCTCGGTAGATCTTCTCGAGGTCCTTGGTCCGTCGTTCGCGCCGAAGGGTGCTCATGATGCGCACCAAGGCAGCGTACAAGCACTGCTGCACGGGAAAGTACGTCGACGAGACGATGCTGAGCCCCAGGACCACGGGACCATTGGCGACTTCGCTCCATGCGGTGATGTCCCGGGCACATGCTTCCCGGACGCGGCTTAGGAGGTCCATGGCGCAGCTCATGTCGTCGGGACGTGCTTGCTGCGCGTCCATCGCGACGACGAGATGGGACTTGGTCATCTTCCGGCGCGGTCGCTTCATCTCTGGAGCATCTTCCTCCGAGTCCGAGATGACGATGGCTTCCATGCTCCCCGCGTTTCCCCGCGCTCGCGCTTGGTCATGTTCCTCTCGAGCTTCTCGCGGACAAATGGGACCGTTTCATAGATTTGTATTTGCTATCCGGATAATACGATATCCGGACGCACTGGAGTTCGCGCACCTGAGACGCATCACTTACCGTGGCGGGAACCGCCGGCTGCTTCACTGCCATGAAGCCGGCCGGTCCATGCACTTCTGATCGACCTCGGTGGGATAGCGTGCGACTCGAACGTTCCCGAAATGGTAGGTTGAACATGCAAGGACAGAGGATGAAGAAGCAATGGAAGGTTGGATTACTCGAACGACAAAGCTACGGATGCATTAGCACGCCTCGTGGCCGGTGGCGCAGATGAAGCGGGGCGTGTTGGCGCCGCAGACTGCATGCAGCATGAGGTTCCACTCCGGCTTCTCCTCAGACGCCTTCGGGTAGTGCGCATCGACAAACGTCTGCTTGATCTTTCCGTCAACTACCTTGAAGGCGCCGACCTTGCCCGAGAGATCGCCGCGCTCGCACGCGCGCTTGTCAGCTGCATACGTCTCAGGCGTGCACTTGTACTTGGGAATGAGCGGCGTGCACTTGGGGTCGGTAGCAAACTCGGAGTTGGGGCCGCAGGCGTAGTCGGGGTCGTAGTGGTTGCCTGTGGGCGCGAGACCGCAGTCGCCAAGGAAACCCGACGTCGCCTTGTTGGTCCACTTGGTGTGGATGTGCCACTTGAAGGTCGGGATCGCGCCAGTGCAGTTGCCGTCAACCTTGGTGAGCGCGGCCCAGTTGGCTTTGGAGACGTCGAGGTTGGCAGCGATACTCGCGCCTTGCGCTAGCTGCGTCACCGTGATGGAGCCTTTGACGCCGCCCGACGTCGCGGGGTCGAACGTGTAGACGGTCGCAGCCGAGGCCGTTGCGGCAAGAACCAGAGCGAAGCAAGCAAAGTGCATGGGGCGTCGTGGGCGGATTGTGAAATGGCAATCTGGCCGTTGCTGGGACGAGGAGACCCATCTGGCTTTGCATAATATGCGAATCATCTGCCGTTGGCTCGTTCAACTTGGTCGATTTGTACAATTTGTACTTGGTGGTCGGAGCGTTCCGCTCTGTTCCGCTACGTTCTTATTGGGCTGAGGCAGCGGTCCTTCCGCCATCAACCTCCGACAACACGACGAGCGCTGCACGTCGAAAGTACAATCCAGCACAGGAATCCAGCTCGATTCAGTTTCAAGATTACGACTCGGAGATCGAGTTGACGCGCGCGAGCTTTTGCTTTTCGAGGGTGAGGAGGACGTTGTCGGCGTTGAGCGTCTGGAGTTCTTCCTTGGCCTTCTCGAGGACCTTGAACGCGTTGACAGTGATGCCGCTGATCTCGCCATTGTACAAGCGCGAGTTGGTCGCCATGAGCTCGACGTCGCTCGTAAACGACCGCATCGAGTCGTACTCGAGGTTCTTGAGCTTGAGGCTGATGCGCTGGAGATCCATGGGTCGCTTGATGACCGTGTAGTAGTCTTGGACCGCGTTGCCGTCGACGGGCACGCGGAAGAGCATGCTCTCGGGCATCGCCACGAGCTTGAAGAGCACGAGCTCGAGGTACCCGTTGAGGCGCGCAATCGGGAGGCGCGACAGGCTGCGCGCGGGCTTCTTGTTGGCGCCGTATACGCGCTTGTACAATGACGCGCTGTCTTCGTGTTCTTGCTTGCGCTTGCGCTTCTTCTCCATCTCGTGGAGACGCGCGCTCTCCTGGAGATTGGAGAGGTTCACTGTGCACGAGGTCGGGTCCAAGTCGGACGCGTTGATCGACGACTTCTTCAGCGTCAGCTTGAGCGGGCGCACGTCCTTCTTGCTGTCGCCTTTGCTCATCGGCTCCATCATGTACAGCGGGCAGTTGCGGTTCGTGCGGATGTGGCCGACCTCGCCGCACTGCGTGCACTTGATGACGCCTTTCGCGGCCGTCGACCCGACGTCCTCGCCCTTCTCGAGGCGCTCGACGTACTCGCGCGTGCTCTCTTGCTTCTTCTCGAGCATCTTGAGCTCCTCCTTGAGCTTGTGCACGTTTGGAACGCCGCTCGTCACGTCGTCGGCCGCGCGCATCTGCTGCATACGCTTGCGCTGCTTGCGCATTTGCTCGCGCTCCTCGTCCTTCTGGAGACGCTCGTTGCGCGCCGCGTTCGCCTTGTACTGCCCAATCTTCTTGGGATCGACGATGAACTCAATCTTGATCTTCTCCGACCCGTCCTCTTCAATCGTGCGCGTGATGCGCTTGATCGCTTGGCGGTGCGGCTGGCTGCTCGTCGGCGCCGCGCGCGGCGACGGCACACGCGAGGCCGGGTTCGACGGCGAGTGCACGGCCGACGACATGACCGAGCTGGCCTTTGTCGACGACTGGTGCGTCGCGAGGAGCGACGTCGGGCGACCCGAGCTGTCACGGATGCCGCTGGCCTGCAGCTGCGACCGGAGGTTGGACGCGTCAATGTCCGGGCGACTCCGCGAGTACGTGCTCCCAGAGTTGTCGGCCATATCGCGCTTGAGCTTCTCGAGCTCGGCCGCGTCATCGCGCTCCCGAAGCGCCGACTTGGACCGGTTGAAAGCCACACCGTCTTTGCGAAACATGTTGAACGGCCCGTTCCGCGACGTGGTTGCCGTGAGGCCGTCGCCGTCGGCGCCGAAAATGTCTTCTTCGAGGTCGCCGAGGCCGTCGTCGCCTTCGTCCGACTCGTTGTCGTCGTCGCTGTCCTCAACGACCTGCTTGTTCGAGAGCACCTCAATCTGTGTACTGTAGCGCGCGTCGCACTTTTCCGGTACTCTTGCTGCTGGGCGTTGAGCGACTTGCGCGCGCCACGAGCAAACTTGCCGAGACCGCCGGCTTCGCCACGCTGCGACGCCTTTGTACTGAGCGTCCGGACCATCTCGATACGATCCCAGCGCCGAAGCTTCTTGATGTCGGCTTCGTCCATACCGAGCGTCTTGAGCACGTCGCCGGCCTCCTTCATCTTGAGCTTACGCAGATCGGCGGTCGTGCCCGTGACCGCCGCCAGCGTCTTTTGCACTTCGGCTTCGTCCGTCGCCGCGTTCTCATCGCCTTCCTTCTTCTTGGCACGCGACTGCGGCGCGCGAATAAAGCTAAAGCCGTCACCGCACGCCGACGGGTCGCCGTCGCCACCCAGCTGGAGCATGCCCGAGCCCTTTCCTTGCAGGTGGCACTCGACATAGTTGTTGGTCCATGTCCACGGCGCGAGCTCGAGCTGGAGCGCAATCGATCGCGCAATCTGGATGTCGCGCTTGAGGCTCGTAAGAACCGGGTCCAGCTCGTAGAGCTTCTTGGCTTCGTTATCGAGCGTGCGGCCTTCGAGGCCTTTCGGCATGAGCACCTTGGTCTTGAGCAGCGTTTGACGGTAGTTGAGGCGCTTGGTGAGGTGCTCGATCGCGTTCTGAACGCCCGTGGGGCTAAAGAGCTTCGAGAGACCCATGTCCATGAGGCGGCGGTGGCCGCTCATCTGGCTCTCGTAGAGGCACACCGACTCGGGCGACACGTTGGCGCGGATCTCGTCTTCGCTCGTGAGCTCGTGCGCGGCCTTCTTCTTCCACCAGCCCGAGTCGTTGCCGCCGCGCTCAAAGGTTGCGACCTCCTTCATGCGCTTCCGGATCGCCGTGCCCGATTGGTTCGGAAACACGCGGTGGATGTCTTCGATCTTGAGGCGCTCGCCGTCGCTCGCCTTCTTGAAGAGGCGGAGGATGTGGAACGACATGTACGGCCGAATAAAGTCGTTGGCGCCGCGCGAGTTGGGCGCAGGGACCTCCATTTGCGGCTCGACCTGCCCCGCAATGTAGAGCGGCGGAAGCTCCATGAGGTACGTCGTCGTGCCTTCCTTCAAACCGCCCTTCTTGGAGACGGCGCGCGCAAGTAGAAAGTAGTCATAGTCGTTGGAGCGCTCGAGCATCGACCCGCGCGCCGCGTGCTCAAAGATCGGGATCTTGAAGAGCTTCGAGTTGAGGGATGTGACCATCTTCCCGGCCGGCACGTCGCCAATGAACGGCGTGTCGTCGTTCGCACCGAGCGTCACGACCTGACCGAGCTTGACGCTTGGCGGCTCCGGCAGCACCTGCTTCTTCTTGCCCTTGCCTTTGGTAGCGCCATCGTCGCCGTCGGCCGCGGGCGGGCGCCAGTAGTGCAAGATGCGCGAGGCCATGCCTGGGTTCGAGAGCATCGGCGGCTTCTGCTCAATGTACTCGAGGAGGATGAGCTTTCCCCCGCGGTCGGGTTGAGATCTGACGTCTTCTTGATCTGCGACAGAGTCGGGTCCGTCATCTCGAGCTCGGTGACCTTGGAGGCTTTCGTGACCTTCTCTGCGTCCTTGGCGTGCACCATGACGAGGCGCTCGTTGATCTTGAACTTGCCGCGCGGGCGGTGAAACTCGCGGAGCTTCTGCTTGGGCAGCTCGGGCTTGGTGAGGCTGAGCTTGATGGCCGGGAGCGAGTGGTGCACGTGGCCCATGTGCTTGACGATGCGCGTGTCCTTGTTACGCTTGAGCTCGTCCGACCCGAGGCGGCCCTCGGCCGTGTCTTCGCCGAACGTGAGATTGCCCATGACGCCCTTGATACGGTCGTCCTTCTCCTTCTTCTGCTTGGTCAAGAGCTCCTGGCGCTTCTCGTGCACGCCGAGCTTGCGCTCCGGAATGCGCAGCGTCGCACGCACGTTCTCGACGAGCGGGTTGGTCAGCACGAGGTGCCGGTCGTTCTCGTCGAGGATGACCTCCGACTTGGGCATGTCGAGGCAGTGGTCCCACGCGACCGCGTTGAGCCACGCGTCGTCTTCGAGCGACGGGTTCAGCGCGCAGTCGAGCGCGATGCGAGCGGCCTCCTTGGACGCCGACGCGTTCAGGTTCATGTTCTTGCTAATGAGCGTGGCCAGCGGCGCTTCCCAGCGGTACGAGCGCGGACGTGTCATGTCGAACGGGGCCACCTTTTGGGGAATGAGGGACGTGGCGTTCTCTGTGTCTTGGCGCGCTGACTTAGGTGGTCCTGGGATTGCCGAGGAGCGTGGTAGTGGCGCCGCGCGCGGGATCGAGTACTGCTGGTACGGCGTGTCGTCCTCTTCCGGGATAAAGACCGGCTCGGATTTGCTTGCTTCGTTCTCGTCGCCCCACAGAATGTCCTTCTCCCACGGAACCTGCTCCACCTTGTGATAGAGCGCTTCTTGCACAGGCGGCAAGTCCTTGGAAGGACCGAGCTGTGGCGGCACGCCTGCCTGGTAGCGACTCGTGGGCTTTCCGATCCGGTCGCGCTTCAGGGCCTGTGACTGCGCGCGCACCGAGTGCGAAGTCGTGGATGAATTGAGAAGGACCTCTGTGTCGTCTTGCATGTAGCGCGGGCTGTCTTGGCGACCCTTGAGGATCGACTTTGGCTTCTCGGTCTCGTCAATGCGCTTGACGAGCTGCCGCAGGACGCCGCCGAGGTCGTGGCCCTGGCCTTTGTGGCCATAGAACTGCATGAAGCTGGGCTGCACCGAGCCTTCCGCATCGGCGCTCAAGGTGTCCATCTGCAGCGGCTCGGCCTCGAAGCCATGGACGGTTGGTCGCTGCTGCGAGAATCCGCTCATGCGTCCGCTTGCGTTCGCCACCGCAATTCGCCAACTGAGAAACCAAACAGCGCCAACCTAACACTATTTCCAGGTCCATCGGTGTAAATCGTGTTACTCCATCTAGAGCACTTTATGCTTCACACTATTACAACTACGCAACGACCAGCACTCGGTGATCGGTTTGAAATAGTGTACTACTGCTGGCGCGCTCCGAGTCTGGCTCGTCACCTCCAACTTGATACTTCTCATGTTGGAAAATGACGCAAGGTATAGTGGGTTACCTACTAAGGTACTACGCGTCGTCTCCTTCCGAAGCCACGAGGACCCAGTGGCGTTCGTCCGAGACGCCGCAGTACTCGACCAGCGCGTTGCTGCGCTCGGCCTCGTCGGGACTCTGCCCTGCCGCTTCTTTCGTGCCCCCAAAGACAACCATGCGCTGTTGCCACATGACCGCGGTGTGAAACACGAGCGCGTCCGGAGCCTCCGACTACGACGCGGTCAGGCCACAAGAGAATCACAGAACCGCAGATCCTACCAGCTTTGTCCACGTCGCCGTGGGCAAGTGCAACGACCACAGACCGTTCGTGCGCTTCTACACCGCAATCGAACCTATGCCGCATGCGAGCATTAGCGTACCTCAGTGAAATCGCGGCCACCGAACACGAGCAGCGCTGGCTGGCCCAACGAGTCGATGTGCAGGACGACGCTGTGGGCCAGACGCGCTGGTGGCACGTCGCCGACGCACACGACCTCCGTCCAATGCGACGTGAGCGTATCAAACTTGAAGAGGTCGATGGGTCCCTTGCGTGGTCCATAGAGACCACCGCCAACGATGTACATATCGTTGCCGACGACGACGGCCCCGTGCTTGTAGCGTGGCGATGGTTTCGCTCCTGTGACTGCGGCACAGCTCCAAGCAGACGTGGTAGCGTCAAAGACAAAGAGGTCGTTGTGGTAGTCGTGTCCCGACGTGCCGCCAAAGAGATAGAGCTTGGAGCCGATTGCAACCATGCTCTGGCCATAGCCCGGCGGCGGAGGCGTGCCGGCTGTCGCAACGACGCTCCACTGCTGCGTAGAGAGTGTGAATTGCAGCAGCTTGTCTCGGTTGGCGGCGCCCCAGCGCGGGCCCGACCCGCCATAGACATAAATGGACGTCTCATCGGGAGACACACACATCGCATGAGACGCGCAGCCAGCTGCGAAGTTGGCGGCGCCGCCCCAGTCGACCTTGCTCCATTCGCGCCGCGTGAGGTCGTACGCGTGAATGTCGCCAAAGCACTGGCCCTTATCGTAGCCACCAAGGACGTACATGACGCTATTGGCTACGCATTGTTCTTAGCTCTATGCGAGCGAACCCAAGCGTACCGACAACCGATGCGTGGCCACTTCGAGGCGATGGGGCTGCGCCGTCAATGGTTGTCCAGAGGCCGTCAACTACGTACGCGCGATGGCTTTCATGGCTTCTTCAAGACGCTGAAGAGTACCGTTCTTGGTTGGCTCGGGCGCTCGCTCGGGCGCTGACGTCGCGAGACCAGCGAGCTTCCAGAGACTGTCCATCATGCTTCCTGCGACGGTTCCTGTGTAACTCAAAGATCGCGTCGCCGTAGCATCCTCCGGATACGAAGCTAAATTGCCCTATCCAGTATTGATTTAACACCTTAATAGTGTTACGAAGTTGCAATGCCATTGTTGCCATCCAAAGCCTCACCATTTCGTCGGCAATCTCTACAAGCCAACGCAGCTGATAGCTCTGATGAATTGAAGCGTGTACGTCTGCTGCCTACAGCGTAAAAAGCCACCGTTGAAGCAAGACACTGTTGCAGCAACGTATACATTATATCCGTACTTTAAAAACGAATATAGTATGAGTAAGACTATTAGAATGGGTGCGAGTAGTGTTCATCACATTGGATATCGTCGAAGAGCGGCTGGAAATCAAGATGGAAGACGGCCTCAAGAAGAGCGACCACTCGGCCGAGACCGCGGCCCTCGTGCCCAAGGCCCGCGCCATGGCCGCTGCGGGGGACATTGCTGGCGCCGTCGAAGCGCTCCTTGCCCTGGAGAAGGCTGCGCGCCTCCACAACGACCTGACCTCGCTGCAGGTGCTGGTCGTCGAGATCCTCACGCTGCTGCACAGCCACAAGCAGTTCACGCTCTTGGTCGAGCACGTGACGCTGCTCTCGAAGCGTCGTGCACAGAAGAGCCAGGCCATCGGCAAGGTCGTGCTCACGGCCATGGCCTTTATCAACGACTGCCCGACCGAGGAGATCCGCGTCTCGCTCATTCAGGCGCTGCGTACGGTGGCCGACGGGCGCATCTTTCTCGAGAAGGAGCGGGCGCAGCTTACGCAAATGCTGTCGCAGATCAAGGAGAAGAACGGTCTCATCGCGGAGGCCGCCGACATCCTCCAGGAAGTCCATGTCGAGACGTACGGCGCCATGACCAAGCTCGAGAAGGTCGAGTTCATCTTGGAGCAAGTGCGCTTGACGCTGGCCAAGAAGGACTATGTGCGCGCGTTCATTTTGAGCAAGAAGATTTTGCGCCGCGTGCTCGAGGAAGACAAGTTTGAGGCCGTCAAGATCAAGTTTTACCACTTGATGATCGAGTACGACACGCACGAGAACAACCCGCTCGAGCTCTGCCGCCACTGGCAGTCGATCTTTTCGACCAAGACCTTGACGCCGGCCGAGAAGGCGACGGCGCTCCAGCACGCGATGCTCTTTGCGATCGTGTCGCCGCACTCGAACCTGCAGCAGGACATGCTCTTCAAGCTCGCGAACGAGCCGCTGCGCCACGACCTCCCGGCCTACGCGACGCTCATGAAGCTCTTCACGACCAAGGAGATCATCCCGTACCCGCTGCCTGTGCAGGCCGAACTCCAGGCCCACGCGATCTTTGCCGACGTGAGCCGCGGACAGGGCTGGCTCGAAGACCTCCACACACGCACGACGGAGCACAACATCCGCGTCGTCGCCACGCACTACCAACGCATTCGCCTTCCCCACCTCGCGAGCATGCTCGGTCTCTCGGAAGAGGTAATTTTACGAGCATGAGGATGCAAGACTCAGCCTTGCGTTGTAGGTCGCCGAGGCGCGCATTTCGGCGCTCGTCTCGTCGGGCTCGATCTACGCCAAGATCGACCGACCGGCCAAGATCGTCTTCTTCCAGAAGCCGCAGTCGCCCGAAGAGCTTCTCACCAACTGGTCCTCGGACATTTCGGAGCTCCTCCGTCTCGTCGAGACGACGTGCCACCTCATCAACAAAGAAAACATGATCCACAAGGTCTAAGCGACCTCGGAACGCGGTAATACAACACCCGTCTTGTGTGCCTCCACACGTCATGTCGACTACTACTTGCACATGCATGGCGGAGACATGGAGAGGCGTTGCGAGAAGGCGAGTCCATTTTGCATATTACAACAAGTCGTCTTCGTCGGCGTCGTCAAACTGCCCTGCAACGCCGCCATGCGCCTGCGCAATGGCCGGCGACACGGTAAGGATCGAGTCCAGATGCGCGGCAATGTCCATCTAATCCCAGGGATGAGCCCGTATATATGTTGGAGACGAGGTGGTCGACCTGCGCACCGGCCTCAACCTCGTCTTCGTTGTAGATCCATTCGCCTTCTTCGTCATCTGTACACGGCGAAAGGTTAGCGCAGGAAGATGCCATCGGTGGTATCACCTTCGTCGTCGTCTGGGTTCAAGGCCGCCGAGGCCGAGAACGCGTCAAACATGGCTTGCACTAATGCCACGTCAACCTTTGACGATCGCCATGTCTACGACGTACACGTCTTGGAGCTGTCGTCGGGGACGAAGCGGACTTCTTGGACATCATCCTCCACGTCCAGCTACTCCATGTTGTTGAGGTGGTCGCGGATCTGCATTACTCGCGTACATGGCAGTACAGGCAGGGCTCCGGGAAGCTCGACGTATCGCGCGAGATCGCATGCAGCGAGAGGTACCGCATGTCCCATGCGTAGCCGACTTCGGCCATGCCGGGCTGCGACGTGATCCAAACCACGCGCCTACATGGACGGCGTCATGGGTGTCGACGACGAGGCAGGACGTACTTGGTTGTTACGACGAGGTTGCCCGCGCCCTTGGCCACGACGGAAGCCTCATCTTCCTCGTCGTACTCGCTGAAGAACATGCGGATGCTCGGGAAGACCGAGAGGATGGACTCGTCTGCGGTGAGGACCGGCGCGCCGTCGGCCCCGCAGTCGTTGGCATGCAGCGTGTTCATGGTCGATCCCGGTCGTAGCACGTGCGTCGTGGATTGGCCAATTTCTTCACAGTTTTGTTCAATCGCAACGCGTCCTTTTATTTCAGCCAATCAACGTGCCGAAACCACTATAAATGGCGAGGAGTGGCAGTTTTGTTTGAATTTGCGGCGAATTTTGGCCTATGGGATACAAGTCCAGAAAGGTGCTCAAAAGAGCAATGACCAAGGTGCTCATCGTCCCCGGCAACGGATGCACGCCCGTCGAGGCCTGCAACTGGTACGCATGGCTCGCCGAGAAGATCCGCGAAGCTGGTCACGAGGTATGTGCGCCGCTGCATGGAAGCCTCACATGTCATGGCAGGCCATTCTGCGTGACATGCCCGACCCGTACGTGGCCCGCGAGTCCGTGTGGCTGCCGTTCATCAAGGGCGAGATGGGCTGCGACGAGCAATCGGTTTTGAACGACAATGGTCATTTCAGCACTTCTCCACATACATGGACTAGATCATCGTGGGCCACAGCTCGGGTGCGGAGGCCGCCATGCGGTATGTCGTCTTGGGCCAACGACGTGGCCGACTCATGTCTTGGCTAGTCTTGCCGAGACGACGAAACTTCGAGGTACGAAGTGGCCTCTGGTATCGCACTCGAGCGAGTCTAGGTCTTGTCCTCGTCTCTGCGTGTGTGACGGACCTCGGTACGTACCAAGTGCCACTGGTCGATCGCTCACGTCCAAGCGAAGGCGATGACAACGAGCGCGCGTCGGGGTACTACTCACGTCCGTGGGCGTGGGCCCAGATCAAGGCCAACTGCGATTGGATCGTTCAGTTTGGGTCGCCCGACGATCCGTTCTTGCCTGCTGCCGAGCAAAACCAAGTCGCCGAGGGCTTATCGTCCGAGTTCCACTACCTCCGCGGTTGTCTCTATTGTACTTCCTTGTGTTGCCGCTGACTGTATGTGCTAATAGGGCGCGGCCACTACATGCGCGAGGAAGAGCCCGTCATCTGGTCGGCTCTGGCGGCCAAGCTTGTGCCGCAGTAATCAGTCGTCATCGTATCGACTTGATAATAAAGTTCTCAAGGGTTTCGATGGTATCATCACCGAGTTCGCTTCGAGGCGTCGTTCCGACGACGATGAGTAGTAGGAGCGGGAAGAAGCTGCGGCTTGCGTTTCTTCGAGAAGCCAACGGACAACCCTAGCCCGCGCAGGTTCAACGACAGCCGGCGGCCAGTTGCGAAGCACCGATGAAGCGGCCACGCATCCTCCTCCTCGTGCCCGCAGCCGACGGCAGCAACTGGTACCCCTGGCTCGCGGCCAAGCTCGACGCGGTCAAGTGCAAAGTGGGAAGGATCGTCTGCACATGCGTCTCACGCCGTGTTCGGCGTAGGTTGTGCTGCGCTGCACCACGACGCCGCTCGCCGCACTGCGCGACGAGTGCGACGGCGACACGGTGCAGTCGCGATCCCGCGATGTCGTCCTCTGAGAGTTCCGCGTAGATTGTCCTGGGGCATCGAAGCGGCGCGGGGCCAGCGCTACGGTGATACGACAAAGCGCCGCGACGTCCCAACTCATGCGCCTTGCAATAGATTGGCCGAGCAGGCAAACGTGCTGGGTATGACTACTCGTTCATGGCAGTCGTTGACACCACAACTGCTCGTCCTAGGCCTTGTTCTCGTCGCACCGTACGTGGCAGGACCGCGGGTTGACGGTGTCCATGCCCCCCTGCACGACGACCCTGTCACGTTCCAGTTCACCAAGGTGCGGCACAACAGCGGCTGGATCTTGCAGTTAGGGTCGCCAGACGACTTGTACATGCCGGTGCCCAATCAGATGGCGCTCGCGCAGTCGTTGCACTCGGATTTCTACTTCTTACCAGGTAGGTCGCTCGTCGTACTGCCTTCTAGCGAGATCGATCACCGCACGCGGGTAGGGCGCGCTCAGTACACGGCCGTCGAAGCACATGACCTCTGGGCCGTCCTCGTCGCGAAGCTGTCGCCGCTATAACTTAACTCCTTGTACACGTAATCAACCCAAAGGAATATATTATTCCCTTGAATCAACCCGACGTTTCGTTTCGTATCCTCATGCCGTCGGGCTTCAAGGAGAACTACTGCGCGTACGCGCCGATGGACTCAACTACGATCTTGACGCTGTCTGTAGCGACTGCTTTCTTCAGTTCGAGTCGACCGTCGACTTTGGCACCCACCGCGCCAAGGTACGACCTCTACCTCCCATATATACTTCGGAAGCGGGATGCTTGCTAGTTTTGCCTCCAGAGCGAGTATGGCGACCCGGCCAAGCTCGAGGCCGCGCTGGCAGAGCCCGAGAAGCCGCCATTGGCAGCGCCCATGAGTTTAGCGCAGGTGCAGGCATACTTGAGCGCGCCGTCGACGGCAGCACGCCTCGACCAGCTCTCTCTCCGCGAGCTCAAGGCCAACGTGACCGCGAACGACCAACAGATGGAGAAGCTCAAGGCGCAGCTACAGCGCGATCGTGCGAGAGAAAAGGCCGACGAAGTGCGCGCGCTCAAGGTGCGGCAGCAGCAAGCGCTGCTCCAGAAGCAGCGCGAGGACGACGAGATCGAGGCGCTTCTCATCGAGATCGAGCGGCGCAAGCAAGACGAGCTCCAAGCGCGCTTGAGCCAGGAGCAGATCAAGCAAGAGCTGCATGCGCTGGATCTCGTAGCCTCTCGAATCGACAACGATCGACCAATACGTTCTTGTCTAGGCGGGCATTGCGTCGCTCGAAGATGCGAGAAAGTGCGACTTGGTCGAGCTCCAGAACGCCAAAGAGGCCCTGCGGCGCAAGGAAGAAGCAGCGCTGCGAGACATTGAAGCCCTCGAGAAGCGCGTGAAAGACCAAGTACTTCTTCCTACATCGGAGGTCCCTTGACGTAACCGGCGTAGGAGCGCCAGCACCGGGACCTGGAGCGGACGATGCTGGAGAAGCTCCAGGTCGCCGACGCGCCAGAGGCTGGTGACGACCGATCCAAAGCGCTTCGCACCAAGCACATGGAACGTAGTCGCGCGCATGGCGTGGCCACGGCCACCCTGGAGCAGCAGCGTCGGGAGCTACTGGCGCAGCAAGCGCAGTTGTGTCGGGCGCTGGAAGACAACCAAGAAGCCGCCGAACCTCTGTCGATGGCCAGTTTCAACTATGACGCAGAAAAGGACCGCGTCGAGCGGCTGGCAAAAGACGTCGAAGTCGCCGGGAAGGCCGCACGCATCGACTTTGAGAAGCAAATGGAGCCGCTCTTGCTTGTGCCGGAAGAACCCATTGATGCGCAGATCGACCATTTGCTCCGAGACCTCCAGCCAGCGCAGTGTACGACGAAGCGCAGCGCAAATCAGAGCCCTCCCCGGGCTCCGAAGACGCCACCACCCGCCACCTTGCCGCCGTCCGACTCGCTTGAAGAGCTCACTCGGCAGCACACAAGTCGCAAGAGGTCGCGACCACCAACGCCAGTGCTTCCTATCACCACAACACCACAGACCACCTCTCCACCCCCCATGTTGATGCCAGCAGCGGCCAACCCACCCCTCCCCACAAGCCCGACGACTTCGTATCCGTCGATGAGCGGCTACCCACCCGGGCCCTACCCAACCACCTGCTACCCAACTGCTCCAGGGCCCTACCCAACTGCTCCAGGGCCATATCAAGCGCCATACCCAGCAGCTTCCGTACCATACTTCGCACCAGGACCATACCCAGCATCGATACCGTGGGGCTATGGTTGCCCATACATGTACCAGCCCCCTCCGCCGTATTACTCTGGGATGGCGGGTGTCGGCGCAGCCATCATGGGGTGCCCTCCATTTTCACCTTCGTTTGCAGCGCCGTCGGATTCGGAGACGGCAAAGCTGCAGGCGCAGCTGGATGAGCTCAAGCAGCTGCAGGAGCAGCGCGAGTTTGAGCGCGAGACGTCGCGCTTCCAGCAGCTGCTGCAGAGCTTGCAAGGCGTGGGGCCCGAGAAACCTGCGTCGTCCGAGGCCACGAGCGAAGAGCCCGCGGAGCTGCGAGCTCTACGATTGCAGCACGCGCAAGAGATGCTGCGCATCCAGCACGAGCGCAGCCTCATCGAAGAGCACGAAAAGGTTCTCTCCCCTCGTGAAGCAAAGTTGAGACAAGACGATGGACGTAGCTGCGCGCGGTGCGCGAAGGCGCCGAGCGGCGGCGCAAGGAAGCCGACGAGCAGCTCGAGCACGACGAGTGGGTCGCCAAGCAGAAGCGCATGGTGCTCGCCCTCCGCATGAAGAAGGTGCTGGCGACGGAGCAAGCGACGTCGACCGCCGCCGAGACCAGCGTTGTTTTGCCGTACGATCCCGACCTCGGCTTTGTCATCTTCTGGGACTTTGTGAGCTGCGTGCCACTCAACGTGCCGTGCTTGCAGGTACTTGCGCTCGAAAGGAACTCCAAACAAGCTTAGAGTACGTAGTTGACCTACGCCTTGTACGACCAGACGACCGTTCGCTCCAAACACAAGCTTGTGCGCCCGCATGAGTGCGAGCCCCACGGCCTCAGCCATCAGCGCTGCGTGTTTGCGACACGCCGAGACTTTGAGCAGATGCCCGCGAGTCCGCATCTCCGTCTCCTCGTCGAGGTATGAGCTTGGTCGTGGTCGATGTCCCATGCTCCGTAGGTGGCCATGGTGGCGTCGCCGACTGGGCCGCGCGCACGGGCGCCGGCCTCGCTCGGGTGGACGGCCATCGATATCTTCTTGCCGTCGCTCAAGCTTCAAGAAGGCTGCTTCAAGCTCCCGCTCAGCTTTACGCCGCTACCGCAGGCGACCGCGCCATGGGCACTGCCATTGGGTGAAGACGACAATTCCGCAAAGCTCTATGTGCGCCTTGTGCACGCTGCGCAGGCCGAAGAAGCATCCAAATTTGCAGTCAACCCCGACACCATGGCCGGTATCTCACATGGATGCCGCCGCCAAAACTCAATTCCATGTAGACAAGTACGCGTTGCCGCCCAACCAAGCGCTTCGAGCAGCACCCCAGTCGCCAGGGCCAGAACGTCCAGCCGAGAAGAACGCCGCACCGCCAAAGAAGCTTGCCGCCGTGCCCGATACGAGCGTTTCTTCACCGCTGCCGATGACACCCGAGGCAAAGCCATCGCGTAAGTCCAGCACTCGCCCCGACAGCAACTCGAGCCTTCTGGATATCACATAGCATCCAACGAGGTGTCGCGACCTGCTACGCTGAGCGAGCCCAAGGTGGCGCCCAAGATGGAGCCCAAGGTGGAGCCCACAGTAGCGCCGCCAGAGGTCGCTTCCCCAATGCCCACGTCTCGCCTCTACGCGCCTACAGGTTTGGCTCGTCCCGAGGTGCACAACGATGCGAATGAGCTTGTAGCCGAGCTCGAAGACAGTGCATTCTTGAACTGCGACAACGCGAGCCAGCGGCGCCGGCAGCTCTTCGCTCGCGGCGACGGCGTCAATATCTATATTGACGGCGCGCGGTCGCTGCCCGACTGCACCAGTGTTACGAAAGCGACGGTCTTTGCCTTCCACAGCGACATGACGCTCTGCACGCCACTGGGCGAGACGACGGCGACATGCAGCTTGCAAGACAATGCGTTCACGCCAGCGTTCCGCCTTGTAAGAGACCAGTATAGTGCAATGTCGGCGCGTTCACACTCTGTAGTTGCTCGAGTTTCGGGACGAGCGCTTCAACCCGACACTGACCATAGTCGTGCGGCTCGACACGATCGACGTGCACTCCAAGCGCCCGCTCGTGCTCGGCTACGTCGCCGTATCTGTCTTCCTCGACGCAAATGGCCAGCAGCCGACCAAGCCGTCCGTGCAAGACGTCTACCTCAACGACGGCGCGTTCCAGGTGCCGCTGCGTGCCGGCATCACCCTCGGCTCGAGCGCTGCGGCCATGACGGCCAAGGCCTGCGACGGCGCGCTCAAGATCTCTTGCGCCACTGTACTCGTGCGCATCGCACCTGCCACCAAGGTACCTGCCACTGCGTGAACCAATTTCAAAAAGCGCTACAGTCGGAGGACGGTCTGCGCTGCTTGAGCCGCAAAGACGCCCCCGCGGCCGAGTGGGAGGCACAGCGCATTGTGCTGCCGGCGCCAGCGTACGCCAGCCGCGCGTACGACAGTACAAGTGCGCGGCCCAGCGCGATGGAAGAAAAGCTGTACGAACTGCGGGTACGGAGGTCTGAACACGGGTCGAGAACCATGGACGTGGCCGTAGCAACAGCGCAAGCCGCGGCTCGTGGGTGAACTTCTGCAAAGCACCCTGGCCGTCGACGCCGAGAGGCTTCCAGCCGTCATCGCCAACCAGCTCGAGGTACCGCGATGCCTGGCAACTCGATTCCTGACGCTAGACGGTAGAAGAAGCCCAAGACGTCGCTCCTCGATGTGCGGAGCAGCATCTTTGTGTACCAGCCTGAGATTGGCTTCCGCGTCGCCATCGATGGGCTGCACAACCTTCCGTCAAGCACGAATGGGAGCTTTGTCAAGGTCCTTGCGAGCGTCGCGCCCCCCGCAGCATTCTACCAAGTACAAATTCTCGCTCATTCTTCTGTCGACACGCTCTCTGCGCAGACACCACAGCTCACAGACGACGTGCAACTAACCGTGAGCTACGACTGGACGAGCGCAAGCTCGAGCCCCGAATTCAGCGACGGCTACCACGTACAGAGACCGCCGAGATGCAGCAGAATGATTCACGTGGTAGACCTACCGAGATGTCGTGGCGGTGTCGTCGACGCCGCTTCTTTTGGTCTTGGATGTGCGCTGCGTCAAGATGGGAAAATCCGGCGACTGGGCTTCGACGCCATTCGGGTGGACGTACCTCAAGCTTTTGCACTCCGAGAGCGGCGGCATTGCTCCCGGCAGCTTCCAGCTCCCCCTCTTTGCCGGCAACGTCACGCTTGTACGCCACGTCACAAAATTCTGTTTCAAACAGAATATGGTAGGACGTCTTGCAGCACGACCAGGATTTGGATTCGCTTGTCACGCAAGAGGTTGCCAAGAAGAAGGGACTGATCGCGTACATCCCAGGCGCGTCGCTCCTCTTGCGGATCGAGGACGGCCAGCTGCCCGGCGTCTTTCCGACGCCCTTTGTACAGTCGCGTGCCAACCTACAGAGTCCTAAGACTACACGTGTAGACCACGATCGAGCCCAAAGGAATTCCCGCGAGTCTCTTGGCCAAGTACGCGTACGATCCGGCAGCGATTCAAACGCAGCGCAAGAAGAAACCTCTGACCAAGCTCTTGCCACCCAAGCGCAGTGAGCAAGAGCTCGAGAAGGAGCTCAACGTTGCGTTCGCCGACGAGATGGGCATCACCCACTACGTCTTCTAAAACTGGATTTGGAATTGCACAAGTTCCGGCTGGCTTCGCGATCACCACGCGGTGCCAGGTGATATCAAGTTGATACAATGAAAGAATGTGCTGATATGGTGCGCAATGCGTTCGGCGTCGGTCCAGTCGATGTCACAAGAGTAGCCCGAGCAGCTTCGCTAGTACAGTACGTTGCAGTGGATCTTGGCACTGACATCGATGACGCCCATGCGAGGTGTCTCTGCCCTGGACCTTTCCCTGAACGAAGAATGTCCTACACATATCAGACAGGGCCAAGTACTTGGCGTCTAAAAACAGACTCTTTCTGGTCTGTCGAGGTAGAGCTACGACGGATATGGACGCTCGGAGCGCTGCTTCGGGCACTAAAGCGCGGTCGCTGCCGAGTGGGCTACCTCGCAATGGCGGGGCTGGTGTCGGAGACCATGTCCAATATGGCTGTCGTCAGTTCCTTCGTACTCGTTGGTGCGACAGATGCGTTGTGCTTTGTCGTTCCCGCCGCTCCTCTTGGCCGTTCACGCCATCCATGTCAAGAGAGCTGCAAGAGACGATGCCCTCGTCGTAACAACAACCACGTTGGCTTGTCACGGTGATGTTGCTGGTCTTCAACACCGACAAGTCGCGTTCTACTGCTCCTCCAGAGACCGCCGATGGGGCGGTGGCAAGGCCTTGGTGGCTACAAGGGCTCGCCGCGGCCATGGCGGGCGGGACGGCGTCGGCCCGGAGAACGCTGCCGGCGACGTCAACGGCCAACGCATCTCGCCACCCACCGTGGTCTGTTTCTGCTGCTGTTTGTAATCTATAATTAGCAACGCCAGATCCTTCTATTTGTATAGGCGGTCGTAATTAAAAACAAACCGACGATGGAAAGAATCGTAATAAAATACGACGCACGGGGCAGTGTGCTTTTCTGCCGACGCGACCGACTCGGCGACCATGATGGCGACGCAGCACCGGGCCGACGACAAGATGAACGCCCGGATCGAGGACCTCGCCCTCGAGATGCAAGCAACGCTCGCCCGCCTCGGCGCCTCCACCGAGCCATCGAACCAGGACGACGAGGACGACGAGCCTCCGAGCGAGCTCGCGGTGAGCCTGCCCGAATTGATCCACCGCATGCAGGCCATGGTCGAGGTCATGGAGCGCCAGACCGAAATGTACGATGTCATGAAGGCGCGCTTGAGCTACGTGCCCAATGACACGGACAGTCGCGACTCGCGGTCCAGCCTCTGGCTCAACGACGCGGGCCGGGACAGCGTGTATACTGGCAGTCGGGGCAGCCTCGTGGGCTACTTTGACAGCTCGCGCGGCTCCGAGTCGTTCCACAGCTCGCGCGGCTCCGAGTCGTTCCATAGCTCGCGCAGCTCCGAGCCGTACTACTCGCGCCACTCGGAAAAGCCGAGCCGCATTCCATTTGCGCAGTCGAGCTCCATGTCGTCCCTCGACACGCCGGAAGAGGAGCCGCGCCAGTCGTTTTCCTACAGCGAAGCGTTCAAGCGGCCGGCCTCCAGCGTCCTCACGCGGCAGCGCAGGACGTACCAAAAGACAGCACCGGTCACGGTCGAGAGCCTCCCGACGCAAGGCCGTCGCCGCCTCGACGTTGTCACGCCTGTCGCCCCGCTCATCTCAGGGGCCAAGTCCGAGTACTCGGTGCGCTGGGCGTCCGGCGACCTCGGTATTTCGCTCAACAATTTTGCGTCCGACGGCCGCGGCTTGCAGATCTCGAGCCTCGAGCGCTGCGCGTCAGGTGTCGCCGCCGGCATTGGCAACGCGCGCCTTGGCGACGTCCTTGTCTCGATCAACAAGGAGGTCGTCGAACACCTTCCATACGAAACGATCAAGGACGTTTTAAAGAAGACGCGCCGGCCCCTCGTGCTCGGCTTCCGGTCGAATCCGAGCTCCGTGACGTCGCCGACGTCGGCCAAGCGGTATGCGAGCAGCCAAAAGACGTTTGAAGAAGAGGTGGGCAGCATGAGCGCGCCGACGCTCTTCAAGGACGAACCGTCGCTCTCGATGGCATCGACTGTCGACTCGGAGGCGGACGAGCTTGAAGACTGGCTGCGGCGCCAGGACGCCATGCACAGCGAGCTCGTCCTCCTCCTAACCGAGACGATCCAGCGATGCGAGTCGCTCAAGGAGGAGAACTTTGACCAGCTCCAGCTCATGATGCAGCGCTCCATGAAGCGGCGCAACTCGACCTTCCTTCGACGGGATTCGCGCGATTTCTAGGTGTACCATAGTAACAAGCTGTCATTTTTCGATTCGCCATAGACGGAAGTCGCGCAGGAACAAGTCGTGTGTGTATTAAAAGCGTGTGCATGGATTCGTGATACGACGCGGATGCAAGGCTGCTTACCACGAGCTGCCCGTGCCCGACTTGGGGGCGACGAACGACGCATAGTCCCACTTGGTGTCGAGCGCATACGGCTCCGAGATGGACGTGCCTTGTTCGTTGACGCGGCCAATGGTAATGCGGTTGAGCGTGCGGCAGTCGCGGTAGAGGCAGACGCGCATGCACTTTTCGAGCAGCGCGTGGGCCTCGGTCTCGGTCATATCGGCGCGCCACTCGTTGCGCAGCAACGGCGTGGCCAAGTGGTGGCCAAAGCCCGTCGCGAGGTAGTTGCCTGTGAATGCGTTGCCGATCATCGTGACCTGGCCAAGGAAGGCCTCGCCCTTCTCGACGCCCGCGACCAAGAAGGTGTTCCAGAGCGGGTCAAACTTGTTGCGGCGGTGGTACAGCACGCGCTGGAGGTAGTGGAAGATCTCGCCCGCCGTCAAGTCGCACTTGTCGTCTTTGTTGAAGTCGTTGACCGCCATCTCGTCGAGGTGGTCGGCGAGGAACTGGAAATCCGAGAGCTCGCCGCCCGCGCCGACCAAGGTCGTGTTGTGCACGTTGAGGATGCGCCGGGAGTCCGTGAAGCGCGCCAGCGACCCGTAGCTGCCCAGCGTGTCGGCGGCCATGAGCACGCCTCCGTTGTACTTGACGGCGATGACCGACGTGCCGGTCACGATCGGGGACTGCGTGCGCTGGGCCATTGTCTCCTCGCAGCTCGGGGTTCTTTCGGGTTTTGGACCCCACGTGCCACCTGCATAAGCAGGATCTGGTATCCTGCCAGCCGAAATATTAGCTTTTGCAGGGTATCCAACGCCACAGGATAAGATCTGCATCCTCAATCCGCGATTCGCGATCCAGATGCCCTAGCGACCGGCGTAGGATCGCAAGGCGCTGCATGTGCAGGCGAGTAGCTCTAGGTATGTACGGCGTCCGACAGGTCCGGCGGGCCCACTTGACGGAGCCTACTAGTTGCGACGGACCTGCCGCGATGCCGCAGCCAAGCGCAACCGAGTCCCAGCGTCGAAGCTAGCGTCGCTACAAGGCGAGGGCGCTGCCCCATTCAGGATACAGTCGACGAGAGCCAATGCTTCGGCTAGCGTCGTGCGCCGAGAGCGACATGGGCAACGCGGGATCTGAGCAAATACTACTACATGTTGTCGTCGTCTATCTTACTCGCTGCTCTTGCGGGTCTTCTTTGCCGGCCGATCGTCTTCGCTGTCCGAGGACGACGACGAGTCCGAGTCGGAGCCACTGGAATCGCTTGACGAGGATGACGACGAGTCGCTAGACGAAGATGACGAAGAAGAGGACGACGACGACGACGAGACCGAGGCCTTGCGTCGGGCCTTCTTGGCCTTGACAGGCGCTTCGCGCGTCTTGTCCTTGACGTCGTGCGGCGACTGCAATGTATCGGTGCTAAACGGCCGGCGCAGGCGCGGGTTCGCGAGCACTTGCGTGCGGCTCGGGCGCTGGAGGTAGACCGCCTGGCCTTGGCACTCGTACGTCCAGTGACCCTTCTTCAAGCACTTCTGGCACGTCGCGTTGGCAGCGCCTGTGTCCTTGCCGCGGCTTCCGAGACCCGCGCGGCCGTACAGCATCCCTCGCTTCGCGTCCATGCTTTCTCGATGGTCTCTGCAACTCGATATACTGCTGGCAATCAACCTCTAGCAAGTAATAATACTCGCACCTTGAACCCAGCGCAGAACCCAGCGCAGACCGCTCGTCGGTCGTCGTGAGCACGTGGCCCATCAAGCCCGCGCTCTCCTACCTCTCAACGGCAACCGATGGGAGCCGCCCATCATTGGTGCTAGCTTCAGAGGCCTCGCGCTGCATCCAACCAAGGCGCCAGCGTCATGCAAATCCATAAAATCCATGCAAGAACACACAACGATTACGCTGACAGGAGGCCGCCAATGACTACGACGTGCCACCATATGCAAAGCCTCGAACATGCACGGGCAGGCCGCTGCAGTCTTCACTGACGCAGCGCTCGAGCGAGGCGAGCTCGAGGGGATCCGTGGCGGCGTGCAGCGGCAGGGTCGAGATCATGAGCGGCGCCGGAAGCTCCTTCGCCACGAGCTTGTCCCAGTCGATTGCGTCAAAGAATGGGTGTGCACGCACCATCGGCCCTTGCAGGCGCGTGGTGACGTCGCGGTCGAGCAGCCTATGCGCAGCGCGTCATCGATTCGAACCTCTACCCTGAAGTGAACGTACTGTCGCAAGAAGGACGTGGCCGTCGCCGAGAGGTCAGTGGGGATCTCAATGGCGCCGCGGAGCACGCGCTCGACGATGGCCTTGGGGTTGCGCTCGCGGAAGAGGCGCTGGCCCGTCAGCAGCGCGTAGGCGACGGTGCCAAACGACCACCAGTCGGCGGCGGGACCGAAGGGGCGGCCACCGGCAATCTCTGGCGCCATGTACACCAGCGTCCCGCACGTGCCTTGGAGCGGTGTGCCGTTGTACGCGGCGGCCATGCCAAAGTCGGTGAGTGCGATATGACCGTCGTCGTCGAGGAGGACGTTCCCGGGCTTGAGGTCGAGGTGGAGGAAGCCCTTGGCGTGCATGTGCTCGACCGCAAGGTAGAGCTGCGCGAGGTAAAAGCGCGCTTCGTCCTCGTCAAAGACGCCGTAGTGCAGCGCACTGTGCAAGTCGCCGCCGGCGTAGACAGGCAGGATCAGGAACGTCTTGGTTGTGGACTGGAATGCGTAGACCAGCGGCACCGTGTGGGCGTGCGAGAGCGTCGCGAAGAGGTCGCGCTCCAGCGTGAGGTACTTGAGCATCTTCATGTGCTTCACCTGGACCTTCATCGCATAACGCATCCCGGCGTCATCGCCCGACACCTTCTCGACCAGGAGCACGTCGCCGTGGCCGCCTTTTCCGAGCCGACCCAAGAGCTGAAAGTCGCTCAGTCCGACAGCGCGCGCGCTACGACGAGGGGACAGCGACGTCTTGAGATGGCTTCGCGTGGCCTCGGCCTCGGAGATGGTCGCGGATACCGTCGGCTGCGTGGCACTCACCGGCTTTGGCACGTCGGCGCATCGCACCTCGTTGTCCTTGGTAGGCTTTGGCATACATCGCGCCTCCTTGTCCTTGGCCGGAGATCGACGCGAGTGCTCGATCGCAATACGCGTGCGCTCGCTGGTGCAGTTGAAGCACTGGCGGCCTTTTGCCTCCTTCTTGGAGCAGCGCGAGCAGACGGAGCGTCGGCAACCAGCGCACTTTGACCAGAAGAGGTGGAGTCGGTGGTGCGGGCAGCGCTCCATGACATAGCACCACTCGGTGGAGACAATGACCACGCCGCGCCCGTTCTCGAGAGGCACTGCAACGCGGTCCATGTCTACGACTGGCATGAGCTTTGTTGTTGGCGAGAGGGCGCAGTACCTTTTCCGAGGCCCGCCATCGGAAGGACGGCCACGGCGTGCGTCGTGTAGGGCTGGAGCTTGAAGCGCGATGTTGTCTTCGTCTTGACGGCGAGCTCGACGCGTCCACTTGGAGCGATGAACTGGAACGCTTGGTGCCACTCTGGTGCCGTCTCGTGCGACGTACGCTGGGTCTTGCCGCCGCAAGTGACGCGGACGTAGCTCTTGTGCACGCCGACGCGGCTCGTCAAGGCCACGCTATGCACCGTGACGATGATCGAGTCGAGGCCTAGCATCTTTGAGCTGAAATCGTAGTATGAGCAGAAGCCACCAAGCCGCGTCCAGGAAGCATCAGACGACTGGGAAAAGCTGGGGCTGCTGGCTCTGGCTCAAATCGGGACCCTTCTGATTGGCTCCATGGTTTAGTTTTTGTCTCGATGGCGCTGCTGATTGGCGCATTTCATTATGACCAATGGTTAGTCGAAAACGTGGCAGACGGAGGGGCCTTCGCTCCCGCCACTTGCTTCGCCGCAAAGCCCCGCGTCGCTTGTTCTGGTTGAAGCACCACGCGAGGTTGAGAAGGGTCGCAGCGAGGCCTGTTGATGCGTGTTCGGAGACTGGAAGTTGCCCTCGTCGTCGATACGGCGCGTCGTCCCCGATGAGTCCTGGTCCGCCAAAGGATAGTGCAGCTGGTACATATGATCCTCCTGTGGCACCCCCGCGCTCGTCCAACTCTACCGATGAATATTCGATCATATCGAGCGTCTTGGTGCCCATAGCAACACTGGTGGCTGCCACGTATACGGAGCGTCACCGTCGTCATTCCAACGCGTGTCGAGGTCCATCGAACCGCGCATAGAACCTATAAGTCGTATGGAAAGCTCATTGGAGATGTCTTTTGACGTATCCGAACACATTCAAACCGCATGTGCAAGGCCATGAACCAGCCTGCAAGGGCAGTAAATGAGCGGCGGAAGCTGACCATGGAACGTCATACAACCATCAACATTAGTGGAAGCAAGCAAGGGAATAGACATCATTCCCTTACCGCCCATCCAGACCCACAAGACGAGGAGTATTGAGCCAAGGACCGACGACCGTACGTGCTCGACGTCGCCCTCCGAAGCGCAGAGATGATCTCGACAGCGTTGCTGCACGACGCGGTCGGTCATGCCGCCGGCCGCTTCCAGTCGTCGTCGCCAAAGTCGCTGGCAAGCGGCCAAAAGTGAACCGGCACATGGGCGCCTGAGGAAGGTTCAGTAACAACAGAGACATGGGCCCACAGGCATCAGCGAGCGCAGAGGTGAGTCGTTCGTGGCTGGGATCGTTGGCAACGGGAACGAGCCTAGTGGATGAGCGAAGCGGTCCTAAAAGTAGGCTTTGGACTACGGAGTCGTTGAGCCAACATGTCTCGTAGCAAGAGTTTGGGTCAACGACATCGACTGTCGTTGAATACGGCGGTGGAGACTGGGACAGGGTCTGCTGCGTGGCGGTGCCACGTCAGGCATCCATTTCAGTGAAAAATGCACCTGCCAGTAGGATTGGGTGCTCTAATGTGATTAAAAATAGCGGAATCTTTGTATATAAATACGCGAAATATAAAACAGCTAGCGCGGTGCAGGTTTTGGCCCAATCTTGCCATTTCCACGCCCCTCAAATGTCGGAACTGGCGGCCATCTTGGCCCGGCGACGCGCCAAGGACGGGACTGGCGAGCCCGCGCCCGAGACGCCTGCTCCTGAACCAGCGGCTGCAAGCCGGCCCTCTCCCCCGAGGCCATTTGCCGTGCCCTCGCCGGAGAAGCCGGTAGATGCATCGGACATCACGGCAGCCCATGAGGACGAGCACCCTGCCCGCCGAACGTCGTCCCGCATTGCCCAGCTGCAAGGAAACCTCGGCGCGCTCAACATGAATGCATTCCGCCCGATGCCCATGGCGCGGAAGAGCAACACGAGTAGCGCCCTCTCGACGGGCGAAGACTATGACTACGAAAGCACGATGAAGGTCGGCGTCGCGATGCCAGGCATGGCAGGCGTGCCCATGATCGGGCTCACCAAGCCTGGCATTGGTCTTCCGGGTATGATGAAGGCCCCGTCCTCTGAGGAAGAAGCGGCGCCGGGTGACGCGCCGCAGCCGACCCCCGTGGCTCACGTACGATACCGCCATTTCCACCTTGCAGTGGTTTGCAACAGCTTGTTCTTGTACATAGACAACGATGACCCGCGCTGCCGGACCCAAGCGTCGGGCCCCCACGAAGGCCAAGACGGAGCTGCCCATCGCTACGCCGGGCATCGCGGCCTCGAGTGCCCCGCTTGTCGCTGACGATGCTGCAACCCCAATTGCACCTGCAACGGCCGTCGCCTCCGAACCTCAAGAAGCCACGACGCTGTTTGGTGCGCAGCCTCACGAAGCGGCGCGCCCCATGCTCCAGTAGAAGCCGCGCCGTCCTTGTTTAGTGCGCCACCGGTCCGCCCGGCTCGAGCAAAAGTCTCTTCAGCGACGAGATCGTGTCGTCGCCGCTGGCCGCCAAGCCAGCGATGGCAGGGCCGCCGCGCATGAACACGGCGCTTTTCGGGGCGGGTACCAAGGACAACTCGGACGACAGCGACTGGAGCGACGAGGACGACGACACCAAAGGCGGTCTTTTTGGCGCCCCGCACCACGCCGCCACACTGCACGCAGCCCCCGTCGTCGCGCCGGCTCCCCAGGCTACGCTAGTGAGCGCGCCAGCAGCCTCGCTGCATGCGGCATTGCAGGCAACGCTCTTTAGCCAACCCATCGCGGCCGAGGCACCGTCGCTCTTCGGACAGCCGCGTCCCTCTGCGCTCTTGGGTGCAACGAGTGCGCCTGCCCCGTCGCGCCCCAACCTGTTTGCGGCCTCCGACAGCGACGACGACAGCGACGACGGCGGCGGTCTCTTTGGCACGGGCCTTCCGAAAAAGTAACACTTGTTGCAACACGTTTCTTCCTTGTTCAGTCCATGGGTTCATTACCACGATTGCGCCGGCGCGAGCGTCTTGGTGTTGATAAAGAGCGTCGTGCCCTGGACGCGGCCGTAAAAGTAGGCTTTCGTGCCGCCGACGCCGACGCCGCCCGCACCGACGCGGTCGATGGCCGCGACGACGGGACGGTACGCGGGCGTCGTCGGGTGCAGAAAGGTTTTGCGCGACCGGTCCTTGTTGTAGACCAGCATCGGGTGGTCACTCGAACCCATGGCCTTTTGGATCTTGTAGAGCTCGCCGAGAGCGCCGTGGGCCGCGCCCGCCGTGCTGTGGTTCATGCGGATCGTCGCTTGGTGCGGGTGCGACCCCATAAACATCACCGGTTCGTCGAGCGCCATGGGCATCCAGTCATCCGAGTCCGGAGCGGCCGCGGTAGCCGGCGCCGGCGTCGACTTGGACTCGCCACCCACCGTCATGAGCGACACGGGCTCGTCGTTGCCGGCCTCGAGGTTGCCCATGAGCCCGAGCTTCTTGAGGTACTTCTTCACGCGCGCAAGAGGCACGTTCGCAAAGAGGCCGCCATGGGTCAGCACCGTCGCGTGCACCTGCTTGAGGCTGAACGCAGGGTGCGCGAACTTGATCGCTTGGACCAGCGCCGTGAGCTCTTCGGCCGAGACGACGTCTGCCATGGCAATATGCGAAATGGCAGCTGATTGGCCAAAAAGACGGCAATTCCAACGGGATCCAGCGAGGACCAAGACGTCAGGCCAGTCGACGCCATCTAGCCCCAGGCGGAGACAGCCTCCCGTGTCCTGCTACAACCTCGACCGAGCGGCTCTCGCTGCGCCAGGTCGAGAGCCAACGCAAGCACTCCTTTTCTTCACACGATGTACAGTCTCTATTCGAACGTCCTACTACAAGGCTTGCAGCCGCTGCAACTCGTCGCAGTTGGGCGTCGCCATGGCGGCGGCCTTGCGCAGGGCCTCCTCCCGCGCCTCGGCATCGTAGAGACTGCGCGCCTTGGTGACGCGCCGCTTCTGCTTGATGCGCTCGCTCTCGCAGCCTTCCCGCAGCCGCGTGACGTGCCACTGCTCGACCTACACGCGCATGATGATGAGGCTCGTAGCGTCACAATGGGGTACCATTTGCTCGACGCGCATGAGGTCGCGCCAGTCGTTGGTGTACTTTCTGTCAAAGTCCTTGGCCACGTAGTACGGGATACCGTTGACGACGTTGCGCATGCGCGTGTTGCGGAGCACCGAGTGCTCGCTCGTGGGCTGCAGGCTGAACGGCACGTTGCGCTCGGCCGGGAACGACAGCAGCGAGAGGCAGAAGACGAGGATGAGCGGGAGGAACTGCAGCAGCTGCTGCATCGGTGTCCGTGGCACCGCGTTGTGCTGGCTCGTGCGCTGGCGCTGCCGGGCGCGCTGCGGGTGGAGACCGCCGCCGAAAAACATGTTGAAGATCTCCTCGGGACTGATGTCGTCCTGCTGGTACCGGTACGCGCGCGGCGCCTGGCCGCCGTTCTCGCTCGGCGCGTTGTCGCCAAACCGGTCGTAGTCGGCGCGCTTCTGGTCGTCGCTGAGGACGGTAAAGGCCTTCCCAACCGCCTTGAACGCGTCCTCGGCGCCGGGCGCGCTGTTCTTGTCCGGATGCAACTTGAGCGCCAACTATGAGGACGTGCATGAGCATGTATTTCCGTATGATCTTGAGCGGACTTTGCGGTACGCCTTCTTGATCTCGTTGTCATCGGCGGTCTTCTCGACGCCAAGAACGGCGTAATGGTTCTTGCACGCCTTGATCTGGCGCACAATCTTGACCTGCTCGTCCGTGAACGGCCGGCTGTCTTCTTGCTCGCTCGGGCGCGCGGCAGACGACGACGGCGCTGCCCGTGACGTCGACGCAGCGGGCGCGGCTTGCGGCGCGGCCTGCCCTGCCATGGACTGCTCGGCCCGCGCCTTCAGAGCCTCCGCGCCGGGCAGCGGATAGAGGCGGATGGACTTGTCGAACCACTTGGCGGCTTGCGCAAAGCTACCTGCGCGGAGGTGCTTCTTCCCGAGCTCCATGCACTTCTCGGCCTCGTCCCGGTTCATCTCCATCGTCGCGTCCTCGCCCCGCGACCAATTGCCGGAATGGAGAAGGATGACGTTTGCCGGCGCATTAATATTCGTTCCCAAATTCCACGCCAGAATTAAATTGCCCTGGATACTAGCGGCTACAGCTAAACACACGCAACTTGCCGCTGCCACGTGGACGACCTCTCGCAGCGTGCAGATTGCGCCGCGCCATCGTATCCAGGTAACGACATGCTCTCGGCTTCGTGCCCACGGGCATGTTGAGCCGCAAATGGCGCATGAAGCGGCACGCTTCTTACCTGAGGTCGGCGCACGCTCGCGCGAACACTGCGTCGGATCCAAAGTGATAGTTGGGTGCGTTTAGCGGCTGGTGTCTCTACCTCGGTGCCTTTTTATTGTCGTGGCGAATAAAATAGCACGAATTTTAATGCGACGCGATTTATTAAATTCTCGCGAGACTGGATTGCAGACCAAGATCCGATTCCAGAGGTCGTCGCGATGGCATGCTGGCCCGGGTACGCGCTCGGCGTCCGCGAGACGTGCTTCCGCCCAAGCTCGAGCTCCGACGCCGACGTGGATGCAGCGCTGGACGCTGCGGAAGAGAAGCTGCAGCAGTACATGGAGGCGCTCGTGGGGCGAAAGGCGCCGGCGCCATGGGGCCTCGCCTGCAAGGAGGCGACCGGCCAGCGGGCAAGCCGCGAGCCAGCGTCGCCACTGCGCAGTGTGCAAGACGACCCCATCGAGGTGGAAGGCAACGACGAAGAGGAAGTGCTCGCATTGGAGCTCGATGACGACGACGACGAGGAAGACGAGGACATGGAGATTGAGCTGGAGGACGACGAGATCGCGCCGACGCCGGACCGGCGCCACTTTATGATGGCCGACGACGACGACACCCACGATACGTTCGATGCGAGCTTCGATGCCATTGGCACCACGAGCAGCGCCCAGCGCACGATCCAGTTCTTCCCTTCGCCGATCATCGAGACGCACCGCGCCAGCACCCGCGAGCGACGGTCGACGCCGCTGTTCAGCGACGCGAGCCCCGTCGTTCCATATCCTCGAACGATCCCCGAGCCCATGTCCACGGGCAGCCACATGTCGCTTCAGATGGACGACCCGGACACGAGCCGCATGTCCTTGGACTGGGACTCGAGCCTGCGCTAAGATCTCAATTTGGCATTATTTATTACGAGTGTAATGGACGCGCAGGACGAGTGTAATAGCCGCACAGCGTGAGCCAGACACTGTGCGACATCTGGCGGCCAGCCCAGCGCGCTGTCGTCGGCTCGCGCTCGCAATCGTTGAAGGCGCCGCTTCAAGCACGGGCAACGTCGCCCAAAGAAGCGGTGGCGTGTTTACGGCTGTCGCCGCCTCGCGTCGGCCTGCTTACGAAGAGACGACGACCGACGCCCGCTCGGGACGGGCGCATGGGTGCGCTTGGGATCCAGTCGCGCCTGATATACCGTCGTCCATGACGCGTCGCGCCACCCGACTACGCTACGACCGTCATCTCCCGTGTCGTTCCACACGGCCATGAACACAACGTTGGCATGTTGCCATGGGCAAGACCACTGGATCATGTGTTTGGTCGACGGAAGCATGTGTCTCTAGCCTACGCAGTGGAAACGACGCCTAGGGCCAGCCAAGGACGCGGCGACATAGCGTGGGCACAGACAGGCGCTTAGACGCCGGGTGGTGTCGAGTCGACGCAGACCAGGCGTTGACGCAGCGCGTGACTTACAGCGCAAATGACGTGGGCTGCTCGTTCAGCAGGATCCATCCATCGATGTCGGATCATCATTTCCCAACGTTCCTCTTCGTTATCGCAGCAACAACATGGCCCAGCTCAAGAAAGCTCCGTCCGTCGTCTTCGCATCGCCAGATGCGTCCGAGGTCAAGCCTGGCCACGGCGCCACGTATCGCGTCGGCCCGTTCCCGATCTGCCCCGTCCAGACGCTCATGCAGAACCTCCAGCAGACCGTGCGCAAGCACCCGAAAGGCAAGTTCATTGGCCACCGCCCGATCGACTGCCGCGGCAACGCGGGGCCGTACCTCTGGCTCAGCTACGAGCAGGTAATGTACATATTCCTCGCTCATCTCGACGCTAAGCACCGCGCAGGCGTACACGCGCATCCAGCACCGGTCTCGAGAACCAAAAGATGCTCGAGCCGACGGCCGACGGCCTCCGCATGCTGTGCATCTACATGAAGAACCGCCCGGAGTGGACGCTCGCGCAGTACGCCACATACTACGCCGGCGGCATGGTCACGCCGCTCTACGACTCGCTCGGCGCGTCCGCGACGTCGTTCATCTTGCAGCAGACGCACGCGTCGACGGTCATTTGCACGAAAGACGAGCTCAAGCACCTTTTGACGGCCAAGGAGAGTGTCTCGACGCTGCACCACGTGATCCTCTGCGACGTGCGCGTCACGACCGAGGAGGACTTCAACCTCGCGGCCAGCGTCGGGCTCCGGCTCTGGAGCATGACGGAAGTCGAGATGCTCGGCGAGCGCTACCCGATGGAGCCGTCGCCGGCCGCGGGCCACGACCTCGCGATCCTCATGTACACGAGCGGCACGACGGGCGAGCCGAAAGGCGTGCAGCTCACGCACCAGAATCTGCTCATCGCGGCGCTCGGCGTCGAGGAGCGGCTCAAGCAGGGCAAGGCTGTCGAGGTGTTTGAGAAGAAGCCGATCTACCTCTCGTACATGCCGCTGCCGCACGTGATGGAGCAGCTCGCGCACCTCGTCGTCATTAGCCACCACGGCTGCATCGGTTTTTACCAGGGCAACACGCTCAAGCTCCCGGACGACCTCAAGAGCCTCCGGCCCACCATCTTCATGACGGTGCCCCGCCTGCTCAACAAGATGTACGACAAGATCGTGGGCATGGCGTCGTCGGCGGGCGGGCTCAAGACGTGGGTCTTCCAGACCGCGCTCAACGCCAAGCTCCACAACCTCCAGAAAGGCAAGACCAACCACGCGCTCTTTGACAAATCCGTGTTTGACAAGGTACACGTTCAGATTCAGGTTCAGATTCCGACGTATTGCGTAGATCAAGGCCAAATTGGGTCTCGATCGGTGCGGGGTCGTGCTCACGGGCTCGGCGCCGCTCTCGGACGACGTGCTCTACTTCTTCCGCGTCCTGCTCAACTGCCCTGTCTTTGAGGGCTACGGCCAGAGCGAGTGCACCGGCGGGTCCTGCTGCACGGACATCAACGACCTCAGCGCCGGCACGGTCGGCGCGCCGCTCGTCTCGAACGAGATCAAGCTCGTGTCGGTGCCAGACATGGGCTACAACGTCACCGACAAGTTCCACGGCGACGACGAGGCGACGCGCATGCGCGTGAACGGCCGCGGTGAGATCTGCTACCGCGGCCCGATCGTCTTTTCCGGGTACTTTAAAGCGCCGGAGAAGACGGCCGAGGTGCTCGACGAGGACGGCTGGCTCCACTCGGGCGATATTGGCGTCTGGACGCTCGATGGCCGCCTCAAGATTGTCGACCGCAAGAAAAACATCTTCAAGCTCTCGCAGGGCGAGTACGTGGCCCCCGAGAAGATTGAAAACATCATCAAGGGCAGCGTGTACGTCGCCCAGCCGTTTGTGTATGGCGACTCGCTCCACTCGATGCTGGTCGGTATCATTGTGCCCGAAGAAGCCGAGCTCCGGCGTCTTGGCGACTCGTTTGGCATCGCTGGCAGCTTCCCAGAGCTCTGCAAGCACCCCAAGGTACGACGCCTTCGCGTCCCGCACGCTCATGCATGTGCGTGTATGGTAGATCATCGCGGCGGTCCAGGCCGATATCATTGCGGTGGGGAAGAAGGGTCTCCTCAACGGCTTTGAGACGGTGCGCTCGATCCTCCTGCACCCGGACCCGTTCACGATCGAGAACGACCTCATGACGCCGACGTTCAAGCTCAAGCGCAACGACGTCAAGAAGGCCTTTATGAAGGAGATCGACGCGCTCTACGAGAAGAGCGGCGACGTCGTCGCGGGCAAGAACGTCAAGCAGCACTAACTGTCCTTTGTAATTCCCTAACTGTGTGGTGTGTACGCGACTTCCACTGTGGAGGGAAATACGCGCGAGGCTTGCTTTGGCCCATGCTTTGTCTCGGCGTCGGCCCAGAATCTGGCTCGCAAACGATCGCCAGTGATACCCTGGTAGGTACTGTCGAGTGGTAGTGGATGAGGATGACGACCCGTGCGCGTCGGCGTGAACGCTTCAATTATCTTGAACCGAACGGTGCAATGAACGGACTGACCTCTGGCGCTTGGCTTTGTCGAAAGACTCTCCTTGCATCTGCTTGGCCGCTGTGGCAACCTTGAATTCACGCGAGGGATCGAAGGCGACGCTGCAGGACACGTACTCGCTGCTCGCGTTTGTTCCTCGAGGCAACGTCGCCCCAGGGGCTCCAGTTTCCGAGTCTTTTGGGATAGAGCATTATGTAGTATGAGGAGTAAGAGCGCAGGATGTAGTACCATGAGAACATGCTCGAGCATGTTGGACGACGAGCTGTGGAGTTTTCGGACCTGGGCTGACCTGGAGCCACAGAGCTTCTTCTCCATCTCGGCAAGGCACGAGTCGTGCCCACGAACGCGGGCTTGCGCTGCTCGTTCTCGGTCTTCCTCGACTTTAATCTGGCGGCTTCCTGTCCGCGAGCGTTGGAGGCCAGCTGACGTTGGATTGCGATGACGTCTTTTTGCTGTTCGGCGAGTTGGCCATCTCCAATGGCTGCTTGCGTAGCCTTGAGCAGGATTCAAGCCCAAGAGCTCGCCGATCTGTCGTCGCCGATCTTGAGGGTATCTTGGGGCAAGAACTGACACAAGTTGTCCACTTGGATTGCCCATTTTCGCAGCGCTGCCTTGATCTTGCTCACAGTCCGGCCGTCGAGATCCCACGTCGACCGGTTGTCGCGGTAGATGGTGCTGCGTCCAGCTGCACAAGTTCCTTACGGTACAAGGACACAGAGTTGCGCCCTGGGCCACGCCTTAACGTCGTCCTCGGAGCCAAACAACGGGGTGGGCAAGTCGTCCATTGTCTGCGCGCTCTGTCTCTGCCTCGGCAGGCCGACAAAGCTCCTCGGACGAGCCGAGAACGTCGGTCAGTTCGTCCACCACGAGAAGGACTCTAGCTCGAGCTTATCTTTTCGTGGTGGACGAACTGACCGACGTTCTCGGCTCGTCCGAGGAGCTTCGTGGGCCTGCCGAGGCAGAGCGCACAGACAATGGACGACTTGCCCACTCCGTTGTTTGGCTCCGAGGACGACGTTAAGGCGTGGCCCAGGGCGCAACTCTGTGTCCTTGTACCGTAAGGAACTTGTGCAGCTGGACGCGGCAGATGAACCCTTCGATGTCTTCTTCGCTGGAACTCATGGCGGCAATAGAGCTTGCTGCAAGCCCAACGGATTTTGAGACTGTGCACGAGAGCCTCAACGCGCATGGCCCGTCCCACTTTTTCCGTCGGCCAATCGTAGAAAGAAGGTCTCGTTGACGGAGAACTGGGGCCAAGTCATGCCTGAAACGCGGCTTCAAGCGCGCGAACCGTCGGGCAGTCCTAGCAGTCCTCCAGCGCCCAAGGAACGACTGACGGTGCGTTACGAGCTCCACAGTCCGCTCATGGCCGTCGAAATCTGCGCTCCGTGGCATGAGCTCGCCCAAGTCGCCGTGGTGTTCGGCTGGCTTGCCCCAAGTTGCGCATGGCGACGTTCCTCGACGTCCAAGGCGTGCAACATGGTCAACCGCGGTTTTATGCTGGACGTTCTCGATGAGATGAACGTTGGACCGGGCTTCCTTTGACGGGTCCGTCCGGCTGCTCTACGCACTACACTGTACCGCTAGCTCGTGGTCCACATTGTCTTTAAAGGTGTGCTTCGTTTGACCCACGCGCGGCGTCAAGCAAGGCTGCCTGCTCGACATTGAGCCGTTGGGCGACGGGCTGCCGCATCGCGGGGTGCTGTTCCTGGCGATGACTCCATCACGAGCATGTTTCTGATAGCTTTTCTGAAGTGTTTCGCGTACGTGGCGACGCTTTGGCGTGCCCTTCTTGTGGGCGTCGCTCTCGGACCTGGATACCGTTCCGCTCAATGCTCGTCACGAAGATGCGCTCTTGTCTCTTCTTGCGGCAACGGTGCTCGGCCCAGCACAACGACGACCAGTACTCCAACAAGTCGGCACTCCCAGCGCACGTATGGCACGACACATCCTTCGCCGCGTGGATGTCGTCGGTGCGCTGCTGGCTGCGACTCCAAGACCTCGACGGCACCGACACCAAACATGGATCTACCTACGCATACGTATACTAGTACGTGTCAATCCCGATGCAACGTTTAACCAATTGGTGTATGTAGCAGCTCTGGTAACTCTAGTTTTCATACCGCGTGCATTCAACTGTAAACTGTGTTGGTTATCAAGAATACCACGAGCGTAGCAAGTGCAACCAACACAGATCATGGATAAACGCCAGATGTTAACCGGTGAAGAATGACTACTCTTCCACAAACGGCGCTAACAACGGAGTGGCATCTTGGCCGGCCGGTGTGTCTTGATAAATGTGCCTATTGATCGTGCGTATGGAGTGCTGGGGCTGAGTGGTCAGTGAGCCTGCCACGCGAGGATATTCCGGACCTCGTCTGTCCCTCTGGTTGAGCGACGTTGATATGCTTGTTTTGGTATGGCACATGGCGCCGTCGACGGCTTCACACCGTCGCTTGGATGGCGCGCAACGTGCCGTCGCGCAGCTTGGACGGCAAGGTAACGTTGCTCTCTTTTTGGATGTTGCCCCAGTGCTTAGACAATGCGTGTTGATCCTTCCGGAGCTCTTTGGCACCGTCGTCGTCGACTTGCACTTTATGTGGCGCTTGCACGGACCCATTCGAGTGCTCACGTCCTATGAATGGGTCCGTGCAAGCTCCACGTGAAAGTGCCAGTCGACGACGACGACGGTGCCAAAGAGCTCCGGAAGGATCAGCAAGCATTGTATCAGCACTAGGGCAACATCCAAAAAGAGAGCAACGTTACCTTGCCGTCCAAGCTGCGCGCCATCCAAGCGATGGTGCGAAACCGTCGACGGCGCCATGTGCCATACCAAAACAAGCACATCAAAGTCGCTCAACCAGCCATGCTCGTCGCGGGCGACGACGCCGAGAACGACAATCCTCGTTTTTCGATTCTGTTGCCAGTGGCCCAGTGGCCAGTCAAATTCCCAGCAAGGGTATAATAAATACTAGTACCCTTGTTCCCAGCCTTTGTAAGCAAAAACCGAACCGCCGTTGCAGACCAAGGTGCGGATCTGATTTCTTTTTTGCTCGCGAAGCGCAAGCCTCGGATCCGGCCGGACCTGGAGACGCGGACCTGGACGCGGAATGGAGTTCCGGTCTGCCTCAGCTGCGGCTTTCGTCGGCAGCACGCGATGCACTACCCGTACGCCCCGCGCAATCGCCGCCGCCTCGCTCGCATGGTGGAACGTCCCAACGCGGCGCAGAAGCGCCACGCGACGAGACTGACGACCGTGTGGACCCTGTGGAGATCCACGATGCGGACGAAGATGCTGACGGCCAAGGCGCCGCAGGCTGGCCGGAAGGCGGCGCCCAAGGAAGCCATGAATGCGATTCACTTTGACGAGCTTGATCTCGGTAAGTGTCGAGCTTGCGTGCAGTGCGCTGCAGAACGCCATGGCGGCGTCCATTGGCATGCGCGATATGTTGGACGAGTGGAGCGATGCGCAGTTCGCGAGAGCCAGCTCCCAACGCTTCATCTCCATACCACTCCGACCCATGGACACGTAGACCTGTACGTAAACACTTCGATGTCATCAGCTGTGCTTGACGTTCGTGCTGCGACGGCAGCGCCGCTTCGGGTAAGCGAGGCACGTGAATGGTCAAGAACGCAGGGGCGGAGGATCGGCCACGTTTTAGCGCGTCGCCGACATCGTTGGACGGAAGCGAATCAGACGACCGTACCTGATCGAAGCGCGTGGCGTTCACACCCTTGGTCACGGGACGTGATGACGCGCTGGAGTGGCTTCGCAACTCGGAGATGGCCCTTGTTATCCACGCGTCAGTTCTTATTCTACTATAGTACAAGGAGGATGCTACCCGCGCTGGCCGTGTTTGGCGTCGTCGTCCTTGGCGTCGTCTACCAGCAGTACTGCCTTCCAAAGGGCAAAGTCGCGCCACCCAGTGTCTACTGCGCGCCGGACGACACGACCACGCGGCCTGGCCACGGCCCCATCTACCGCACCGGGCCGTTTCCGAAGCCAGCGTACGGAACGCCGCTCGAGACACTCGAGGCGTCCGTGCGTCGGTACCCCACCAACCCCTTTCTCGGCCACCGACATGCCAACGCCTCGTACGTCTGGGCCACGTACGAGCAGGTGTACGCGCGCATATGCAACCTCGCGTCGGGCCTCGTGCAGGGAGAGCTGCTCGACGCCTCGGGCATCGCGTGCATCTACATGAAGAACCGGCCCGAGTGGGTCCTCGCGCAGTACGCGATCAGCTACTGCGGCGGCACGGTCTCGTGCCTCTACGACTCGCTCGGCGCGACGTCGACCAATTTCATTTTACAGCAGACGGCTGCGACCGTGGTCTTTTGCACGACAGCCGAGCTCCCGCGGCTGGTGACGACCCCGACGCTCCGCCACATTGTGCTCTGTGACGTGGCCATGGCACCGGCGACAACGATTCCCGGATGCAGACTCTGGACGCTCGAAGAGATTGAAGCGCTGGGCCGCCCGCACCCGATGGCGCCGCAGCCTCGCGACGCCGACGACGTCTGCTTCCTCATGTAGCCACCATCTGCAAGAAGACACGATTGGGAAAAACTACTATGTAGGTACACGAGCGGCACGACGGGTGATCCAAAAGGTGTGCAGCTCACGGGTCGCAACCTCTTGAGCTGCATGATGGGCATCGAAGATCGGCTCAAGCAAGGTCGCATGGCGCCGCACTTTCACTGTGGCGCCGTGCACCTCTCGTACCTCCCGCTGGCGCACATTCTCGAGCAGCTCATCCACTGTCTCGTCATCACGTACGGCGCGTCCATTGGCTTTGCTCAAGGCCCCACGTCGTTGCTGCTCGATGACCTCCAGACGCTGCGCCCGACGCTCTTTGTGACCGTGCCGCGTCTCCTCAACAAGATCTACGACAAGGTCCTCGCGCAAGCCACTGCTGCGGGCGCCACCAAGGCCGCGATCTTCCACCACGCCTTGGCCGTCAAGCAGCAAGGCCTGCAGCAAGGCTTCACGTGCCATCCGCTCTACGACAAAATCGTGTTTGCCAAGGTGCGCTGCTTGCAATCTGCTACGATGGCTGACAGTATCGACTGCAAGTAGATCCAAAAGAAGCTGGGCTTGGATCGGTGCATTGCCATCTTGACAGGGTCCGCGCCCGCATCGGACGACGTCTTGGGCTTTTTCCGGTGCCTCTTTTCGTGCCCCGTTCTCGAAGGCTACGGCCAGAGCGAGTGCACGGGCGCCGTCAACATCACGGACATCAACGACCTGACGCCTGGCTCGGTCGGCGCGCCCCTGTCGTCCTGCGAGATGAAGCTGGTCTCGGTGCCCGAGATGGGCTACAACGTCTCCGACACGCTCCACGGCGACAGCGACGAGACGCGCATGCCTGTCAACGGCCGCGGCGAGGTGTGCTACCGCGGCCCGTCCATCTTTACGGGCTACTTTAAGGACGACGCCAAGACCCAGGAGGCCGTCGACGACGAAGGCTGGCTCCACTCGGGCGATATTGGCGTCTGGACGCTCGATGGCCGCCTCAAGATTGTCGACCGCAAGAAAACATCTTCAAGCTCTCGCAGGGCGAGTACGTGGCCCCCGAGAAGATTGAAAACATCATCAAGAGCAGCGTGTACGTCGCCCAGCCGTTTGTCTATGGCGACTCGCTCCACGCCGTCCTCGTCGGTATCATTGTGCCCGAAGAAGCCGAGATCGAAGCGCTCGCCAAGTCGCTCAACATCTCGGGGACGTTCCAAGAGCTCTGCGCCAACGCCAAGATCAACGAGATTGTTCTTAAGGACATTGTGGCCGTCGGCAAGAAGGGTCTTCTCAACGGCTTTGAGTGCGTCCGTGCCATTCTTCTGCACCCGGACCCGTTCACGGTCGAGAACGACCTCTTGACGCCGACGTTCAAGATCAAGCGCAACGACGTCAAGAAGCTTTTCATCAAGCAGATTGACGCGCTCTACGTCAAGACGGGCGACGTCGTCGCGGGCAAGAACGTCCATCAGCAGTAAGCATGCGTGTATAAAACAGTTCTGTACGAGTGCACAAGTGTTGTGGAATCGTTGTTTGTAGTCAGTCGATCGCACTTGAGGAGGTATACTAGGTGGCGCACATCGTAGCATCTTGTCGCGGTCAAGCGGAGCTTGTTGGCGCAACGTTTATCCGGACACTCTTATCCGGATGAAATGTGCACCGCGCTGCTGCTGGGGAGGATGTTGACGACTTTTGGAGTTTGAAAAAAAGTCCCGTGTTTCGGTCGATATGAATAGAGGATGTCATAGCGAGTCCAAAAACCAACAAATCGTGCTCGTAGCATGCGTACAGCCTGAGTTAGTCGCAGTTGAGATGGGTGGTTAACTGATACACTGATAGATCGATACTAAATAAAGTATCAGTTTCATCGACTTGAATGGCACGTACCTCAGGCTGTACGCACGCTACGAGCACGATTTGTTGGTTTTTGGACTCGCTACGACATCCTCTATTCATATCGACCGAAACACGAGACTTTTTTTCAAACTCCAAAAGTCGTCAACATCCTGCCGAGCAGCGGCGCGATGCACATTTCGTCCGGATAAAAATGTCCGGATAAGCGTTGCGCCAACAAGCTCTGCGTGACCGCGACAAGATGCTACGATGCGCGCCACCTATACATCTCCTCAAGTGCGATCGACTGACTACCCACAACGATTCCACAACACTTGTGCACTCGTACAGAACTGTTTTATACACGCATGCTTACTGCTGATGGACGTTCTTGCCCGCGACGACGTCGCCCGTCTTGACGTAGAGCGCGTCAATCTGCTTGATGAAAAGCTTCTTGACGTCGTTGCGCTTGATCTTGAACGTCGGCGTCAAGAGGTCGTTCTCGACCGTGAACGGATCCGGGTGCAGAAGAATGGCACGGACGCACTCAAAGCCGTTGAGAAGACCCTTCTTGCCGACGGCCACAATGTCCTTGAGAACAATCTCGTTGATCTTGGGGTTGGCGCAGAGCTCTTGGAACGTCCCCGAGATGTTGAGCGACTTGGCGAGCGCTTCGATCTCGGCTTCTTCAGGCACAATGATACCGACGAGGACGGCGTGGAGCGAGTCGCCATAGACAAACGGCTGCGCGACGTACACGCTGCTCTTGATGATGTTTTCAATCTTCTCGGGGGCGACGTACTCGCCCTGCGAGAGCTTGAAGATGGTTTTTTTTGCGGTCGACGATCTTGAGGCGGCCATCGAGCGTCCAGACGCCAATGTCGCCCGAGTGGAGCCAGCCTTCTTCGTCGACGGCCTCCTGCGTCTTGGCGTCGTCCTTAAAGTAGCCCGTAAAGATGGACGGGCCGCGGTAGCACACCTCGCCGCGGCCGTTGACAGGCATGCGCGTCTCGTCGCTGTCGCCGTGGAGCGTGTCGGAGACGTTGTAGCCCATCTCGGGCACCGAGACCAGCTTCATCTCGCAGGACGACAGGGGCGCGCCGACCGAGCCAGGCGTCAGGTCGTTGATGTCCGTGATGTTGACGGCGCCCGTGCACTCGCTCTGGCCGTAGCCTTCGAGAACGGGGCACGAAAAGAGGCACCGGAAAAAGCCCAAGACGTCGTCGGCGACCGGCGCCGAGCCCGTGACAATCGCCATGCAGCGGTCCAAGCCGAGCTTCTTCTGCACCTTGGAAAAAATGAGCTTGTCGAAGAGCGGATGGGCCGTGTAGCCCTTCTGGAGGTTGGCGAGCTTGGTCGAGACCGCGTAGTTGAAGAGCCAGGCCTTGAAGCCACCGCCGGCGTTGGCACCGCCGACAATCTTGTCGTAGATCTTGTTGAGGAGGCGGGGCACCGTCACAAAGAGCGTCGGGCGGAGCTCGCTCAGGTCCTCCATGAGCTTGAGCGTGTTTCCCTGGAAGAAGCCAATGGACGCGCCGTTGTTGATCATGATGGCGTGGATGAGCTGCTCGAGAATGTGCGGCAGCGGAAGGTACGAGAGGTGCACCGACTTGGGCGTAAAGACCTGCAAGAGCTTGCCCTTCCGGAGCCGGTCTTCGATGCCCATCATGCAGCTCAGAATGTTCTGGCTCGTGAGCTTGACGCCCTTCGGGTCGCCCGTCGTGCCGCTCGTGTACATGAGGAAGCAGAGGTCCGACGCCTTGGCGTACGTCGGCGCGATCGGGTGGGCCGCCCCGATGGCCTCGATGGCCGAGAGCGTCGTGACGGTGAGCCCGAGCGCCGCGCCCGCCACGACATCGGCCTCGGAAACGACGTCGACGTCGCAGAGAACCACAAACTGGAGCGTCGGAGTCGTCGGCTTGGCCGTGAGCACGCTCTGGAGCTCGGCCGTCGTGCAGACCACCGTCGGCGCCTCGGTCTGGTGGAGAATGTACGTGGTCGAGGACGGGCCGAGCGAGTCGTAGAGGCAGCTCATGGCGCCGCCGCAGTAGAAAGCGGCGTACTGCGCGAGGACCCACTCCGGGCGGTTCTTCATGTAGATGCACAGCATGCGGTCGCCGTTGGACGTGCGCTCAAACATCTTTTCGTGCATGAGGCCGGCGGCGATGTTCTGGATGCGGAGTACCCGGCCTCGTAGCTCTCCCAGACGTACGCGCCGACCTTGCCGCTCGCGTCGACCACTCGGTGGCCGAGAAAGTTGCTCTTCGGGTTGTGCTGCACCGACTTTTGAAGCGCCTCAAGCATCGTGTCACAGGCGGGCTTGGGAAACGGGCCGACGCGGTAGACGGCGCCGTGGCCGGGCTTGATGGTCGCGTTGTCGGGCTTGCAAAAGAACTGCGGACGGTCGACCTTCTCGGTCGGGCGGAGGCAGAGGAGGTAGAGCGCCGAGAGGAGGCCGAGCGTGAACGTCGAGAGCACGACGAGCACCGGCATCAAGATGGGCGTCGGCGCGACCAGCGACGCGTCCGCGTGGAGAGGCGCCTCGATGCGCGACGTCAAGAAGCTCGTGAGCTTGGCGAGGTTGCGATGATCGTTGTACTCCTCGACGGCAGATGGGCCGCGGAAGAGCTTGAGCGTCGGGTAGCCCTTGATGTCGTGGCGCTCGCACACGTCCGTGTGGATATCGCAGTCGACTTCGGCGACGACCACGTTCTCAAGCACCGAGAAGCCGGCGCTGAGCTCCTTCCAGGCCGGCGCCAGCGTCTTGCAGTGGCCACACCACGGCGCGTAGAACTAGCCATGGCCATGAGCACCCATCCGGTCTGTCGACGCAAGTTCGTACCTTGACAAAGACCGCGTCTTTGGAGCCCTTGAGCGCCTCCAGCTCTTGGCCATTGGGCGTGGGCACCTTGTAGCTCTGAAGGAGGTTGCGGTCGACGGGAGGAATCTCGACGGCGAGGTAGGCCTGCGCCGAGAGCGCGGCCACGAGGAGCGCGTAGACAGCTCGCATGCTAAGGACACGAAAAGACACCAAGTGACGTGTGGCAGTTGGCTGCACCTCAAGGATGTCGAATGCGTCAACCGGTTGGGTCAACATTTGTGAAGAAGCCGTGCGAACCGAACGACTACGGCGTCTTTTGGGTCAACAATACGCGTGTCTTCGAGCCGAACGACTACGGTTATCGCTGGCTGGAACAAGATTTCGAGTCGTTTGTAATCGACTGACTAACACTCTATATAGTGTGATGCAATTTGCAATTTAATAGTGTAAAAATGGTCGGCACCAAACTTGGTCACATAAAAACCTCTCATGCGTGGAGGAGGACCAGCCTCGCGAATGAGACGGTCGGAATTGAGCGGCGAAGAGTAAAGGTGAGATAAGCACTGGCTGTGCGCTCGGTGTCACTTTCACGCAGCAAAGACTGCTCTTTCGACGGTTCCAGTCCAGTTCGACAGTGCCCCCAACGTGCGGCGTGGGCTGTACCATCGTCCTGCTCTGCGCTGGGAACATAATACTGCTTCAAGTCCGCACACAGCTACAATACCGAACCAGCTACGAGAACGAATCCACCGTTGCGTTGAGTCCAAATGGCGCCGACTCTCGGCCTCGTCGCCCGTGTCCCAGGCGGGATAACGTTTAACGCGTTGTGTGTTCGTGCATGCAAGCGGCCGGTGTGGACGTCGTCCATCGAACGACTTGTCTCGTGGTCTTGCTGACTAACGTATCTACTAACCGTCCGACAAGTAATCGGTCATGCGAGGACAAGTCACGGGAGGCTGGTACATGTACTGGTCTGTGACGATGGATATTTAGTTAGTCGACATCAACGCTGCTGCAATCGCGCCACGGAAGGTAATCAATTGCGCTTCGGTCAATATTTATTTTCGTACAATCAATGTTCACTTGGTCATTGTATCGCGCACGGTGAAAAGGTCTCCCGCCAGACGCATTTGTAGAACGCAGACTGAACCGAACCGGGAGGGGCAACGCGCCTGCCATCGACGGCGCGATGGCCAGCGCTGGGAGCCGAGAGCATCGTGCCTCCAGGGCAATCGTACAGCGCTCGCCGAATCTACGAGGTGAGAGGTATCCAACGCAGCCAAATTTGTGCACGATAGCATCGTCCTGCGCGGCGAGGGCCTTCGGGCGTGTCCCACGCCTGTCACCCCGCCTGTGCTGGAACGCCAGTGTGCAATCTCTCAGTTTCGTTTCCTGGTCACCACGGACGATCAAGCGCCAACGCGGAGCTTGATACCCACTCTCGACATCCTCCATCATGGGAACCTGCTCGTCGACACAGACGCCAGCGTACGTCGAGACGCCCGACCCGGCGGCAACGCGCTCGCAGCGCAGCATGGCCGAGTTCATCCAGTCCGAGAACAACCCCAACCGGTCGCGGGCGCCGACGTCGCTGACCAAGACGTCGTTCACCAACTCACTCGTGCACTCGGGCTCGATCCGATTTGATGACGTGCACCGCGACGACTACAAGGAGATGCTGGCCATGTACTCTCAGTTCTGGGTCGTGCCCGAGGACGTTGAGCGGACGCGCGCGATCCCAAGCAACTACATGAAGACCGAGATGGGCCACTGCGATGCGACTGCCGTCTTTCTCAAGTCGCTTGACCTGAAGCGGTCGCCCGCCGAGATCGAGAAGAGCCGGAAGGCGCTGCTGAGCGAGATCCGCTCCATGGCGCGCATCGACCATCCGCACATTGTGTCGTTCATTGGCTTCAACATTACGCCCGAGTTTGGTCTCTCGTGCATCTTTGAGTTCATGGAAGGCCGCACGCTGCGCCACCTCCTCGACAACCTCAAGCAGTTTGCGCGCCTCACATGGGCCAACGAGAAGATCAACATTGCGTGCGACATTGCCTCCGCGATGGCCTACATGCACGGGCTCAAGCCGCAGCTCCTGCACCGCAACATGAAAGCCTCCAAGGTCCTATTGACCAACCGGAAGCAAGCCAAGCTCAGCGGCTTTGGCAGCTCGCGCGACCGAACGTTCGACTGCGACATGACCACGGGCGTCACGGGCGTCACCGACATTCAGTGGAGCGCGCCGGAGCTCTTCATCGACGGCGAAGACTACGATGAGAAGGTCGACGTCTACTCGTTTGGCGTGCTCCTCACCGAATTGGACACGGGCGCAATGCCGTACGCGGTCGAAGCGGCGGGCATGACGCTCCCGGACCTCACCGTGAAGCTCGTGACGGGCGAATTGCGACCGAGCGTGTCGGCGACATGCCCTGAGGTCGTTGCCAAGATCATCAAGCAGTGCCTCCAGCACGACAAGGCCCTTCGGCCGACAAGCGACCGCGTGCTCGAGATGCTGCAGCACGCGCGCGTCGAGCTCAAGGCCGAGCGGGACGCAAGGCTCGGGCTCGACACTCTTCCGTAGTCGTTCAAAACTCAATATAAAGTTAACTCGTGTTGTCGTCGGTCTTGTTGCTTTCAAGCACATAAAGGCGATCCTACGGTACCTGAACCACTCGCACCCAGACTGCCGGCTGGTGTCAAAGAGGGTTCGGGCTGTTCAAGGGCGTGCAGACGCAAGAAGAACTGAGAGGAGTTGTTCACCGTTGCGGTGGTCGAGTCGCGCCAAAGTGGTCAAGGTACTGGTGCACGGCGTGGCGCACCTTTTGCGAATGCTCCTCGAGCCGGTCGGCCCAGTGCGAGCTCATGGGTGTCGACGCCGTCCATGCCGACGGCCGCAGCTTCTGAAAGTACTTGACGGTCGTTCCACCGCTCGGGTTGGCCTCCATGAACGTCCACGATACCTCGTTGGCGTGTGGCAACGACGCGTCGTAAGGTGACAATTCGTCGTCTTCGATGCTGCGGCAGACGATGATGCACTGGGTGCGGCCATCCACCTCACTCACGTACTGCTTGCAGAGCACGCGCCGCTGGAACTGTCCAAGCGGATGTTCGAGCCAGCCAGAGACATATGTGGTGTCGGCGTCAATGTCTTCGAGGTGCTTGCAGTAGCGCGGGAGGTTCTGGATCGTGACTGTGCCCCGGAGCACGTTCCACGTCCCCTCCAGCAGCGCGTGCAGTGACAGCGGCGTGTGGCGGTGTAAAATCGTGTGGAACTCGAGACTGTTGTTGTGCGTATACTGGGACACGTGCTTCTGAACTTCGTCGACGACGTCGATGAGCCCGGCTTCGACAAACGCGCTTTCGATCCGCGCGCGCTCGCGGTCCAGCATCGCGTGCATCCCACGCACGCGGAGCGTCGGGTCGGCCACGAGCACCAGCTGCTCCCATTTCTTCTCGGCGGGCCCGCGGACGTATGTCATGGCCTTGGACTGCTGCCACGTCTTGTCCAAGAGCGACGCGAACGTCTGCACCGTGACCATGTGCGCCTGGACGCGCTCCTTGAGCTGCTTGTTCTCGACCGTCGCCTCGTGCCGCAGACGCGCCTCGTTTGTCGCTAGCGCCTGCCACTTGGTGGCGGCTGCAGAATGTCGCGCAGCGCCTTGGTCTGCTGCAATAGATGCAGCTTCTCTTCGAGCTCTTTCGCCGCGCGCTTGAGCTCGGCCTGTTCCTCGCGCTTCTTTTGCCGGTGGCGCCGAAGCGCTTCGCTTTGCTTGGCCTTGGCGGTCGGTGGCGGCTCGTCGTCTGTGGTCGTTGCGAGGGCCGAGAGGAGGTCCGCCTCCTCTGGCGACCACTGCAGCGAGTAGTCCAAGCTTGAGAGGTCGAGCATATCAAGCACGTAGGCTTCACCCGCGTTGGCGTCCATGCTTCCGACGTGCGCAAATGAGTTGTCACGCTGCCTGTCTTGCCGTGTTGAGTAACCAATGAGCGTTGCGTCGTACCGCCTTTTTGGCCAATGACATGCACGCTCCTCCGCGCCAAAATTTACCGAGTCTACATCGAGCTGGCACGGTGGCACCAAGGGTCCATGCCCTTGGTTTGCAGCCCCACCTCGAGTCCCCGCACGCGCTTGGCTTTGATAGCTCTCTTCGGACGTCCACGACACAATACAGTTCGAACACATAGATCATATTGCAAGACACGGCGACGAAGGGACTTGTTTTCTACAGCTGGTGGTACTCGTCGCGGGCGGTCCCGGCGGCAAAGTCGTCAATGTACTTGTGCACCGAGTGGCTGATCATGGCCGAGTGCTGGTCAAAGGTCTCGGCCCACTGCGGGTTCATGGGCGTCGACGCCGTCCACTTGCTAGGTCGAAACTTTTGGAAGAACTTGACGTTCGTGCCGCCGTCCGGGTTGGCCTCCAGTACGTTCCACGACACCTCGTTCGCGTGCGGCAGCGACGGGTCGTAGGGCGTGAGCTCGTCAAAGTCGATGCTGCGGCACACGATGACGACGCGCGACTCGTCACGGAACTGCTTCATGAGCGTCCGCCGCTGAAAGTGCCCGAGCGGGTGCACGAACCACCCGTCAACGTAGATCGTTGCCGCATCAATGTCGACGAGGCCGTTGCAGTACCGGTTGAAGCCCTGGATCGACGCGGTGCCCCGGAGTACGTTCCAGGAGCCATCGAGCACAGTCTGCAGCGGCAGCGGCGTGTAGCGACAAACGATCGTGTGGAACTCGAGGCTGTTGGCGTGCGTGTACCGAGACACGTGCTTCTGGACGCCAAAGGGCGCGTCGATGAGCCCGGCCTCGACGTACGCGCTGTCCATGCGACCAAACTCGCGCTCGAGGATGAGGTTGATGGCCGTTGCACGGAGGCTCGGGTCGGCGACGAGCACGAGTTGCTTCCACTTGTCGTTGGCGTTCTCGACAAGCGCCTTGACCTTGGATTGGTGCCACGTCTTCTCGAGGAGGTTGGCGAAGGCCTGCGCTGTGGCCATGTGGTCTTGCACGAGCTCTTTGAGCTGCTTGTTTTCGAGCTTGGCCTGCTGCTCGAGCTTGGCTTCGTTCGTGGCCAGCGCCTGCCACTTGCTCGGCGGCTGTAGAATGTCCTGGACCGCCCGCGACTGCTGCAATTCGCGCAGCTTTGTCTCGAGCTCGAACGCGGCGCGCTTGAGCTCGTTGTGCTCTTCGCGCTTCTTCTTGCGGTGGCGCTTCATGGCCAGCGCCTGCCGCTTCTCCGACGGCTGGGACGCCGAGCTGGCGACCGAGCCCGCGACCGACTCGGTTACCGAGCCGTTGATCGAGCTCGTGTCTTCGTCGGGCGAGACTTCGTGCGCGAGCGAGTCGAGCATGTCTATCTCTTCCGAAGACCAATGCAGCGAGTACTCGAAGGACGACGGGTCCAGCATTCCGAGCACGAACGCTTCGCCCGACGCCGTCGTCTTGTCTTCCGCCATTATGGCCACTATGAAGCCAATCGTAGCGTTACGACCGCACTTTATTGGATTTCAGCCACTCACATCGCTTGCTTCGCGACTCTTTTGTCCAATCACAGCCATGGATCGGGACACGAACATGGCGAGTCTTTGTCAGCGGTAGAGCAGAGCAGACGAACCATCGTGCTGCCCAGAGCCAGACCCGCTACCGTGCTCTTGCGTGCCGTTAGCACGGCCCGCATAAAGATACAGATTCATCGGGACGACAACAAGAACTGCGTCGATCCTGCTCAGCCCGATCGATGCTGGGATCTTGGTATCCTCAACGCATCTCTAAACGAGAGCTATTCCTCTAGTACATCGGAAGCCCATCAATGTATAAAGTCTGACGCTCCTTGCTCAGCGTTGCCATGACCAGATCGACCTTGAGATACCCAGCAGTCATTTTGACAGCCTCCTCGAATGCATCAGCAAGCCGCGTCATGGCGGGACCCACAACGCCCACGTCCGGACGCTACGCCCCAGCAATCCAACCATCAACTGCGCACGCTGGAGCCCGACGGACCAAGCCAAGTCACCTCCATTTGAACGAGGTACTTTGAAGGTCGACGCCGTGCCGACTCTAGCTGTCGTCTACTAAATGCGCGTTCCTGTACACGTTGAAAGTTGACAAAATGATGTAGAAATCGAAAATATTGATATTGATGATATTGTTTGACTAAGAAATAGACACCTCACGGGTGCCTTGGTGACAAGACGTACACATCGATGCCCTCTTAGGCGGTGGAGGACGCAACTTGGTCAATGTATCGCCGGGCCGCGTGCCGCATGTTCTTCGAGTGCTCGTCGACTTGGCTGAGCCAGTGCGAGCTCACGGGCGTCGACGCCGACCACGTCGACGGGCGAAATTTCTGAAAGTACTTGACGTCCGTGCCGCCAGTCTTGTTGGCCTCGAGCGTGAGCCACGCGACCTCGACCGCATACGGCGTTGACGGGTTGTACGGGAGCAACTCGTCTTCGTGGATGCTGCGGCAGACCACGACGCAGCGCTCGTGACGTGGCACGCCCTCGTAGCCATAGACCTTGCAGAGAATGCGTCGCTGAAACTCGCCGAGTGGGTGGTCAAACGTGCCAATGACATAGGTCGTGTCACCGTCGATGGTCACAAGCTCCTTGCAGCGCCGGTTCAATTGCGCGATCGGCGCGCTCCCTAAGAGCACGTCGAGCGAGGCGCGCAGGACGCCTTGCAGCGGCTGGTCGACGTGTCGGCAGCCAATCGAGTGAAATTCCATCGCATCGTGGTGCCCGTATTTCGCTATGTGTTTATGGATCTCGCCCGTGGCATCGACGAGGTCGGCTTCCACAAAGGCGCTGAAGAGCTTCGCGTGCTCGCGGTCGAGCATGTGATGGATCGCCGCGAACCGGAGGCACGGCTCCTGCACGAGGATGAGCTGCTTCCACTTCTCGGCGGGGTTGCGCAGGTCGTTCAGGGCGCCGGTGGGCTCCCGCGTCTTCTCGAGAAGGTTGGCGAGCGCCTGCGCCGTGACCATGTGTGCTTGCACGAGTTCCTTGAGCTGCTTGTTCTCGCTCTTGGCCGCGCCTTCGCGCCGGGCTTCGTCCGACGCAAGATGCTTCCACTTTGTAAGAGGCTGGAGCTGGCTGACCTTGGCTTGTTGCAGCTGAAGTAGCTTGGCCTCAAGCTCGACGGCCGCGCGCTTGAGCTCCTCGCGTTCCTCGCGCTTCTTGAGTCGATGGCGCTGCAGGATCGTCTTGCGGTCGTCGTGTGGCTTGGGGCTATCGGCGCAGAGCAAATCGAGCATCTCGCTCTCCTCCGCCGACCACTGCATCGAGTAGTCGCAGGCCGCGAGGTCGAGCATGTTGACCACCTCGGTGGCGCATCGGTCCATCGTTTCGAAATGAACAATGGGCAGCCAATGGCATCACGCACGCACGATCGGCCACGTCCTTTTTATCCAATCATATGGTGTCGACCAGCTGGTGCCCAAACTTCGGCCCAACGCACACGTTTCCAGCGACTCGTTCGCGATGAAACTGCACAAGAAAGTGCTTGGTCACGCGCTTGACCTGCTGCGGCATGTACACAGCAGTGATTGTGACTTCAATTCTGGCGACGAGCCCGCAGATTACACATCTCGGGCCCGTGAGCAATCATCCGAGGTCGCAACCGTTGCGAATTCCGAGGTGCCCGGGGTGTCCCAAGCGATGACCAACAACCAAGACGCGCTCAATCGGTCTGAATGAGTGCCAGTAAATGCGACTATTTTACAGTGTGCGTATTGATCTCCTACGAATTCATGAAGAAGAAGACACCCATTTGCGTGGGATTTCTCTAGCACCTTCGAATCGATCGCGACTGTTCTGAAAGTTTAGTGACGGCATTTGGGGTTGAAAACGAGCTTTGAAAGGACCTCTCTCTGTCCGCGAGACCGACGAGTCTCGTGGGTACACAGCATTTCACGCCAGTTTGTCGCCACCGAACCAGTCGTTTGGTTTTGCAAAATCAAAAGATGAAAACCGAGTTTCTCAAATGCCACAAACGCCTGCAAGTACGTACATTGATTAAGTGCGTTATCACGCAGGCTCGCATTCCCATAAGCGCCTTTGAGCATCGCAACTTCGGTCGTCAGTCGAAACTTGGCGACAACGCGGCGACGAAGTACTCGTCCTTGCCAGCTCGATTTTAGTCCGGTTATCGACTGGTTCCTGCTAAAGTCGATGCACACGGGAGCTTTTGGGTTTTGTGAGCTCTCATTGCAAGTGGCGTGGGTGAAATGGAGGTCTACATGCTTTATGGGCAAAGTCGAACCAAGATGCATGCATATCCAGATCAACACTCTAGGTGAACCATTGTCAAGAAACATACACTCTGAGCTTGGACGTGGGCTCACATCTTCCACACAACACGAACCGGTCGTTCGAACGAATATTTATTGCATGCAAGTGGTTGTCAATCAAATTAGAGGTGTCAACGGTAGTGCCCAACGGTAGTTTGCAGCTGAGATACTGGCAACGAGGCGGGATCAACAGAGATCCTGCGCGCTGATTGCGGCGTCGATAACGCTCTTCATGTTTGCGGCACATTGCGACGCGTCGAGCTGGATGAACCACGAGGCGTATTTGCTAGCGCACGACCTCTTGATATCAATCTTGATGCAATTGTCGACGGTTCGGCGGCAGTATATATACTCGCGTTTGCTGCACACGCTGAAATACGTTCCGTTGACCTAGCCAAGGATATGAGCTGGTGTTCATATAAAGTTGTGCGTACGTAGAAGCATGGGACGACGGTACCGACGCGCAATGGAGAAAAAATGCACTCTAGTTGACTAGGCAGCGACGTTGGAAGCTCGACGCGAGCAATGGACGCCAGCGGAATCGGCCCCGGGTGCACGAAGACAGCCGCGAGCGTCTGCGTCAGCGTCAGCTCGAGACACAGGTCCGTCTCAGTAACGTGAAGGAGCATGGGAAAGCGGAAATGACCGATTTGGGATAGGCAGAAAGATCGCACCGCACGCATTCCTTCGAGTAATTCGGGTTTGGGAATCTCTGTCACACGATCACTGCCTTGGCCGATGCCGGCATCCACAATCCAACACACCCGCGTCCCTTTAATACCCAAAACTAAATGTGAATACAGGGAATTTGTTCAAGCAAGTATCAAGTTGTGCTCACAATGCCACTTATGAGACGATACTTGCTGTAGGGGGCGGCTCGAGCTGGCGCATGTAGCCATGGACCGCGTCTTGGTAGGCCTGAGTGCGCTTCGCGAGCGCTGCGACCCATTCGCCGACAACATTACCGCAGAGCGGTCGCTGCTTCTGGAAAAACTTGACATTTGTACCGCCCGTTCCATTCATTTCAAAGAGCAGCCAGGATTCCTCCGTTAGGATCGGGCTCGACGGGTCAAAGGGCTTCGCATCGTCTGCCTCGACGCTCTGACATACAATCACGCGCGTCGTCGGCGACGGCGCATAGCGCTTGCAAAGTACGCGGCGCTGGAAATGGCCGACGCCGGGCAAGTCCATCCAGCCTGTGAGGTAGGTCACGCAGTTGTCCACTTCGTCGACGCTGCGGCAGAGGTGATCGAGGCTGTCGAGCACGAGGGCTCCTTTGTGCAGTCGCCAGGCCCCTTCGATCGCGGTGGCGAGGTCGTGGCGCGTATCGTGGAACACGATCGTGTGAAACTCGACATCGCCCGTCGCCGTGCGCTGGGTTGTGTGGCGATGCGCTGTCTCGGTCGCGTCAATCAAGCGGGCTTCCACGAAGGCGCCCGAGAGTTTTTGGAAGGTCGCGTCGAGTATCGCGTGCATGGCGGGGACCCGGCGGTCGAACTCTAACGTGAGGCGGCGGGGCGACGCAAATGCCGTGCGGAGAATTGGCTGCTCAAAGATGCTTGACAAGGACTTCGAGAGTTCCAAGTGCTGCTGCACGAGGTTCCTCAACCGGTCGTTCTCTGCGTGGGCCTCGCGGCAACGCAGCTTCTCCGAGAGCATGAGATGGTACCACGGCCCTGGTGGGCTCAAGAGATGCTGGAGGCTTCGGCGCTCGTCTAGCGCGCGCAGTTGAAGCTGCAGCGCCTGCGTCTGCGCTCGGAGGTCTTGGAGCTGCATCTTGCGCTTCACCCGGTGCTTCCGCATCGTGAGGCGTCGCCGGGTCGTGCGATCGGCCTCGTTATCCGAGCTCGGTGTGGTAGCAGCGCTACGGTGCTTAGAAGCAGGTCGTCGTCCACGAAACTCGGGTCCATGGCGCTGGCGACGGTCGACTTTATGATGATGTGACGAAAATGATTCATCCAGCTTGCAACATGATGGAGAGCGCATTGTGATTGGCTCGTTCTAGGACAACCCACCAATGAGCATGCATTACCAAGGCATTTAGCCCAATCACACGTCGTTTCGAGTATCTACGTCGTACGGTCATCCGTTTATGCTACGGTGGTCGATGCCACTGGCCCAGAGCGTTCATTTCAACCGAGGAGGTCCAATAGGTGAGAAGTAGGATAACGTGGACGACGCTGCAGCACTGTCGCGACTTTAGCTTCGCCTTTGCGACCAAATTCATAGAAACTGATTGGACTTATTCTCTTATTTCTAGAACGCTATGATCTGATAGTTTCTACTCTGTCAGTCCAAACAAGAAGAACGACGCACAACAAACTCATAAATTGGGTTACAATTCAAACGTTAACGGAGCCGGGTCGTGGAGATTTTCGCCGTGTCGAAAGATGTACCGCCGGACCGCGTCGCGCATCGCTTGGGCGCCGTCTTCGAACGTCCTGACCCAGTGCGCGCTCAGCGGCATCGCTTCTGTCCACGCCGAGGGCCGAAATTTCTCAAAGAACTTCATGTGCACGCTGCCGTCGACCATGGGCTCGATCGCGAGCCACGACACCTCCTTCGAGTACGGCGGCTCGGCCCTGTACGGCGCGAGCTCGTCGTCGTCGATGCTCCGGCACACCATGTAGCACATTGTACCGCCTGCGCCGGGCGCGAAGAAGCGCTTGACGACCACGCAGCGCTGAAAGTTGCCGAGCGGGTGGTCAAGCCGCCCGCGAACGTACATGGTATTGGCGTCCACGGTTGTGACCTCGTCGCTGTACCGGTTCAAGCATGGGACCGTATTGACTGTGCCGAGGATCACGCTCCAGATGCTGTCGAGGACGGACGCGAATGGCAGGTTCGCACGGCTGTAGACGATGGTGTGGAATTCGAGGCTGCCCGCGTGCGAGTACTTGGAAATGTGGCGCTGGATCTCGCTGCCCGAGGCGACGTCGATGAGACCGGCTTCAACAAATGCGCTCTCGAGGAGGCTGAACTCGCGATCGACTATTGCGTGTATACCACGCACGCGCAGCGCCGGGTCTGCCACAAGGACGAGCTGCTTCCACTTGTCCTCGGCCGAGTGCAAAAACGAAATGTTCTGCGCTTGCTGCCGCGTCTTCTCGAGTACGTTGGATAGAATCTGTGCCGTGATCATGTGGTCCTGGACAAGCTCTCTGAGCTGGAGGTTCTCGGCCTGCGCCGTCTGCTCGAGTCGGCGCTCCTTGACCGCCAGAGACTGCCACTTGGTCGGCGGGTGCAACGCGTCCTTCACCGACTTGGCGTGTTGCAACCGCAAGAGGCGCTCCTCAAGCTCCTTGGCTGCACGCCGAAGCTCGTCGACCTCTTGGCGCCTCTTGGTGCGGTACCGCTTGAGCGTCAAGTAGTTCTTGCTGTGCTGGCGCGGCGGCGCGGGCTCCTCGGGCGACGGGGGCGATGGCTTGCTCGAGAGAAGGGCTTCGTAGACCTCGGCCTCTTCAGTCGACCATTGCAGCGAGTAGTCGAACGTCGAGAGGTCGAGGAGGTCCGCGACGAACTCTTCGCTCGGGTTCATGCTGCCGCTGCCTGTTTTATCCCGGCAGTACCCAACGGACCAATGGCATGCCAGCTGTCTTTCCATAGCCAATGGCATCGACGCATCCCTAGCTTTTCAACCAATCATGTGCGTCAATAGTGTTTTCTTGAACTCGGCTTGCAGGCAACCAAAGACAGAGCCAGCGACCAAGGCAGCGTATCAGCCCCATCTAGTATACTAGTACTAGTATGTGTAAAGACAGCACAACGACCCTAGGCATGACAACGATGTATCGCACGGATGTGGGTTCTGTACTACGATCAACCGCAGCGGAGAGGACGAGATTCGACTACGGGATACTAGTACAATATTGTACTAGTATTACAAAGTGAGATATCACGTGTTGGTCGTCCCACACGGCAGGGTCTCAATGTAGTCGTGGATCGCTTGGTGCAAGTCCAACGACCCTTTCTCAAGGGCATCGGGCCACTCCGCTGATGCTGACATGTCGGCGGTCCAGTGCGACGGCCGAAACTTTTGGAAGATCTTGACGTCCGTGCCACCGTCCATCCTTGCGTCGAGCTGCACCCAAATGACCTCGATCGCATACGGTAGCGCCGGGTCGTACGGCGCGACTTCGTCAAGATCGATGCTGCGCACGATCAAGGTGCTGCGCTTCTCGCCGGGAAATCGCTTGCAGAGCGCGCGCCGCTGGAACCGTCCGAGCGGATGGTTGAGCCACCCAGACACGTACGACGTGTCGGTATCGATGTGCGTGATCGACTGCGTTTGATGCGGAAGCGAAGGCAAAACATGGACGCGCCCAGCGTCACGTCCCAGGACCGCTCAAGGGCGACAGAGACGGGCAGCCCGAGGTGCCGGTGCACGACGACGTGGAACTCGAGGCCGCCCGAGACGCTCAGCTTGGAAATGTGCTTTTGAAACTCGTCCTTCGCATCCGTGAGCCCCGCCTCGATGAAGACGCTCGCAAGCTTGCCATACTCCCGGTCCAAGATCGCGTCAATACCTACGCGCCGCAGGTTTGGGTCGGCCACGAGCACGAGCTGCTGCCAGCGCATTTCTGGCGCCGGGTTGAGCGTCAACGCAAGCTCGTGCGTCTTGTCAAGCATACTGCCAAGCGTTTGCACCGTCACCAAGTGCGCTTGGACGAGTTCCTTGAGCTGCTTGTTTCAATATGCGCGGCGGCCGTGTCCATCTTGAGCTGCACCGCGATCTTCTGCCACCGGCTCGGGGGACTGAGGACGTCTCGGAGCTGCTTGGCTTCGGTCAGCTGCTTCAAGCGCACCTCAAGTTCCTGCGCCGCACGCTTGAGCTCGAGGAGCTCGGTGCGCTTCTTCTTCCGGTATCGCTTGAGGACGATGCTGTGGCTGCTGGGCTTGGGCGCGGCAGCGTCATCGCTCAAGTTGTCGTGGAGGAGTCCATCCAGGATGGCGCTTTCTTCGGCAGACCACTCGACTGAGAACTGATAGCAGCCAACGTCGAGCAGGTCCATGCCAATCTCGTCCATCGTGATGATTCTATTGGTGTCGTTGAAAATGACAAATGCAATCTGCGCTGGGCCAAATGCTCCGTGTTTTGATTCGGCAAATCCTGAGATCCCGCTGTCGCTAGCCAATCAGGGACTCCGGTGGATTACAGAGCGCCACGGACCACGTCATCATGTGCATGGGATTCCACGCATGATCTCAACACGACTTGATGCGATTAGACTACACTCGGTCTCTTGCACTCGACATTATATGCACGGACCGACTCGTGTTGACCAAGCCACTTGCGAAAGGATCGTATACCACTTTGTCGATACATTTACCTCTCGGTGGTGTTGTTAAACGGACTCGATTTGGACGTTTACCGCCAGTATGATAGTGGCTCGTGGCGCTTGCGGCCTGCGTCGCGGTGTCCGTCATCGGTACGGTAAAAATGCCGGTCTTTTTAGTCAGTCCGACTGAAGCTGCAGGAAGGGTCGTTCGTGCTACGTCTCGATCGCATCGCCAGTGTCTTGTTGCTCGTGGGCTTGCGCCTTGCCGTACTCGTCAATGTACTGGTTCACGGCGCGGCGCATCACGTGCGACGCCTGCTCCAGTGTCTTCTCCCAGTGCGCTGTCAGCGTTGTCGTCCACTGCGACGGTCGAAACTTTTGAAAATACTTGAAGTCGGCGCCGTCGGCGTTGGCTTCGAGGAGGTGCCACGATACTTCGTTCGAGTATGGCGTCGACGGATCGTACGGCGACTGCTCGTCGTCGTCAATGCTTCGACACACGATGATGCACTTGGCCGCTGTCGTCACGTCCTGCGTGTCGTAGTAGCGCTTGCAGAGGACGCGTCGCTGGAATTTTCCCAGCGGGTGGTCAAACCACCCTGTGACGTACGACGTGTCGGCGTCAATGTCGATGAGCTCTTTGCAGGACCGGTTCATGTTGGGGATGCCGCCAGCCGTGCCGCGGATGACGTTCCACGTGCCCTCGACGACGCAGCGCAGCTGGAGGCGCGTCCGCCGATGCACGATCGTATGAAACTCGTGGGCGTTGTGGTGGTGGAACTTGGCAATGTGCTTTTGGAATTCGTCGTCGACGTCGATGAGGCCGGCCTCAATGTAGGCCGAGTGGAAGCGACCGTGCTCTCGGTCGAGGATCTGGTGCATCGCGAGCGTCCGTAGCAGCGGGTCGGCCGCGAGAATGAGCTGCTTCCATTTGTCTTCGGGGGCGTCGAGAAACGCGATGGACTGTGTCTGGTCGTACGTCTTCTCGAGCACGTTGGCAAAGATCTGCGCTGTCATCATGTGGTTCTGGACGAGCTCGCGCAGCTGCTGGTTCTCGGTCCGCGCCGCCTTTTCCATTTGGCGCTCGCTCACGGCGAGCTGCTGCCACTTGCTTGGCGGCCGCAGGAGGTCCTTCTTGGCCTTGGCATCCTGCAGCTGCCGCAGCCTGGCCTCGAGCTCGGTCGCCGCCTGCCGCAGCTGCTGCATCTCGTTGCGCTTCCGCTTGCGGTACTCCTGCAGCGCGAGGTTGTGCTTGAGGCGCGCGGGGTGGGTCGGCGTCGCCGCTTCCGGGGACGAGTTGCTGCGCGGTGGCAGGAGCGTGCTGAGGATCTCGCTCTCATCGCGCGACCACTGCACCGAGTAGTCGAAGCTCGACGGGTCGAGCGTCCCGGCAACGAACGCTTCGTTCGGGTTCATGCTGCCTTTTTCCTGCTTGTCGCCAATGTTCCACACCGAGCCGACGTAGAGACGAGCCAATCACAAGCACTGGTCGTCCTACGCAGCCAATCACACGCGACAAACGCCATGATTTTAGCCAATGGTGGCCATGGCAGCGCCCACGCAAACGACCAACTAATTCGGCGGTGGCATGAAGAGAGGGGTGCCACGTCAAGATCGTGCAATGGCGATGCGCTCCGAGTCCACTTGTGAAGTGGATAAAGGCAAGTAGACAAGCTCCCATACAATTACGTGCTATTTAGTGTGGACCGGTCACTACGAACTATTAACCTACCCCATGAACCTACCCTAGCGTTCGTATCTAACGGTACATGACCTTCGGCCTCGAGCCGATACCCGTCAATGTACTGGTTCACGGCGCGGCGCATCACGTGCGACGCCTGCTCCAGTGTCTTCTCCCAGTGCGCTGTCAGCGTTGTCGTCCACTGCGACGGTCGAAACTTTTGAAAATACTTGAAGTCGGCGCCGTCGGCGTTGGCTTCGAGGAGGTGCCACGATACTTCGTTCGAGTATGGCGTCGACGGATCGTACGGCGACTGCTCGTCGTCGTCAATGCTTCGACACACGATGATGCACTTGGCCGCTGTCGTCACGTCCTGCGTGTCGTAGTAGCGCTTGCAGAGGACGCGTCGCTGGAATTTTCCCAGCGGGTGGTCAAACCACCCCGTGACGTACGACGTGTCAGCGTCAATGTCGATGAGCTCTTTGCAGGACCGGTTCATGTTGGGGATGCCGCCAGCCGTGCCGCGGATGACGTTCCACGTGCCCTCGACGACGCAGCGCAGCTGGAGGCGCGTCCGCCGGTGCACGATCGTATGGAACTCGTGGGCGTTGTGGTGGTGGAACTTGGCAATGTGCTTTTGGAATTCGTCGTCGACGTCGATGAGTTGCGCTTGGATGAACGCATCATGGCACCGGAGATGCTCGCGGTCGAGGATCTGGTGCATCGCGCGGTGCCGCAGCGCCGGATCGAGGACGAGAATGAGCTGCTTCCACTTCTCGTCGGGCGTCTCGAGAAACGCGATGGACTGCGTCTGCTCCCACGTCTTTTCGAGCATGTGCGCAAACACTTGGGCGGTGATCATGTGCTCCTTCACAAGCTTGCGCAGATTCTCGTTCTCGGCCCACGCCTGCTTCTCGCGCTGCCGCTCGTTCACCACGAGTTGCTGCCACTTGGTCGGCGGCTGGAGCGAGTCGGACGCGGCTTTGGCCATCTGCAGCTGCAAGAGGCGTAGCTCGAGATCACTGGCGGCTTCCTTCAGCTGCTGCATCTCGTCGCGCTTCTTCTTGCGGTACCGCTTGAGCGCGAGGTTGTGCTTCACCTTGGACGGCGGCAAGGTCGCGAGGTCGTCGGCAGACTGCGGTGGCGACTCGTCAATGGGGTGCAGTAGCGTCGCGAGGATCTCGGTTTCCTGTGATGACCACTGTACTGAGTAGTCGAAGCTCGAGAGGTCGAGAAAGTCCACGAGGTAGGCCTCGCTCTGGTCCATGCTGGGCAACCAAATCCAAAATGCCAACATAGCCGCAATGGACCCTGCGACATGAAATCATCTTAACCAATGAGAGGAGTGTATCAAGGTCAGATGGTCGAAGCGTGGTCTGCAGCACCGAGCGGCGATCGGCCTCCGCGGCGTAGGCTGATGACGATAGGCTTACCGTCCTTGCCAACACGTTAGAGCGAAGCCCTCTCTGCGACGCTTCAGCTTCGTACGTGAGTTGGTTGAAGCGACACGGCAATTGTGTGACACCGAGTCCGAGCGATCTTTTCCGAGCGCCAAGCCACCCCACCATCTTTTATGCAATTTACCCAACGTCCTTCAACGGTGCGCAGTACTACTCGGCAAACTCAGCGCCTGGTAGCTAGAGTTGCGGCCGTCTTGTTGTAGTAGTGGCTTCGCAATAGTTGTTGCGCCAGAAAAAGAGAGAGAGCAATCACCGGCGAAGCCTGTGCGGTATCAAAGGGTCGGCAACGCAATGGCCACATCTGCTCGATTGCGACACGCTCTTACCTGTACCACGTACGTGGAAGGGCAAATACACGTCCACAGGCGTTCATAGTCGACAAATTGGTAGCCCAAGATCATATCGGATAGGCCAATAACAATTAATACAAGGTCGAATTACATTTAGTCACTACACGGCGGCTTGAAGCTGGGCGCGGCCATACTGGTCGATAAAATCGTGGATCGCATTGCCAATCATCTTGGAGTGCTTGGAGAGAGTGTCAACCCAGTAGTCGCTCGGGGGGCCCTCGACCTTCCACGTCGACGGCCGGATGCGCTGAAAGTACTTGACGCGCGTGCCGCCGCACGGCTCTGCCTCGAGCACGAGCCACGAGACTTCATTTGTCGCTTCGCTCGCGGCGTCGTACGGATACAGCTCGTCCTGCTCGAGGCTCCGGCAGACCATGACGCAGCGCGTTGCGTCTGCACCGCTGTTGTTGTAGTAGCGCTTGCAGAGCACGCGCCGCTGGTACTTGCCCATCGGGTGGTTGCGCCAGCCCGTGACGTACGACGTGTTGGCGTCGACGTCTTCGAGGCGCTTCGCCTCTTGGTCGAGGTGCTTGACCGAGACTGCGCCGCGCATGACCTGCCACGAGGCCTCGGCGACCGACGTAAGTGTGATGGGCGCGACACGGCACACGGTCGTGTGCAGCTCAAAGACGCCGAGATGGAACTTGCTCGAGTGGCGCTGGATCTCGGTCGTCGCGTCAATGAGACCTGCTTCGATGAACGCGCTGTCGACAAGGTCGAACTGCCGATCGCAAATGTTGTGGATCGCGGCCTTTCGCGTCGCAGCATCCGCCACGAGTACGAGCTGCTTCCACTTGTCGGTGAGCGAGCGCGCCATGACCGTCGGCTGCTCGGGCTTCTTCTCGATGAGGTTCGTAAACGTCTGCGCGATCTCCATGTGCTCTTTGATCATCTCTTTGAGATGCTTGTTCTCGAGCCGTGCTTTTTGCTCGAGGCGAATCTCTTCTGCCGCCAGCTTGTGCCACTTGCTCGGCGGGTTGAGGATGTCTTGGAGCGCCTTGGACTGCTGCAGTCGCTGCAACGTCGCCTCGAGCTCGACGGCCGCACGCCTGAGCTCTTCGTGCTCGGCCTGGCGCTTCTTGCGGTGGCGCTGCAGGGCGAGATTCTGCTTCTTGCGCGAGTCGGACGACGGCGACGACGCAGTCGAGGTTGGCTGACCACCAGGAAAGAGGTTGTTGAGCATGGACTGCTCCTCGTGGCTCCACTCGACCGTGAAGTCGGCGCTCGTGACGTCGAAGACGCTCGAGATGAAGGCTTCGCTCGGATTCATCGCGTTAGCAGTTCTAAGCGACGCCCGATGAGGTCACGACTATCACGGCCGAGTATATTTTCGTAAACCCGCCACGTTGATCCTCTAAATAGTGTTATCGGGTTTGGATTGGCCGCTGTTTCGATCAAGCTTGTCTCGGATTGGTGCGTTCGACATGCCGCGCGCGGATTGGTGAATGGATACATTAAATAGTGTAGCATGGTGCGACAAGGTTGGACCACCAATGAGTTTGCCGCAGAATTCGCACAAACATGCACCTCGGACTGGCCAACGTCGTTGATGTGTCACGGAACATCCTGGAACATACTGAATGTGGCAATTCCGTGTACTACCTGAGCGAATTCGACGCCATCCTGCGACACCCGCCGGTTCCTTCCGATGCTCCAAGAACCTCAACCCACTGCATCGCGCTTCCCAGAGGAAGTCGCATCAGTATCCTGCTCAACGTGAAGAGTGTCAGGTCAGCCACGTTACTATGTAGCGCGAGTCGTTGCAGTTCAGAAGAGCAAGCAGACAATTGGCCCGCGAAGCCTCAACTTGTCACCTGCTGCGCGCAGTTACGATGAGAAATCGGACGGCACCCTTTTCTCAACGACCGCAAACGATCATTCTCATGGCGCGCTTTCACAACGCTGCTTGTCGAGTCTCCTTGCTTGCGTCAACACAGTCGATATTGTCCATGGCGGTGTAATATTGATACTTGTACAATAAGAATATCGTCATTAGTGCGAGTCGATGTATTTGCGGATCGCGATGCCGACGTCGTCGGTCTCTTGCGTGAAGCGCTCTAGCCAGCTCTTGGTCAAGACGATTCCTGCGTTGCGCGCCTGGTTGGCTTTGTGAAAGTACTTGATCACAGTGCTTTTCGGAGTCTCCTCGTCCGGCTCGATCGTGAGCCACGACACTTCGTCCAAAATATTGTTCAGGTCCGTCGCCTGCACGGCGTCGTCGTGGAGGATGCTGCGGCATACGACGACGTACTTGGCTCCTTGCTCGTAGCGCTTGCAGAGAAGCCGGCGGTCAAACCGGCCCTCGGCGTGGTCGCGCGAGCCCATGATGTAGCTCACGCTCGGATCCACGGCTGTGTGGCTGTTGTAGAGCTGCTTTAAAAGCGGGTCTTTCGACATGGCGGCGCCCGTGAGGCACTGCCACACCGACTCGGTCACGGACGCGACGGTTTGCGTGAACCGGCCGGTTAGGATCGTTTGCACCTGCACCGCGTGGTTGACGTGCTTGTACTCGTGCTTGTGGAGCTCGGGCACGGGCGACTCGAGTAAGCCGGCCTGCAAGAAGGCGCTCTGGAGCTGCTCCAGCTCGCGGTCGCAAATGTGGTGGTACGCTGCCTTGCGCAGCTCCGGGTCCGCGACGAGGCGCAGGTACTGCCATTGGTCCTTCGGCTGCGCCGAGATGGTGGCGTTCGAGACCGCTGGCACGGCCTGCACCGCGCGCACTAGTGTGTCGGTAAACTGCATCTGCTGCTCGACGGCGTCGCGCAGCGCCTTGTTCTCGAGCATGGCCTTGGCCCGGCGCTTGCGCTCGTTCGACGCGTGCTGGCGCCACTTGGAGCCTGGGTGCAGCATCGACTGCAGCGTGTGCTTGTGCTTCATGTCGGCGAGCTGCGCTTCGAGCTCCACGACGCTCTTTTGGAGGCCAATGAACTCGGCCTGGCGCTTCTTGCGGTGGCGCTCCACGTACAGTAGCTGCTTGCTCGATGTGACGCGGCGCGGCTTGGTGGGCGCGGGCTTCTTGGGCGCAATCGGCTCGGACTTTGTCGCTGGCGACGCTGGCGAACTCAGCAAGTCGAGCATCTCCATCTCGACCGGTGTGAAGAAGTCGACGTGCAAGCCTTCCATGCCGACGACGAGGGGTACCTCCTCGACGACCGAGGTTGCTGTTGTCGCTGCCTTCATAGTGTAGTAGTCGTATATTGCAGAATGAAGATCGGCAATCCATGTACAATGGCATGTATACCGTGTCGGCGCTTCGTGTCGACATGATTGCACCCCGATCACGTCCAGGGCCGAGTTCATAAACACTTGGCAATATTGGTGCCTTTGGCGCGCCTACGCTAAAGGCAATATGTGCGACATACGGCGTGTTTTTATACCTACATGCGAGCATATATTGCTTGACTTGGGATTTGTAGTTGCAAGTGCAGCGCGCCTAACCCATTATTGCCACTGGCGCCGCTGTGACGTGGGGCCAGGTGGCGTGGGGATTGCGGTATGGGACACGGAGCGTCATATCCAAAAAGCGCTGATTATCACACGCCCGTGACGTGATGAGAAGCTGATGATGGCCGCTAGCTATGGCCGCGATGGCACACGACAACGTGGATGCAATGGGCAACGATGGGCGATTGCCAAATACAATATATATTGGCGCGAAGATGTTGGCCTAAGATACGATTTGCGTCGCGTCACGCTGATGATGGACGCGGTAGGGATCTGAGCAGAGGGCTCATCAACACCCCTTTTCTCAGTCGCCTATATGTTGCGCGTAGTATTACTGGAAGAATCCGACGAGTCACGCGTGCCAAGCAGCGAATGATTAGACTTTGAGAGCGTTTTCGACGGCCCAAGAGATGGCTACAACCGGCGTCGGCGTATTCCGACGAACTCACGCTGAGGGGCCAATTACTTACAGAGCCAACGCACTGGAAATGGCACTGCATTAACGCATCAGCACATTTATACCTCGCACCGCGAACGATCGAGAGATTCCTCAACCCCACGCACTAGCGTCCCACAATCTGGATTGAAAAACAACGACCGTCATCGAGCGACCAACGTTCTTTCTAGTCGTGCGCGTTCTCGGCCATCGTGTCCATCGAGCGCAGCAGCGGCGTCGTCTCGCGCGTGACGCCCTCGGCGAAAGCGCGCAGCTGCGGAAGGTCGGCGATCGATCCGTGGCGCGACTCTTGCGTGTAGAGCCGGCGCCGGGGCTCGTTGGGCTTTTGCTTGCTAAATTTAAGCTTGGCCCACGCCGCGAGGTTGGCCCACGTGTACTTGTGCTCGTCTTCGCCGAGCTGGAAGACCCAGAGAAGCACGGCGAGGCCGAGGTAGACAAGGCAAAACTGGAACGACCAGGGTGTTGGGAAGACACCGAACGCCGGCTGGATACCCGACGCCTCGACTTCAAAGGCGTGGATAACCCCCGTCCCGCTCAAGATCGACGCGATGAGCATCCAGAGACTCGCGTAAATGAAGTCGCGCTCAATGATGTGCACCATCGTCGACGCCAGCACGATCGCGGTCAAGAGGTACCCCTAACCCCGACGAATCAGCGTCCGCTCAAGACGATTAGGTAATGTAATACCTGGGACAAGGCGATCATGCCGTTCGGGTTCAAGCCTGCGTCCGAGAGCGCCTCGACGACGCGCGTCATGTTGAAGCCGTTCGGCGACGTGGCTGTGAGCGTGTTCTGCACGAGCTGGAAACCCCAGGCCGAGAGCGCGGGCACCATCCCGAGGACGACGGCCGTGCCGTGGTTGCTCTCCTGCTCCTTCTTCTCGAAGCTGCTCGCGGTGATGACCATGCCGATCCAGAGAAGAAACCCGACGCCCGACGAAATCGGGATCGTTCCAATGATCCACGGCGTTGCTACAACGATGCCAAGTCAGCTTACGGGCGCTCGGAGATGTACCGTTGAGGATCGCGAGGAGCGAGATGCAGATCGCATTCATGCCCAAGTACGCGTTGCGCGCGCCCATCGCCTTGTAAATGGGCTACGTCATCACATGCGAGGTAGGTACTAGAAGTTGACAGATGGGACATACGTGGCCGATGTAGACACCCGTCGGGAACGGGTTGCCGAGGCAGGCGCCGAGGATGGTCACGATCGAGTCTAATGCGATAGTTCAAGTGTTGAACTGTAGTTGCAAGCAGGTCGTACCGCCCAGGACGGACGTGATCGGGTCGTACTTGTCGCCGACGGCCGCCGCGGTCTCAAAGTTGGCGATCGCCGACATGACGTTGACGAGCACCATGGGCATGATGATGCTCATGTACTTCCAGCCAGCGCCACTACGCCGCATACGCTTCAAAATGCACAGCTTGTCGTCGACCGAACCTTGTGAGGGCGCGCCAGACGAGATGCATGTCCACGTGCGGGCCCTGGAGATCGAGCACGTACGGCTGCGTCATGGGCACAAACTACGAGAAGACGGGTCACGTCCTGCTCGATGATGCAGGTCGCCGCGTACGTTGGTCGACGCGCCCGTGTAGTACAAGACGAAGGCGATGAGCGTTCCGAGGAGGAGACTCCCGAGGCCCGTGGGCAGGTGGAAGGGCAGCTTGACACCGGCGCCGTAGCACACGAGCTAGACACGACAATATATCAGATCGTATAGACAAGAACGCGTTCGTACAAAGAGGAAGAGCGGGCCGAGCGCGATGAGAGGGTTTTCCCAGATCTCGAACGCGAAGCCCATGCTGAGGAACGTGAGCGCGATGCCCGAGACGGACGCGAGGAGCGCCGCTTTCGGAATCGAGCGCTGCAGAAACGACACAAAGGGCAGCAGCGCCATCTGCAAGAGCGCGGTCCAGATTGCGGCGAAGAGGCCGGCCTCCCACGCAGCCTCGAAGGACTGCGTCGCTTGGTACTCGGGCGCCATGATCGAGAGGCCGTAGGCGAAGACGAGGACAGTGTTGACGCCTTCGGGCAGCCCCGTCACGTCGTTCCGGCGCTCGTCGCGCGCGAGGCGCCAGCCTGCAAATGCAAAGTAGCAATTGCCCATCGTCGTCGTAAAGGCGGCCGCGGGAATGATGCGCGTGGTCACCACCTCGACCGGAAGGCCGCAGTGCGCCGGCAGCACTTGGTAGATAATCATGAGCTGCAGAATGCTCTGCACGAGCATGCCGGAGAAGGCGTCCCAGTCGCCAGACGTCAGCGACCACGAGCTCGGACTGAGCATCGCATGCGCCGGCGCCTCGCTCGTGTCTTGAAAGTACAAGGCCGCCGAGTGCGCCCAGCCGCAAGCGACTTGGTGCATGCTCCTACGACACCCATAGTATCAAGTGGATACGTTGATACAGTTGTACCGCTGGTGCAGCATCGGAATCGACGTCAAGTGCCGCTCGTTCGAGACAGTGCCGGTGCCGAGCTCGCCGTCGCCGCCGCGGCCCCACGCAAACGTGTCACCGTCGACGCACGCGAGCGAGTGGCGGCCGCCGGCGGCGAGGAGCGTCAAATTGACGTCCATGAGGGCCGAGCAGCGTACGGGGCGGAGGACGACGTCGGGCGACCCGTCCTTCTCGAGTTCGCCGAGCTGTCCGTACTGGTTCCAGCCCCAGCCGTACACGTCGACGGTGGGTGAGAAGCCGTCGATGCCAGCTGGCACGACCGCAAAGCAGTGCCGGAACCCGCAAGAGATCTGGACCACGCGCTTCCCGATGAAGGACGGGATCTCGGTCGGCTGCCGCACCGTGTCCGAGTGGCCGAGACCGAGCTGCCCGTAGAGTCCCCAGCCCCACGCAAAGACGCGGTTGTCACTGCTCAGCGCGAGCGTGTGGCGCGACCCGCACTCAATTGCCTGGAACGACGCAGGGTGGGGAATGGCCAGCGGCACGAGGCTGCACTCTGCGTCCGCGATACCGAGCGCGCCGTCCTCGCCAGAGCCCCACGAGTAGAGTCGGCCCTGCAGATCGATCGCGACCGAGTGCGCGCGGCCGCAAGCGACCTGCACGATGTGCTCGAGGTCCGGGACCTTGGTCGGCACGTGCAGCGAAGCCTTGGTGTTGTGGCCGAGCTGGCCTTCGTCGCCGCGGCCCCACGTGTACACGCTGCCTTCTTCCGAGACGGCGACGACGTGCGACCCCCGCGTCGCGACACGAGCGATCGCCACGTCATGCAAGTCGTCCAGCACCCGCGGCTCGAGCTACGCCGCTTCTTAGCGCTACGCGCTTTGCATAGCTTACGTACCTGTGCATGGAGGCTGTGGCCAATGCCGAGCTGGCCATAGTCGTTCTTGCCCCACGCGAAGACGGCGCCGTGAATCGACACGGCGACTAGACAGATCTTTTCGTCAGTGCTGGTCTAACTGCGAGGATCGCACCTGTGAAGCGACTGCCGCAGGCGAGCTGCTTGATGGTTGTTCGGTCGAGAAGCGACTGCACGACGTGCGGCTTGATGCGTGACTCGCGATCGTTGGTACCGAGCTGGCCGTTGCCGCCCAGCCCCAGCAGAGCACGACGGACGACTGGGCCTCGGTCGGCGCGAGCGGCGTTTGAGCGGCGAGAGCGAGCCCGACCGGCGGCTGCGGCGCGTCGGCGACTTGCTCGACGTCGAGCCACGTCGATCGTGCTGCGTCGGCGGTGGCATCCTGGCGTGTGTGGTCCGGAGGCAGGAGGCCAGTCCGTGTCAAGATCCAGCCAATCACCAATTGGGTCAATTGCGATCCCACCAATCGGCACGCGGTATTACTTGCAGTCCACTTGGCACTTGCTGAAGGTGGTGGTGTCGAGAACCGCCGCACACAAGCCGCGTCGTCTGCCCAAGGAGCTTTCTGGATCGTACTTGCTCCATGTAAGCAACTACATCCGGCTGTGGTGCACGATTCGGCAAACAGCCAGTAGTGCTCCTGGATCACAACTGCCTCTTTGCTACGACAGTATTTTACGATGACTGTACCTTGTGCCAATATTAGTGTTGTGTACCCCGATACGTACTGCGATGGGCGTGACGAGCCTTTGTCGCTGCGCCGCTCGTGGCGTCTGGTTACGACGCTGGTGTGGTACGTGGCCCCAAACACTTTACGTATTCTCTTGCTTGGCCCGAGCCCACCCTTGGCCCGAACGAATCAATGTGCAGCCATTGAGATGAACGCAAGTCAAGAAGCGCGAGGACACGTCGAAAGGACGCGTGTCTTGATCGCTGCGGTGGACTGCATCACGCAAATGGATGACGACGTTATCGTGGGAATAGCGTCGCGCTGACGCGGCGAGGCTGCGACGCGCAGTCGCGTCAACGTCCGATGATTATTAACCGCTCTTCCATTGTTTCAATGTATTACATGGCTGTACAGCTCGTCGAGACGACGACGACGAATAAATAAATAGACTACTCGCAGTCCGCGCCGTAGTTCCAGTGCTACGGCGGGCGATGCGTCTAGCAGGCGAGGACGCGCCGGCGCTTGGCCTGGCGCACCTGCCGGATCGCGCTCAGGCGGTGCATGAGCGTCGAGCTGTCGAGGTACTCTTCGCGCGTCGTCGCGGCTTGGAAGAGGATCGACTCGAGCTTCCGGGCGAGGACGGGCAGCTTCTGGCGCACGATGGCCGGCGCGTGCGGCTTGCAGCCGGCGAGGAAGGCCACGAGCTGCTTCTCGACGACCGCGCGCTCGGTGGCGACAATGTCGGCGCGCTGCGCGCTGAGGCAGCACGCGGCGAGGAGCGAGTGGAGACCGGCGTCGTCGTCGAGCGAGAAGGGCGTCTCGACGAAGCGGCGCTTGAGGCGGGACTGAAGCATGGCGAATTGCAAACTGAAAACGGAGGCCAGCGGCGTGGCCGTGCGACACATGGCCGATGAGCCACCGTGGCCGCCTCGGCGTGTCAGCGCTACTCACGCTGCCCGCTTGATGCGAGCGCGTCACCCTCGCCCGAATATCACATTCGGAGGCGTGTTTGCCGTAGGCCCCCTAGGTAAAAAATGATTTGAATGGAACCCCGCCCTCGACATAGCCAAGCAACGGTCATTCATTATGGGCGCAGTGATAGGTCGATCGGCGCGTGAAAGTTTGGCCTAGCTTCTCTCGGTCGAATGGAGTAGCTGACCCGATGGCAAGGTCACGCCGCGAGGTGGCGCGGGCCCGTTCGACTTCGAAGAACGGCGGCCGCGACGACGGCGCGTTCCTCAATGATCGGCACACTCCGTCATGTACTGTACATACGACGACTATCCTCCTGTGTGTGGATCGTCTATGGAAGCTCCGCCGCCTTTTCTGCTGCGGCAGCTTGCAGCGGCGCATTTTCGGGTGGACCCCCCAAGTCGACCTGAAATTTTAGGGCTGGTTGGACTGGGACACGGGTGCGAATGGCTTGAATTTGGTTGAGTTTGCTCTTGGCCAAAGCGAGCAAGAGAAGAATGCCAGCCGGAGTAGCTCGTGTAGAGGCCAGGTGGCGTGACGCAGGCGCCGCGTCGATGCGCGCAGTATCTAGCGCAGTTGCGTCGGATCGTCGACGCGCCCACTCCCTCGCATCACGCGTGTGCGGGACGTTAGGCGTGGAATGCTCTGCGCTTCGTAGAGTTAGTACGCCAGGCAGCACCTAGCGTGTAGCTGCCGCCGTCACACGACTGCTCATGGCAGCATTGTACGCGGGCACCGGATCTTTCTGTCGCATCTCAGGCACCAAAGGCAACGACGTCCCTTGGCAACGTATCAGAACCACAAGGGTGCAACCAACCCAACTTTATGAGGATAAGCAACCAACTCGACGAGTCCGTGGTCGCCGCGTGACGCAGTGGCTGTCCATTCGGCGACAACCAAAAAGGCCAGAGCTTTGACTAAGCTGCAATAAGATCGCCAAACGGGCGACAGTGGTTATCACTCGGGTATTTTTAGCTCGACCGATGGTGGAGACGCCGGCGGTAGATGCGCGCGTCGAGGAGCGAGGGGCCGAGGTGCGGGCGGGGTTTCCGTCGCCGCGGTCGTCGCGAGCCGTGCTCGACTCGGCGCGCCGACAGCAGACCGAGCGCACCCTGCTGCGGTCGCCCACGTCGCCGACGCGGCGGGTCCTGGACGAGAAGAGCCAGCTCATGCTCGAGGTACTTCAAGACTATGGCCCGTACTCGCCGCGAAGAGAGTACAGCTGCCGGTCGCTGCCCAAGCCCCGAAGCGAGGACTTTGTCTTGCGACACAACGCCCAAAACATCCACGACTTCAAGCAAGCGTACTCCAAGTCGTATGGAACGCTCAACCGCAAGCCGCCGCAGTTTGCGCTCAACTGCCCACCGACGAGCCCGTACGCCAAGCGCCCGCCGTCGCCGCCCCACCCACCTGCCGAGCCGCTTTGGTCGAGTTGGATGGTGGTGCGCTCGTCCTCATGCACCGATTGTAGGAAGCAATCCAAGCCCAATGTATGGGTCCTCACCGAGCACGGGCTAAGGTCGCTCGTGGGGGTCGCGACGCCGCACGCTGCGCCGCCGCGCCTCCTACCCTCCATCGCCAAGCGGCCGCCGGAAGCCTCGTCCTTCCAGGCCCACGCGCAAGTTGGGTCGCACATCGACCTCTCCAAGGACAACGAGTTTGCGAGCCTCGTGCGCCTGCACCACTACTCGCCACGGACGACGCCACTGCCACCGTCGACGGCACATGCACGCAACGCTGCGTATGCGCTAAGCATGCTCGGGCGGCCAAGCACGTCTCCAGACGTTGGTGGGAGTCCCGGGAGTGGCGGTCGCCGGCCAATGTCGTCGGAAGACCGAGCTGCCATGTATGGTTTCTTCGCCATGTCGTCGTCCCCATCAAAGTCGCCGCTGCGGTCGCCCAAGAAGCCGGCGTCGCCACCGAAACCCGAGCAGCTTTGCCCATCGATTTCGCTCAAGCACATGTCGCTCATGGAGGTCGAGCCGAGCATCATCAACTTTGACCGCGTCCGTCGCGGCCAAACGTACCACTTCCCCATCAAGGTACCCTTGGCTGCACCTCGCGGAGGCGGTGCAGGCTGCGCGTAGATCCGCAACTTTGGCACCAAGCAAGAGCGGTTCCGTGTCCGCTCGATCGCACTTAAGGCAGGCGGCGCCGAGTGCTCGACTGTCCAGGTACAGGCTTCGTCGAGCCTCCGACGGCGCCTCCCGATGCAGAGTAGGTCGAGTACGACCGAGAGAAGGCCAAGATTGCGCCGGGGCTCAGCGCGATGCTGCTCGTGATCGCCACGTTTGAGCGTTCTGGCGCCATCTCCGGCGTCCTCGATATTGAGAGTCCGAGCGGCAAGTGCGGCCTCGCCGTCATCGGCACCGTCGAGTCCTCGTAAAGCGAATGTAGGTGATCTTATTAAATAAAGGAGTTGTGGACTTGCAGTCTATAACCAATCTTCGTTCGATGGGTCTCGCTGCGCGTCCGAGCGCGACGACGTGCTGCTGCCCGTGCTGCTGTACTCGGCCGAGGATGGCACGTGGGACGGCGCGTACTTGAGGCCTTGCAGCTTGAGCAAGATGTCGCGGCGCTGGCGGAGGATCTCGGTCAGATCAATGTCCGACTCGCGGCTGCTGTCGCTGAGGTTCGAGAGCGTCAAGTTCCGTCGGCTGTTGCTCATGTTGGCGCGGCCGACGCCGACGACCGCGTCCGGGTTGACCGAGATGTTGGGGTTCGCCGGCAGTTGCAGCTGCCACGCGTTGAAGTGCGAAATGCGCTTGTACTCGAGCACGGTCTTGACCTCGCCGGACGCGTCAACCTCGTGCTGCTTTTGGCAGTTGATGCAGAAACCGACGCGGAACGGGTTGCCCTTGAAGTCCATGCACGTCTCTTCTTCGTCCGGGTCCTCGATGGGCTCGCCCCAGCGGGCGTGGATCACGCCGGGCGAGTCGGGCGGTGTGCCAAGGATCAAGTCGATGTCGATGCTCATCTGAAAATGGCCAAAATTAGCAGGCAACAAAATGTGGCGTTGGCCGTTCAACGCACCATTTCGTCGTTGGTGTCGGACCGGTAGAACTCGCCGTCACGCTTCTTCATTGGCATCGTCGTGTACTTGAAGCCCGTGCGTGAGTTGCCAATCTCGAGCGTGCCCGCCTCCTGCACGATCGGAAACTCCGAGTCCTTGCGCTTGTAGTTGAACGAGAACTTGGACGACTTGCGCCCGGCGCTGCTCGTCGACGACGACTTTGGCCGGCGCAACACCTCTTCGGCGTGGCTCGCGGACGATGGCTGCGTCGAGTCGGTCCAGTGGCGCTGCTGCAGCTCATGAGCTTGGCACACCTCATGGCGAGCGTACCTGGCGCTGCTGCACGGAGGACATGGAGTCCGTGTTGACATGCTCGAGGTTGATGCGCGCGCACGAGTTGCCCATGATACCGAAGGCGATGGGCGGCTGGTCGGCGGCTTGCTCGCAAGTGGCAGACCGGCCCACCACACTGGACCTTTTTTCGTTCTAGATTTGTATGCCATCTATCCGGATCCGGACCAGCCTGCAACCAGCTGCGCCGCAACTTCGTTTCCTCCTTAGTCGCTAGTCCTCAGTACACTGTACGACGAGCGCTGCGTGCACGTCGACCACCACCGTGTACGCGGCTGCATCGCCATGCCAACGCAGCCTGGCGTGCGACCTTGAAGCGCTGCACGTTGCGACGACTCGCAGTTAGTCGTTTAGTCGGTCGCGTGGTAGAGGGCCGGATTGTGGTCAGGATGGGACAAGTACCTTGCAAAGTGTACATCGCTACGGCGCCGCGTTCTCATTTGCGGTCGACTAATTATTCGTAATGTTGCGGCGCGCACGTCAGCCGCCGCAGATTATTTACCGCCGACGCCGCAGCGACCAACTACGTTCTTATTCGCATGCGCTCGAGGCGGCGCAGCAGCGCGAGAGCAGCCGGGCTCTGTGTGAGTAGCAATCGACGTGTAGAAGACGCGACGTGTGTCTCGCAAGACAGGATGGTTCTCCGCTTGGACGCTGAGACCAAGGGACATCAATCCACTGGTGAGACTCACAAACGACAAACGTCAAGTAGACTATTTGTACTTGCACGTCGTACTGATGCAAGCGAGATGACGTCCACGGTGCTTCTTGCGACGGCGAGATGCGCGTGGACTCTGAACGCGAAGAAGCCAGTCCTCGTAGAGTGGCGCCGTGTATCATCAATCGTCGCGGCTGGCAGATCTCCACTGCGACAGCACCACGAGCAACTAAGTGCACGAATGTATCGACTAACTAGGCACTCCGCAGTCGAAGTGAACTCCGAGTTGCGACGACGCGCCGCCATGCATCCAGACAAATAGAAGCTGCACCTCGTGTGCACAAGTATGCTCGGCAGATCCCTCCCGGTTCTGAGGATTAGTCGCTACGATTCGAGTCCGCCGCGAACCTGAAGCGCGGAGTTCGCGCGCTTCTGCCGCACAAACTGGGACCTTGCATTAAATAGCTTGTTGTTTGTATACCGAGTAAAATATACGCGATGCCGGCGTAGGATTGGTCCGCAGTCGAGGCCCAGATCGGATCGCGCCATGGACTCGGATTGGGCCTTGGCGTCGGACGGCGCCAACGACCCGCTGCGCGTCCACGTCTGCGACGAACGACTGCGGCGCGAGCTTCACCAAGAACGCCTACTTGCTCCAGCACCAGCTGAGCCACAGCGGCGAGCGCAACTTTGTTTGCCCGCACGACGCCTGCGGAAACACCTACCAACGGTACGCTGCCGCGGCCATGAGCCTCGCCGCCCACGCTTGCGATAGGAAAGACCACTTGGTCCGGCACGTCAAGGCTGTGCATGAAGGTACGTTGCACAACCGTACAATGCTCGTGTATCTGAGGCGGCGGCTCCGTAGACACCAAGCGGGCCCATGTCTGCGACCGATGCGGCGCCGCGTTCGTCTACAAGCACGGACTGAGCCGACATGTGGCGGCGGCGCACGACAACCCGGCGCGGCCGTACGTCTGCGCGGTGTGCCAAGCCTCGTTCAAGAAGAAGTCGGGATTGCAGGCGCACGCGTTTGTGCACACGGGCGTCGTGCCATTCCCGTGTCCCGAGCCCGGGTGCGCGGCGGCGTTCACCAAAAAGTGTCTACTGACCAAGCACACGCTCTCGAGCCACAGCGGCGCTTCGCTCACGATCGGTCTCCCCGACGCCAGCGTTGCGTTTACGTGCAGTGTGTGCCGTGCGACGCTGAGCTCGCGCAAGACGCTGCGCGAACACGAACGGTTGCACGAGAGCGCGCCGACGCGGTACCCGTGTCCCGACTGCGGCAAGACATACCTCTCCAAGACGAACCTCAACTCGCACAGGCGCACCGTGCACGCGCGGGCGCGGCGGTTCCCCTGCGATTTCTGCCTCGACGTCTTCTCGTACAAGCACGTGCTCCAAAACCACATTGCGCGGTGCCACACCAACACCGAGCCGCGGCCGCAACGTCGACAAGGGCTCTCGCAAGACAAGATCCGAGCGCGGCTCTTGGGTAGCCGAACGACGGCGATGCCTCAAGCAGACGACGACGGGCTGTGGATGCAGGCACTCGTGGATGGCATCGAGGCGAACGATCCCTCTATGGAAGCGGCGCCCGAGACCGCGCTGAATCTAAAGGCCGAGATCGCTTCCGAGGTTCTGGATGCCGCCACGAGTGTCGATGAGAAAATAGAGTTGTAGAGATTGCAAAACAAGTCACTTCTATGGTGTCAACATCCAGCTACACTGCTACGGGCCCCTGACGGCGAAGTCGTCAAGCGGGATGGCGTAGTGGAAGCGGCGCTGCCCGAGGAGGTCGAGCTCACCGCGGTAGCTGGGCTTGCGATGGAGCCGCCATAGCTTGATGTCAAACACATAGAGCGACTCTTGCCAGTAGCACGTGAGGAGACCGGCCATGGCGGCCGACGCTTGGTCGATGTACACGCCTCCATCGACGCGCCAGTGTTCGAGGTACAACATGTAGTAGCCTACCGAGCTCAAGAGAGCCGTCGGCAGCACGGCCTTGTGTCGATGTCGGTGCGCCCAGCACTCGTACTTGCCAGCGAGGGTGATGCAGCCTAGCACGATGGCGCCGTCGACTGCGATGCGCACGACGTTGCCAATCTCGATGAACGCGCTCGAGCACGAGAGCGCGGCGTCCATGTCGATGTAGACGCACGTCCGGCGCAGCGTGGCGACGGAGCCTTGCGGCCATGCCGAGGTAAAGACGACGGCGCCGACATACGTCATCAACGAGCTGTGCGTCGCGTAGTGCGGTGTGTGCTGATGCAAATAGCAGCTCAGGAGGTCGTTGACGATGTAGACGAGCCACGTGAGCTCCGAGGCGGCGAGGAGCGTCGTGTACCACGGCAGCGGCGGCGACCAGAGGCGCGTGCCCGCGTGCTGCGTTCGAAGCAGCGTCAATGACGTCGTGTTGAGGAGCCACATGGCCGTGACGGACCGGAGCATCAGGAGCGGACGGCCCACCCACACATGCCCCACGAGCCGGTTGATGTCAAAGAGGTTCCAGCCCTCGATGAGGCCGCGACACGCGAGGCTGTAGACGCCGAGGACGCCCGAGAGCGCGATAAAGACGTACGTGACGTACTTGGCGCACGTCTGGAAGAGGTACGCGATCTCCGTGGGCACGAGAGACGGGTCGAGGGTCAGCGTGACCGGGTAGATCGCGCTCGAGAGGATCGGGAGCGTGCCCGAATCGCCTTCAAACGAGACCACTTCGCGAAGCCCGATAGCCCACTCGTAGAGAAAACACCAGCCGTAGAAGCTCCAGTTGCGGTCCTCGTCGTCCAAGAGGTAGGCTTCGTACAGCGTTTGCTCCAGCGACCCGTTGAACGACTGCACAAACTGGATCAGGCGAACGCCGATCGCGACCACGTCGGCGTGGACTTTGGCGGTCGTTGCTGCGAGCGACTGAAATGGAGTCGTGTTGTACGCGTTAAGAAATTGGATGTGCGCCGCGTAGAGGCTCGCGCACGTGGCTTCGACAAAGACGTCTTGGCTGCAAAAGCCGTCGGCGTCGGTGGTGTTGGCGTCCAAGGCGAGCAGGGCAAAGAGCAGCTGGGCTGCCGTCGGCGACATGGCCTCGCTGTACCACCAGTTGCAGAGGTTGTTGACGCCAAACGACATGAAGAGCCCAAGCGACGGCTGGGCGCCGGCAACAACGCCGCCACAGAGAAGGTCCCCACCGACAATACTGACGTCGGTCAAGTGCAAGAGTCGGTGGGGCATCGGTCCGAGAAACGCCTTGGTTTGCAGCTGCGAATATACCAGCGCTGCATCGGGCTCTGTAAACAGCAGCGTTGCGAGCGCGTGCGTGAACGCACCGAGGTACGTGATGAGAGACGCCGGACACGGAACGTAGTTGGTATCAATGACACCAAACGGACCGAGTGCGGTGATAACGGGCGCAAGACCGGCGGGCAGTGGCGACGCGACCGAGCCGTTCCTGCGCAAGACGGCGTCGGGCGTCGTGTTGGCGTAAACAAAAGTTGCGGACGCGCGAACGAGACTACCGCCGCCGACGCCGGACGCATTGTTGGCGACGGCCCACAAGTCGCTCGCAAGTGCCCAGTACAAGTGCATCGACGTCTGCATATGAAAGCGGAACGACCCGGTGAACTGCGCGAGCGGCAGCGCGTGCGTTGTGCCGAGCGCCGTCCCCAATACCATCGCGTCTTGAAAGCCCGTGAGCTTGTAATTTTGCCACTGCAGGACGAAGCGGTCAATGCCATGCACGCGCCAGTAGGCGACTTCATCCGATATCGAGACGCTGTTGCTCGCGACGGTCTCCAGCCAGCGCCGGCCCGCCTCGGACCCCTGCAGATGCGAGGCAATCCCGATGCGGAACGACTCTCCCCAGCATCCGTGCCAGGCGTCCCAGTCGCCCAGATTGCGCAGTGGCGCCTCCAAGTACACGGCCGCGTTCGATAGGTACCTCGTCTTGCAGCGCACGTGCCGCGCCGCCGTCGCTGCCATGGACCATTGCCGGTCCAAGTCAACGAAGCAGTATTGCGTAAACATCCACGGCAGCTGACACGGATCCATGGCCCGAAGGCCGGCCACAATGCCGTCCAAAGCAGCGTCAGGCCGGAAGAGCTCTCGCCGCGCCAGTGTCGGAGACCAAAGCACATTGGTGTGGGTACCGCTGTAGTCGGCGCCGACATCCCCGAGCGACGGACTATCGAGCGAGAGCGTTGTGTCGGACGCGAGGAGGAGCTCAAAGTTGATGCGCTTGGCAAGGTACACGTGCATGCCGGATGTGTTGAAGCCGGACCAGCCAAAGTCGTTCGAGAGCCCGGTCGCGAGGACGCCCAAGTACGCAACGTTGCCAGACAACGTACACGCAAGGTACGCGATGCCTCCGACCGCTAAGCTGCGATGGTAGAGACGCCAGCTACGCTTGTCCACAGACACTGGCGGCCGCGCGTCGTGGAGCAGCATCGACGTCGGGGAGTTGGGTGTCGGTCTCTGCACGAAGAGCCAGAGCTTGCTATCAAAGAGCCTTCGCTCCGACGTGCGGAAGATCCCACACATCGCCAAGACGGCGTCATCCAACGCGGTCGCGTCGTCCAGAAAAGCCAACGCAGCCCACGAGAGGTACGGCGAGGCATCGAAGTGTTTCCGAGGCGGCTGCGGCGGCTGCAATGCAGCTGCAACCAGCGTCGCGAGACCGGCAGCGAGCACGATGGCGGCGATCCCCAGCGCTCGATACCAGCTCCCGACTTCCACGGAGCCGCTACTGCAGTAGACCATTTGGTCCATGTTCATCGTGTGGCAGCTACGACGGAGTGTTGCCGAGACTTGAACTGGTGACAGGACGTCAAGAAGAGCGATGCAAAGCCCGCAGAGTGACGTTGAGAATGGCGCCACCCTCTTGAGCGTGCCGGGGCGACAGAGGGGCGCAATGAGCTCGTGCAGCGCATAAAGGAGCCAGTTGGCCTCATTCGCGAGAAGGCACGAGGTGAGCGGGGATCGCGGCAGGATGGCGAGGCTGCTGAGCGCCGGTGTGGGCGCTGCCGTTAGCTCGCTCGTGGCCAAGATTGCGACTGCCGTTGCGCCTCGAACAAGGACTGCGACGCGCGTCACCCATACAGAGCTTGTGATGCGGTTGAAGAAGAACCAGTCGCGGGCGTGGCGGCGTCGACGACGCAGCATTAGTAGGGCCACCACCCCTACCAAGACGAGCCAGAGACTCACTGTCGACGAGAGGACGCGCAGGTAGGTGCCCAGCATCGCTGACGGCGGCGTGCGCGTCGGAGGCGCGGGCGTATACGCCTTGGAAATTGCCACGATCGTCTGCACGTCGCCTTGGAGCGAGAGCACTTCGCGAACGTTGGTGGCCCAGTCGTAGAGCATCATGGCGCCAAAGAATGCCCAGGACGGGTCCAGAATCTGCTGCAGCTGGATCTGCGGCGCGTCACTGGAGTTCGCAAAGACGTACTGCGTCAGCGCAATTGGAGGCAGCGCCGCGACCGTCATGTTGCCGAGCGACAGCATCTGCGCCGCGGCGTGGGCGCGTAAAAAGGCCGCGCTGCAGTCCGTGGCTTGGGTGCCGGGACACTGGGCGCAAAGGGCGCTCGATGATGTTGTGTTGGTAAAGGCGGCGGCAAAGAGGCTCCGCAGCGGGTCCCACGGCACCGCCAGCGGCATCTGCGTGCTGCACGCATCGTCGTAGCCAATGACCTCTTGCACATACGTCTGGCGCATCCCCGTGAGGCAGAGCAGGTTCCCGCCCGCAAAGCGAAGCGACGGGTCCTGCCATTGCAGCGGCGTTGGCGTCAGCAGCATGGAATTGTCGGCGGCGAGTAAAAAGTGCTGCAGCGCGGGACTTCCTCGAGCGCCGGCAGTCACTGCGGCTTGGAGCTGACGCACGGCAGCGACGAGCGTGGCCGGTGGCGGGACCCAGACGGCGTCGATGGCCCCGAGGAGGCCGACCTGCGCGTGCAACGCGGCTGCCAAGGCGCTGAGAGGACTGCCGTTGTTGTACGTCTCGATCAACCTCGGGTTCTCGTCGGCCCAAAAGCTCGGCGTGCTTCGAATAAAGCTCATGTTGGGCGCCAGCGCGTACAAGTCGTCGTACAAGAGACCGTACAAGTTGCTTGTTGTCCAGTAGAGCGACGGCGACACCTTCTCGATCGCCTTGATCGGATACGCGTACTCGAAACGAAACACGTTGCGCAAGAGAATCGTCTCGAGGAGTCCCGTGTGGTCGCGGTTGCCGTACTGCAGCACGAATCGACGGCAGCCGTGCGCAGCCCAGAACGCCACCTCGTCCGCCGCGGGCACCCGCGTGTGGGCGTAGAGGGCGGCGACATATGCAGCGCCCTCTGGACCCGTGTCGGCGATCGGCTGCGTAAAGTAGGCTGCAAATCGCCCTTGCGTCAGCGCAGCAAACGCGTCGACGTCGGTGTTGCGCAAAACGGTCTCCATGTATACGGCCGCGTTGTCGCTCTGGAGGCGTAAGCAGCGGGCTTGGCGCTGGAGCGTGTACGCCATCTCGTAGCGCCGCTCCAGGTCCACCCAGCAGTACGGCGAGACCATCGTGAGCACGTTACTTGGCAACAAGCGTCGGAGGCCGTCGACCGCGTCGGCCATCGACGTGAGCTGCCCAAAGAGCATGAGACGCGGGTACGCCGGCGAGAAGCTGCCGATCGCGCTTGACGCCAAAACCGTCTGCGTGACGTCCAGCACAGGCTCGGTGGCTTCGAGGAGCAGCTTACTGGTGAACACAGCGGCGAGGCTCGAAGACGAGGAAGGCATTGCCGGCCAAAAGAGGTCGTTGGCGAGGTGCTCGGACGAGAGCAGGAGCGCGACGACGCTGAGACCCATGGAAGACACGAGGTAGAAGACGCCCGCCATGTCGTACAGGCGCGCCCAGCACGATGCCTTCACGGGCACGAGCGATGGCTCGTCCATGCGACTCGCCGGTGAAACCGCGTGGGTTGTTGATGATGCCATCGTAACGGTCCCGTCTCTGTCCGACCGATCATTTGTGACGTCGCGGGTGGCGGAGATGGCGCCGGCGAGATGCCAGCAAATCGAACGTACTTTTCACTGCCGATGGCCTCATGGACAGATAGTAACGAGTCGTGCAGCCCAACGCCACTGGAAGACTTCCTCGGCCTGCAGAACGGCAATCACCGCAACAAGCTCACACCCACGTCGTACAGTTCGCAGGAGGCCTCGGACGCCATGGGATGGGTGCGTGCACCTCGAGGAGCTTCGTCTAGAACGTGTCCGCCTCTTTCTGACCGTCCGTTTGGCACCACATGGTCCGCTATTGCATATCCGATGCGCGTTAGTTGCACGCTACACGATGCCTGGCTTCGATGCTGGCTCTGCCCGCGCTTGTGAACAGCAAAGCAAATAGATGATGCATGGCTGGCGTCGCCAACACAGATACAGTGCTCGTCGGTGGGATTCCCAGCGACGTGGCAACGATGGCTCATTTTTGAATTCGCCCTCGACTACATATGCTGCGTTTTGCTGCGTTCGCGGTTGCGGCTGTAGATGCCGCCGATCAGTGCTGCTTCAAGGACGGCGATGTCATCTCGCTCCGATCGGACACCGGCAACTACATTGGTCGCTGCGACAGCTGTGTCTCGAACGGCGCCTACAAGGACTCGGTGTTTGTGCACGTCAAGACGCCCGCCTCGTCGCCGTGGGCGCAGTGGACCGTCGTCAACACGGGCAACGGCAAGATCGCTCTGCGCGCCGACTCGGGCAAGTACTTGTCTCGGTGCAACAACTGTGCGCCGGGGGCAGCGTACCCGGACGAAGCCTTGTGCACGTCAATGACTGGACGACGGCGCCGTGGGCCCAGTGGACGTGCAAGGAGGCGGGCAACGGCAAGGTCGCTCTCCAAGCCGACTCGGGCAAGTACTTGTCTCGGTGCAACAACTGTGCGCCGGGGCAGCATACCCGGACGAAGCCTTTGTGCTCATCGATGATTGGACGACGGCGCCGTGGGCCCAGTGGACGTGCAAGGAGGCGGGCGACGGCAAGGTTGCTCTCCAAGCCGACTCGGGCAAGTTCCTCGCACGCTGCAACAACTGCGTCGGTGGCGCGTACCCCGACACCGCGATGGTGCACGCCAAGACGTTCAAAGGTACGAGGTATGCGCAGTGGACGATCGTGGCAAACGGCAAGCAATCGAGCAACCGTTGTCAAGCTCCGACATCAGCACCTACGTCAGCACCGACTGCTGGTCCTGCGACCGTGACACCTGCACCCACAACTACGACGCCAACTCGGACCACGGTGACGCCTGCACCCACGACGGTGACGCCTGCACCCACGACAGAGACACCCGTGCCGACGACAGCGACACCCGTGCCAACGTCGTCGACGCCAGCACCGACGACTTCGACGCCGAGCCCTACGACCGACGTGCCGACTCCGACGACGGTGACGCCAGTACCGACGCCTGTGCCAACGATCCCGGCAACACCAGCTATAAGCACGGAGACGCCAACGCCGACGCCCGCGACAACGGTGCCGGCTACCGATACGCCTGTTACGCCGATGCCCTTGCCCACGACAGAGTCGCCTCTTCCGACAACGGTGACGCCCGCACCCACGACTGTGACCCCGGCCCCGACGACTGAGGCGCCCACCACGTGCACCCAGTCGCGTGTCCGCAAGTCTTGGTCGTCGCTCTCTGATGCTGAGAAGACGACGTACAAGAGCGCCATCGCCTTGGCGATGGACTCGGGTCTCTACCAGCGGTTTCTCTCCATGCACTACGACCAGATGGGCAACATGCAGGCACACAACACATGTGTCTTCATCTACTGGCACCGGCAGTTCCTCGTCGGCTTTGAGAACATGCTTCGGTCGCTCAAACCAGCGTTCGCGTGCGTCACGATCCCGTACTTTGACTACATCAACGACAACACCAAGTACATGGCCGGGACGTGCACCACCATGAACACGTGCTCGCCGATCTTGAACGAGCTCGGGAGCGCGACCGCCGGGATGATCAAATCGGTCACGTTTGGCGGCAGCACGGTCTCGGGTCGGTGCGACGCATCATTCCCACTCGACCACTTCAATGAGAACGAAGGCGCGGGCACGAACGGTGCCAAGTGCGTGCCCCGGGGCAGCTACACGTCGACGTACTTTCCGGTGGCTGTCGGGTACACGAGCATCAGGGCCGCGATCCTCGGTGACAAGGATGTGTCGACCGTCAACACGGCGATCGAGGGCTCGGCGCACAACTACATGCACAACGCGCTCGGCGGCGCGATGACCAACCCGTTCGTTTCGCCCGCGGACCCGATCTTCTACTCGCATCACGCGACGATCGACGCGCTCAACGCTATCTACTACAAGTGCCGCGTCGCCTCCCAAGGCTTGACGGACGATCAGAAGCAGTCGAGTCCGCTCTCGTTCCAGGGGTGTAGCGTCAACGGGTCGCCGATCACGGCCACGTCGTCGATTCTCATGCGCGCCATCATCGGTGGCCAGACCATTGACGTCCACTCGGAGGCGTCAACCAAGGCTTTCTTCAAGGACGTGCCGACGCAGTACTACCAGCTCACAGACAACACGAACCTTGGCGTCAACAGCTACAGCTACGAGTTCGAGGGGCTTCTCGGAGACCTCTACACCAACTGCGGCGCGGCCGCGTCCGGGAGCCTCCGCCAGCTTACGTATGGAACGGACGACGGCCCCATGAGCGCGTTCGGACACCTTCAAAACTATGTGAACCACCGCCAGAAGCACAAGCACGTGGCCAAGTACACTAAGTGGCGGCGCTCGCTGACCAAGGCCGCGAAAGGGTACGGCTGGACGGACGAGAAGGTCGAGGGCGAGATCTTCAAGGTCGTCGTGTCGTATTACTACTACTGCCTTCCCGGCAGCGTCACGGACCTCAGCGACGAGTTCAAGGCGCTGTGGCATGTCTCGACGCCGTCGCAGCCGATGCAAGTGCTCTCAAAGCTCCTCGACGGCTCGGACCCGATCCAGCTCGCTGGCTGGGAAGACATCAACCACGAGGCTTTTGGCTGCCGCGGCGACTCCAAGCCAGCGTACTAGGCGTCTCTTTCACGTATTGATTGCTTTGTGTGGCATCTGCTAAGCCACGAAACACGATGTTGTTTTCGATAGTCAAAAGCGGCTTTGCTCACTGGCACAGTGTCGATCGACTTCCAACATTGCAGGGAAGAGTCGTGTCGACTTGGCGTCATGAAGCGTTTTGCGCCACAATTTTCGCAGCCGACCAAGGTGCCGCCCATCCGTGTCATTGCATATTCCTGGCGGCACTGCTCTGCCTGCTTCTCACCATCATGCCTTGCCAGCGACGTCTGAAACGAGTCGTAGGACTTGGCATAAGAGCCCAGGGGCATGATAGCATAGTCTTGCTCTCCGCATTCAACCTTCTATTGGGTATTCTTCGGCGTCCACAAGACAGTAGCTCAACAATAAATGGTGTAAATGAGCTGGTTAATGCAAACATAGTCTACTACCGACACGTGCCAACTCAATAGGCTGGGCCATTTGCGCATCCGAGGAGTCGGTTGAGCGCTTGCCAGCCCGGGATTTGGATCGGGTCGGAGCCGTCGAGGATCTTGTTGAGGACATCCGTCTGCTTGGACGTCGCCGTCTTGACGTGCCATTGCGCCTTGAACTCGGCGCTAAGCTCCGTGACGCCGCCAGGAAGGCAGTAGTGGTAATACGCGACGACCATCTTGTTGATCTCGGTCTCGGTCTTGGCCGCCGGCCACCCCAGCCCGCGCGCCACCTTGGTCACCGCCTTGCGCCAGCTGTTGTACTTGATAAGGTGGCCGCCGCTGTTGGGAACGATGTAGTTCTGGAGGCTGCCCGTCGACGAGTGCGACGACTTCGGTGCGGCCTCTTCCTTCAAGCTGCGGAGACTCGACGCCGATTGCAGACCCGCCGTGCCGCAGTTGGAGTAGAGGTCGCCGAGAAGCCCGCTGAGCTCGTAGCTGTAGCTGTTGACGCCAAGGTTCGTGTTGTCGATGAGCTTGTAGTACTGCGTCGGCACATCTTTGAAGAAAGCCTTGGTTGACGCCTCCGAGCGAACATCAATCGTTTGGCCGTTGACGACAACACGCATTCCAATGGCGGACGTCGCGGAGATAGGCGACCCTCCGACGGTGCAACCTTTAAACGCAAGCGCTTCGGTTTGCTTCTGACCGTCCGAGTAGCCTTTCGGGGCGACGCGGCACTTGTAGTAGATGGCGTTGAGCGCGTCGATCGTCGCGTGGTGCGAGAAGAAGATCGGGTCCGCGGGCGAAACGAACGGGTTGGTCATCGCGCCGCCGAGCGCGTTGTGCATGTAGTTGTGCGCCGAGTCCTCGATCGCTGTGTTGACGCTCGCGACGTCGTTGCTGTTCATGATCGCGTTCTTGATGCTCGTAAAACCGACCTGGGACGGGAAGTAGGTCGACGCGTACATGCCCCGGGGCACGCACTTGGCACCGTTCGTGCCCGTGCCTTCGTACTGGCTGAAGTGGTTGAGCGGCGACGTTGCGTCGCAGCGGCCGCGGATCGACTGACCGTTGATTGTGATCGTCTGCGTAGATCCAGCGGTCGCGCTCCCGAGCTCGTTCAAGATCGGCGAGCACGTGTTCATGGTGGTGCACGTCCCGGCCATGTACTTGGTGTTGTCGTTGATGTAGTCAAAGTACGGGATCGTGACGCACGCGAACGCTGGTTTGAGCGACCGAAGCATGTTCTCAAAGCCGACGAGGAACTGCCGGTGCCAGTAGATGAAGACACACGTGTTGTGTGCCTGCATGTTGCCCATTCGTTCGTTGTGGATCGAAAGAAACCGCTGGTAGAGACCCGAGTCCATCGCGTTGGCGATGGCGCTCTTGTACGTCGTCTTCTCAGCATCCGAGAGCGATGACCAAGACTTGCGGACGCGTGGCTGGGTGCAAGTGCTGGGCGTGGACGACGTCGGTACGGGCGTCACAGTCGTTGGCTTTGGAGTTTCCGTGATCGGAGATGGCGTGGGAGCAGGCGTGACCGTTGTGGGTGCAGGAGTCACCGTTGTTGGAGCAGGCGTCACCGTTGTTGGAGCAGGCGTCACCGTCGTGGGTGCAGGCGTCACTGTCGTTGGCGCAGGCGTCACTGTCGTTGGAGCAGGAGTCACCGTTGTCGGCGCAGGCGTCACTGTCGTTGGAGCAGGAGTCACTGTCGTTGGAGCAGGAGTCA